ATGCAGAGCACAGACATTAATCACTGACGTGTGATGGTTACGTTGGTATTGCTCCATTCGTCCCTCCGTGCAGCATGTGTGCGGCACGACGACTTGGGGACTTTGGAGGAATGGCGCGACCCCTCCCTCTATATGTCCGGGGAGTATCGTGAGGTTTGGATGCCGGCCGCGGAGTCTATTAGCGGGAAATCAGGTCCATTGCCAGTGTCGGGGTGAAACCTTCCGGCTTCGTCCCCGTGTTGGGTCAAGGATCGTGATCCTGGGCTCTGGCCTCTCGACCCACCGTTGTTGAAGGATACCTGGTTTTGGCATTCGTCCGCGGCAATCACGCCATGATTCTCTTGCTGATTTTCCGCAGACGATTGAGCTAAAGTAGGGCTTGGGTTGAATCGGGAGGTGTCCGATGGAGCTGGGGCCAGGGGTAAACGCATGCGAGTGTCTTTTTCAACAATCGAGAATTGTCGGAACGCGGAAGACTCTGGCCGTCGTAATACAATCGTCCAATCATCTTGTGCGGCCCCAGTGATCATCATTAACTTTAATGTCAGCCTAGCCCAACTCCATTGATCTTCCGTGTACCTGGGATCTTGATTCCTGATGCGGTTACTTCACAAAACTCTGAGAATAGTACCAAGAATATGACGAATAGGACGACACGATATGCTGCTTGTAAGTCAAAGGCGCACTCATCACAACAAAGTCATTCTTCTCTTCTAGTCAGACTTAAGACCACTGATTGTTTAGTCTGCCGCTAGTAGCCATGCAACAATTCTCCCTCAGTGAGTCGCTCTGCCAGAGGCTAGATGCTGAGAACCTTACTGGATATCCTCGCTTGAAATCTGAATGTTTGAAGTGCAAAGCGAAAATCTTATCCTAACAACCGGCCCACGATCTCATGAGCGCCTTCCCTTACGTTGTTTGATCGTGGCCCGTGGCTGATACCCGCATCTATCGCCTTTTGTGTTTGATTTTGTGCGCAAAGGTCATAGTATATCTGCAAATTTTGTTCAGATCTCCAGCAAGCATCATGGTAAAAAGCAAATGAGGACTAGAGAAATCGGTCCGCCAATATTGTTGGATTTTTAATGATTCTAGGAAAGTAAAAATCGGAAATAAGTTCATCTACTGACAAAAGATTTGGCCCGAGGCGGACTTGCGGACTATGCGGAGGCATGAGTCAACTTGACATAATCGGGAAGCGGGACAATAACTGTATAAGCCACGGACTCCGTCTTGCGGCTCGGGTGATGATGAATTTGGATTTCTAATGATTTTATAGAGAGGAAGTAAAATACAGATAAGACTGCTATATATATCTCCATGTTTCTCGAATCACAATAGCTCAATGGCATCACCATCTCTAGAATCGCTCCAGTTCAATCGCCTTAGGCTTCGACCAACAATACAATGGTGCAACTTACAGTTATTCCTGCTTCCACCCAAGCTGGTAAGGCGGCAATATCCGCCTTGCTTTCCGATGAGAAAACAACCAGAGTTGTTGGTATCTACAGAGACGTGAACAAAGCACCATCCGAGTTCAAAAGTCACCCAAAGTTCATTGCAAGTCAAGGGGACATTGCATCAGGTCCTTCGTTGGACTTCAGCACCTCGGATGCCGTGTTTTATATCCCGCCACCTATATACGACGGGTCCGACGTTGGTGAAACTGCGAGAAAGCATGCCGAGAATGTGAAAGAGGCCCTAGCAAATGCATCTTCAGTCAAGAGGCTAGTCTTATTCTCGAGCATGGGCTCTCAATACGACAGGGATATTGTAAGTTGTCACCCAACGCTCATGTATCAGGGGATGCTGACTAAAGTAACAGGGGATTTTACGTGTCAACTATATTTCGGATCAAATCTTGAAGGACAGCGTTGCAGAAGTGGTCATCCCACGCCCTGGTTACTTCCAGGAGAATTGGCGGCACGCATTCCAGACACTGGAGCTTGATCCACCAGTGTTCTATTCCCCCATCTCTCCAGCGAGTCATAAGATTCCAATGGTATATTAATCGCAAGAAATCTAGGAAATTGGAAGTATTATCTGACTCTGTGAATAGATTAGCATCGAAGACATTGGGACGGTTTGTGCCCAGAAGCTACTCGAAGTAGGCCAGCCGCTTCCATCCAATCCGCATTTCTTTAACCTTTATGGGCCGAGACATTACAGTTCTCTTGACGTAAAGAGCGCTCTTGAGGAGATAACTGGAAAGGTAGTTGAGGCCATTGTTATTCCCCCAGATCAACTGTCTTCGTTCTTTGCCGAGCACGCCCCGCCTTCAGTAACTCAAGAGTTGGTGGATATGACAACAGCCGCGCTGCCTGGTGGGATCATGGTTGGGACCTTCGAGGACGAGGAAGGGACTGTGAAAGGACCTACGGAGCTTGTCGAAACCCTTCGGAGGATTTATCAGTCTTAGATGACCTTTGGTGCACGACTTCGATCTCTCTTCATCATTGACAATCTGAAGAAAGGCAAAGAGTCGTTGTTTCCTGCCTTACCAATGGCACATCAGTCTATAGTTTCGGCACGCCCTAACGATATTAGTTGCCAAATATGTTTCTCTTTTCAGAATGGACTCCTTTAAATGTATGCACACATCAACCAACTCAAAACTGCTGTCCCATGATCAGAAGGCAAAAATAACCATAGGAGGGCAAAGTGCCCACCAATAGAAGTCTTCTTTGGGGTTCCCCTTTGAACTAAAGTGTGCGGAGCCTGCACTGCAATAGTTGTTCGATTACATGCCACGTTGAAAGGATGGACGTGGCCGCTGTCGATTTCGAGCGGTAATAAGAGACTAAGCTGCCTTTAATTGTAGAAGGGAATTTTATAGAATACGACGAACAAAATGAAAGAAGAATGAATCAGTATTTGCGATCGATAGCGTAATTCATTTGTATGTAGGTATTGTTTGGATATGTACATTCTATATATACTATTTACCAGCTCCTGTGCCTTTTGGCCCCAGCACCTCAGAGAAATAAGGCCATAATAGTCGTTGAGAGAACTATAGCCGGTAAAAGATGGGAGATATCAGCACGGCGGCCTGCAACGCCAACGTAAATAATATCATGTGCTTGGTAAGGAGGTAAGGAGGTCGAGATCGTCTCCCACGAGGTTGTGGTCCCGGTCGTTTGGGCATGTGTGAATAAAACAGTGCGTGAGGTGGGACAGAAATTGGCAAAGCTGAAAGATAATGTGTCATAGCCACAATTCGTGTTGATTTTGTCGGCAACAGATTGAACGGTTGAAAGCCACGTGGACAGAGCTTTATCGTAGCTCAGAAAGTCGTCGGAATACGTGGCTGGCGCTGTGACAACACAGTCAGGCATTGAGAATGTGCTGGTGGCCCATTGGTTGAATGGGGTGTTGGCCGGCTCAGGCGGTCTGACTTGACTCAAAACGGAGGCAACGCAACTTTGGACATGAGCCTGGGAAGAGGTTGAGAGTTCGTTAACACCGGAGTCCGCCGCTAGAGCAAGAGTTGAGAAGAATAAGATGCAAAGCGACAACATCATATAGTAGTTGCCGGATGCACTAGTTGTATATTATGTGATAACGAAGAAGGGATGGCCTTATGGTCCTAGATGAGATGTAGGCAATTTTCCTTGCCCAACGGAGGAGAGGCTTATCTTGAGCTCTTTAAAAGTTGTATCCCTGTCTGAGCCAAGGCTGACGGGGCAGGGTTTTTGGGCTGACAGTCTGCCCTGAGATGAGGCAATGTCTCGGATATAGACACCGCGCGAACCCTGAATGGTCTTAAGGAGATTCTTTATAGCCTTCACTGTCTTGTGCGATGTTTGCTTATTCTTCTTCCTAATGCCATCAATATGAAGGATTGATAGCTCTGCAAAAAGAACGGGTTATGTTATCTGATACTTATTGTGGTGCTGTTGTGGAGATAATCCTTCCAGGGACTTTTCACATTTCTCGCTTGATTTGGAAGTGGCCGTGACTCTTGGCACTCATTTCAGAGGCCCCGTGCAATCATTATTCACGCTCTCACGGCTGTAATTTATCTAATGCATTAAAGCAATTCTGCCTTCTGTTTGGAGCGTCCTGCCTAGTAAGACTCTCATTATGGAGATGGACCCTTGCAGCACAAGTCGTGTTCTATATAGGATCTAGCAAGTAGTTCGATAAAACTTTCTGACGAACCTTGAATTTGCTGCCCGCACGGAATTATTTTTTAGAAAGCATTTGCCACTTGAATTGATTATTTTCCTTGTGATGCAAGATGCTATGTGGTTTGCACGGTCACTCGCTGCCTTGATCTACCTGCTCAGAGAAACATGATGTGTGCTGCCTGGCGTGCACCTGCGTTAGGTTACTACCGGACTGGAGAAAACAGTTCTGCCCTCCAGTGATATTCAATAGACCCTGAGGATCCAGGATATGAGTGTTGGGCTGCGGTGTTCAGACCCTTGACAACTCCACTTCTGTAATAAACCAAAGTCCCAATACCAGAAACACCGCCCAGAAGACCCATCAAAGGTCGGGTCCTAAAAGAGGCAAGTTGGGCCGATTGATGACAGGATATAATTGCAAAACTCTCTGTGAGAGATCATCTATGATACTATTACAGAACACACATAAGATCAAGTGCGAGTAGCATATATGGTTCGCTCTGGAAAGCCTCTCGGTGGCGATGGAGGGGTTTCGGCGTGCTCATCCTGGTTTATCCACACTTCCAACTAATCCATTCGCACGTTATGAAGAGGCCACGTGACGAATCAGGAGTAACGGCCACTGTTTCAATCCCCTCAGTAACCTTTTATCAGAGACACAGATGGTGGTCGCGCCCCGCCACATCAAGGTCTGAAGCTGTGGGCCAAGTAAAAAAGGTACGGGAAAGCAACACTGAATTAAGGCATCGAAACCTCGCATTTCAACAACCTAACAATCTTTTCAAGCCTGTTCATTTCAGGCTGATCTGACAGGGCAGGCGTTGGCAAAGGACATTCTCATCCTAGGAGGCTAGGAGAGAATCGGCTGATATGCGAGCACTATTGTCTAGATTGCTCCGGCTACAGACTCCTGATGCCCGACCAGCGGATGAGTCACGGCCGCGGGAGGAGTTTCGTCGGTACATCCCCGAGCTGGCAGAGCCGGTGCCGGCCTTGCCAGCTGAGAGGCCGCGAGTTCTTACGCCGTCGGCGTCTCTGGAGGATCTACGCGACTCTGCAGCCGATGCGACCGCTCAGTCTAGCTTCTTCCAGAAGCTCCCATTCGAGATTCGCCGCCGGATCCTGGTCGAGGCATTTGGCGGGCACACTATCCACATGGATCTGTCTTTTGACCATCCTGAACGGCCTTTGGACAAAGCCTTTTTCGATGGCTCGATAAAACATCTGTCTAACCACGGAAATTACAATCGCGAGACAGGCTTGGAGAGTCGACAAGAGACGTCGAGGTATAAAGTCGATTCCTCATTGCCAAAAAGATGGATCTGGCGCAGTTCCGACTGCCATAGAAACCCGCCGTGGGATAGAAGAAGCGACGAGCACAACAAGTATAAGGATAGAGCGGTCAATGCATCAGAGGACCGTTGCCGCCTCGGTGGTGTCGAAGGCCACTTTTGTCAACTTTGGCCGGGTGAACGGCCGCACAAGTGTTTTGTAGGAGCAATGGGATGGCTGCTAAGCTGCCGACAGGCGTAGGTTCCCTCCTGATATCTGCACGCTGAATTACGAATGTAGCTAAGCGAGAGCTTTAGGTACTGCGAGGGCGTTGATGTGTTGTATGGCACGAACACTATCCACACCGCCAGCAAGCAAATGCTCTTGCACTTAGACAAGCTTCTTCTTCCTCAAAGATTATCCACGATTAGATCAGTGGAACTGGTTTGGCATTTCAAGCCGTATGCACTAGATACTGTTGAAGTTGGTCCGCTTGATGACTTGCGTACGTTCTACACGTTGTTAAAAGCCGTTCCTACGACTTTCCCTAACCTCACATCGTTCTATATGGCCTTGTGGGGGTGTTTAACCCCTTTGAAGGAACATAACGGACGCCAGGTTTACATGGACGAGGCCGAGTCCATCAAAATCACCGACAGAGATATAATGACTCCGATTGATAGGATGATTTCCAAGTTCAGCCCGAGGCTCAGACAGTGCACAATTGCACTCGGTAGCTTGGAGTACGAAATAAGGAGAAGGCAGGCCGTGGAAGCCGGAGACGTTGAGGTTGAGCAAATTCATCTTCAGCACTTGCAGGAGCGCCACTGGAGATCTTTGAAAAATAGTTCGGATGGGTTAAAAGGGTACTGGATTCAACTTGGACATCGGGAGATGGGTATAATGTACATGTGTAGTATGGGGGAGCCACCCCAAAAGGGCCCTCCGGAGGACGAAGTTCTGTTGCAGCCTTGGTACCTTGTGGCAGAGCCAAGACACCTTAGATTCTAGTCAGCATATGGCGTGTTGGGCTAAGTCAGCCTACATTGCCCCTTTATACATCTGTTTGCAATTGAAGTTCTGAACTGCATTGCATAATTCAAGCCTGGGATAGAACCATTGAAAGTTGTGTGGGCCAATCGGCCCAGTTAACACGATCGTACTTAGATAAACCGACAGAGTTTTGTAGTTGAAAAACTAGAGAATGTATTTAAATTCCTATAGAATTTCGTAAATGAGGATATTGTCTACCTAAATAATTTTAAAGAGTGAAAAAGAAAAAAAAATAGAAAACAGAAATAAGAACCAAACAAGTGTGAACAACCCAACTAAATAAATTTCAAGGAAAGCAACCACTCGCGACTATTCCAAGTTCAACCTCTCAAGAAGATTGCCAACTGTAAGATCTGAATGACTGCAGATACCAACAATGATCGCCTCGAGATAGTCATACAGCGTTTCAATCTCGGCGCTGCTTATGACCTCCCTATTATAGTTCGAAACAATGTCAACCGTGTCCTCCTTTAGGAAGAAGTTGGAGCAGAGAGGAACCAGTCTGAACCCATCTAGGATATCATCCACGGCCCACTTGTCTAGCGCAGGAGCGAGCAAACTTGCTGCAGATGTCTCTTCACCAGTTCCCGAGGCGCGGACCGGCTGTGGGATAATCAAACTGCTGGACTGAAGCAGGGCTGGTGCTGCCTCTGGCAGAATCTGTGCAATCTTCTTTGTGCCAAAGTGCTCAAAGGGGACTGACTCAGAACATTGATTCTGCAGATCAGTGAGAAGGCTTAGTATAGTTTGATCCTTGTTGAACCGGATGCGTGTAGGAACTGCCTGAGTACAGAAGCCAGGCGTGGTGTCAATGCCATGCACAGGGGCTTGACGACCAGAGGATGTGCGAGTGAAGCAAATATCATCTTTGTTGTCAAAGTGTCGAAGAGCAAAGCCCCATGCGCCGAGAACGACGGTTCCTAGAGTGAGGGAAGAGTCAAGGCTATCCGGGATGCGAATCGTTCGCGTCTTGGTGTCTGTAACACCACGAAGAGTGGTCTCAGAGGTGATGGGCTTAGGCCAAGTGACTTGTTTGACACCTTCCAGAGTATTCTTCCAGTAGGATGCGGCAGCATCTTGATCAATTCCATTGGCATATTGGACAAAGTTGGCGAAGCTGTTGATTGGAGCGGGCATTGTACCGTGATACATAGCGTGAACCCCAGCAAGAAGCATATTGAGAGACCAACCGTCCATGATCGTGTGATGCTGAATCCAGACAAAGAAGATTTCGCCCGCTTCTTCAATAATGGCATAGCGGGACAAGCAACTGCCACGTCCCATGTTGAAAGCGATACCGGATTCGTGGATGAAATCTCTGACACCTAATCCCTTTGAATCTTCCCACTCTTGCTTACCCTTCACAATGGCTTGGACTTCAGAGCCATTCACAAGAAGGATGCGAGTTCTTAGATTAGGGAAGTATTGCACCGTTCTGTCCCATGCCTCCTTGAATCTTTGCACGTCAACGTGACTGGGGAGTCTCCACACACGCTTGGTCACGTACGCTCCTGCGAGCTTGTGGGTGAGGTCCATCATTGAGTTCTGGTAGGAATACGTTGGGAATGCGTCCTCTAGCTCTGGGAGGTTAGGCAGGCCGCCTTGTTTCTGGATCTCGACTGATACATCTGTAGCAGAGATTTCGGATGGAAGCATAGCGAAAGGCTTTACATCAGTGGCAGCGTACTCAGCGCCATTCGCGGCTGCCTTGGCAAGCGCAGAAAGGCGGGAGTCTTTGAAAATGTTGGCCACCGTAATCCGTATACCCTGTTCTTGGGCCATAGAAGCAAGCTGGATTGCTAGAATTGAATCTCCTCCGATGCGAAGGAAACTATCATCACGTCCAATCTGCTCGGGGGGTACACGAAGCAGTTGGGACCACATAAGCTGCAAGTTCCTTTCCATATCTGTTTCGGGTGCCCGCTTCTCAGTGCTGGAAAGTGAATACATTGTTAGTTGATCCTGACTCAAATCGGATGTTAGAGATTTTAATGCGATTCTATCCAACTTCTCCGAGGCGTTGGCTGGCATATAGGCGCAAGGGATGTAAATTGTTGGAACCTCGTATGCTGGAAGCACAACATCTAGCTTGCCTGCCAGCTCGGCGATGGACTCTCGAAGCTTGGAGTCGAGTGGAAGGAATACATCAGCGGCGACTTGGGGCCGCATTGTATCGCTGTAGCTGAAGTAGGCGACTAAGTTGACGCTTATGTCCGTCTTGAACACGTCGACAGCCACTTGTCGTACATCGGGAAGGGTCTCGCGGATATGATACTCAACTTCACCGAGTTCAACACGTAATCCGCGGATTTTCACCTGTGTGTCCTTCCGTGATACGAAATCAAGGCAGCCATCAGCAGTATAGTACGCTAGATCTCCTGTCTTGTATATACGATCCCACAATGGCTCCGTACGGCGTGGGACCCAGGTTGGAAGATCTGTGATAATTGCCTCTTTTGTTTTCTCGGGGTTCTTGAGATACTCGCGTAACATTGTGGGTGTTTGGATAACAATTTCACCGATTGTTCCAATTGGTGCCAGCTTTGAAGCATCTTCAGGGTCAACAAGCCATGTATGGCCGCATACAGGACGACCAACGTTGGTCGGGATGTCCTTGGCAGAAGTGTACTCATACCATGTTGTTCCAACGATAACTTCACCGGGGCCCCAGAGGTTGACTAATCGAACTTTGCCAAACCAAGCATCGAGAAGGTCTTGGGATACGGCTTCACCAGCAAGCACAACTACTTCCAGGTTAGGTAGCTGATCAGGACGCATCGTCTGGAAGAACGATGGGGTAAGGAAGACCCAGTTAACGTTGGTGTCGTTGATGAATTTGACGAGGCCATCCATTCTTGTTTCGTCGTCAGGAACGCACAAGCAACCGCCATGAAGCAATGTACTTGCAAGCTCAGCGATGGCAAAGTCAACCACATAGGATGCAAATTGAAGTGTCCGTGCGGTAGAAGGAATGCCAAGGCTGCGAGGAATATTTGTTTGACTGGTACACAATGACCTGTGTTCATTGATATATCCCTTCGGTGTACCCGTGCTGCCTGATGTAAAGAGCACGTATGCAACATCACTGGGGGAGACTGCAACGCCTGGGTTTTGATCGCTGCACTCGTGTGCATTGAGAATCTCCTGTTCAAGTTGCGAACTAACCTCCACAACTGTGGCGACCAGCGGCAAGACCAAGTGAGCGCTTTGAGGGGATGAAAGCGCAAGTCTAGCCTCTGTCTGCTTTGTCACTTGTCTCTTTCGCTCTTCAGGATGGGCGGGATCCAGAGGGACCCAGGCAGCACCGGCCTTGTTAATAGCGAGAATGGAGACATAGTACCAGGCAGACTTTTCGAAGCACACATGTATCAGTTCTTGACTCTTGATATCGTAAGATCTTAAAAGGTGATGGGCGAGTCGGTTTGCCGCGCTGTTGAGTTGGGCATAGGTCAGATTCCCATCCCAACAGTCAATGGCCATCGCCTCGGGCTGGATCGCGGCTTGTTCATCGAACATCTCATGGAAGCAGCGCTCGACCACTTCAGTAGGGTGACTGTTCCACTCTAGAGACTTCTGCAAGTCCCAGTCTCCCGCGAGGCTGATGGAGCCGACCGTCTTGTCACTTTCGGTGATTAGTTGTTGCACGACAGAATTGTAGTGGTTTATCATAGCCTGAATCCTCATCTCGCTTAGGATATCGCTATCGTAGATGGCAATCAGCTCTGCCGCATCTTCGGAAATTCGGCCTTGGAAGACTAGAGGGTATGTGAAATAACCCTCCATGGAATCCTCCATGCTCATATTGTCAGCATCATCGGCGGCTCCAAGTAAAGAGTACGCTTGGCCTCCAATGCTGGCTAGTTGTTGCGTGGGTTGCACGACAAGCAAGGAAGAGAAGCCACACGCTTCTTCGGCGTCACGGCCCAACTTGGAGATGTTTTGCAATCCGTATTGTTCGTAGGGGACCATGTCAATAGCCTGATTCTGGACCTGCTTCAGATGGTTGTAAATTGACTGCTGCCCATCAATCTTGATGCGGACTGGGACTGTTGCGATGGCCGGCCCAGGCATGTCTCCAAGATGAGCAACGGGGGCTTGACGGCCAGACACACTCGTACCAAAACAGATGTCGCTTGTTTCAGAATACTTGGCGAGGACAATGGCCCAAGCTGCGCGAACGATGGTGGCTTTTGTGATGGACGTGCTAGTTGTCTTGGGGAAGTGAATTGTTCTCTCTACAACCCTCGTTGGGTTATCTGTCCGTACCCCAGATCGAGGCACAATCGGTGGCCATGAGGATCGCTTTGAGTCTTGCAATTGACTGGTCCAGTACTCGCGTGAAGCATCTTCCCCGACGCTCATAGTGTATTTGATAAAGCCAGAGTAGGGATACAAAGCTGCTTGCTGGCTATTCTCATACTGAGCAAACAAGGTTCGTAGGATCAGTTGGGAAGACCATCCATCGTAGATGGAGTGGTGGATGACCCATGTGAAATAGTGGACGTTGTTCTTGCTAACAAGGCCATGTCGACTCAGACGGCTTCCGAATCCCATTGGCAGTTGAGACATACTCTTGATGGATGAAGAAACATCATTCTTGTCGGGGGAATCCCACTCGCTCTCGTTGTCAAGGACTAGCTGGATTGCTTTTCCGTTCAACTGAACAATCCGAGTTCGTAGATTGCTACAGAAGTGAACAGTATTCTCCCAGGCGGCCCTGAACCGATTGACATCGACATCATCGGCGAGGCGGTAGATGTACTTGGCCATATGAGACCCTGGCTGCTTCTCGGCGAGGGCAACCATACCCTCCTGGATTGACGTACATGGATACGCGTCAATAATTTGTTGACCATCGGACAGAGCGCATTTCTCTCTGACGTGGCTGGAGAGTACCAATTCCTTTTGTTCGTAGGAAATCAATTCAAAAGGCTCAATAACATCCTCCACGATCTCTCCATCGATTTCGGTGGCCGTGGCCGCTAATGTGGATAGGCGAGAATCATCAAAAATGTCTTTGACCTTGAAGGAAACTCCTGATTCACGAGCCAGGGAGACCAGCTGGATAGCGAGAATAGAGTCGCCACCGATTTGGAGGAAGCTATCGTCGCGCCCGATGGATTCTATTGGAAGCTTGAGGACCGTCGACCACATCGACTGTAGGCGGATCTCCATGGCTGTCTCCGGTGCTCTCTTTACGGCATCAACTAGAGAGTAGTGGTGAATTTGTTCACGTGTTAGGCTGGTTGTCTTGTGGATCAGCATCTTTCGATCAAGCTTCGAGGAACTGCTGATCGGAATGAAATTGCATGGAATGAAGATTGAAGGAATCATATAGTTGGGAACGATCAACTCAAGTCTGCCTCTCATTTCAACAAGTTTGGACTCGATCTCAGATGTGATGGCTGAGAACAATTCTTCAGATTCAGTCATGGTGCGTTTGCTGTCAGAGAAGGCCAGATACGCAACCAACTTTGGAACCTCCTCGGTTCGGAGCACGCCAACGACGACTTGCTTCACTCCAGCTAGGAGAGCGAGGATATGATGTTCAACCTCGCCTAGCTCTACTCGCAATCCACGAATCTTGACTTGCGTGTCCTTGCGGGTAACGAACTCGATTTGTCCCTCGGCATTGTATATGGCCAAGTCTCCTGATTTGAAGAAACGACTTGGGACACCGACTTCTTTACTTTCCGCCCAAGTAGGGGTGTGGCTAAGTGTTGAGGCTTGAGTCTTGACAGGATCTCCAAGGTACTCGCGGAGAACAGTAGCACCCTGGATCAAGATCTCTCCCACGGTGCCAATTGGGGCGAGCTGAGTTGCATCATCAGGATCAACAATCCAGCACGAAGCGCCAAATGATTCTCCAATCGTTGCAGGGGAGTCGTATTTGGACTGGTATTCATAGACCGAGCAGGCAAAGGCGGCTTCGCCAGGTCCCCAAACATTAAATAGGCGCACTTTCCCAAACCACTCATTAAAGAGTTCTTGCGGGACTGCTTCGCCGGCGAAGAAGAGAGATTTGACACATGGGACTTCTTCAGGTTTCAGAGTGCGAATGAATGAAGGGCTCAACATCGCACAGTTAACTTCGGCTTGCCGGATGAACTCCTGGATGTTGTTGTACCGCATCTCCTCGGATGGTATGCAAATACAACCACCGCTGGTCAAGGCTTGGAAGATCTCTCCAATAGAGAAATCAAAGATGACGTTCGCAAATTGGAGAATGCGGGTTTCGGGACCATGGCCAACACGGGCAGCGAGGGCGCGTTGAGACGTACAAATGGACTGATGTTCAATCAGGAAGCCCTTTGGACGTCCGGTACTGCCAGACGTGAACAGGACGTACGCAACGTCTGTGGGAGATACTCCAGTCGAGGGACTCTTCGTGACTGGTGTCAAGCGCGCGTCAAGCATAGCATCGAGTGGAATGGCGTGTTCGATGACCTGAGCTGCATCCTGGATGTACTTGGGTGACACGAGCATGATCTTCGCTTGAGTTTGCTCAATGATCTGTTGCTTCCGTTGGAGTGGGTGGCTTGGATCAATTGGTGAGAATGCAGCGCCTGCTTTGTTGATCGCGAGAATGGCAATGATGTACCACAATGACTTGTCTAGGCAAACATGAATTACATCGCCAACCATGACGTTGAACTCGTCTACGAGATACTGAGCGAGACGGTTGGAGGTAGCGTCAAGTTGGGCGTATGTTAGCTCGCCGTCCCAAGCATACACAGCGGGAGATTCAGGTCGTTCAACAGCGTTGGAGGCAATGATGTTGTGGAGACAATCTTCGACAACGTCAGGAGTCTGATTCCTGTCAATCGCGGTGCTAATGTCCCATGGTGAAGCGATTGAGACTTCACTCAGGTGTCTGAGGTTGTCTTCGGAAAGAAGTTCAGAAACCACCTGCTCAAACTGATGAGCCATGCCTTCCATTTCCGCCTTCTGCAAATAACTGGTCTCGTAAAAGAAGTATAGTTCAATATTGTCCTCGTGCAGGGCACATTGCATGACAAGGGGGTAGTTGAAGTAGCCTTGGAGAGAGTTTTCCACTAGATCCTCCTCTGAACCAGCTGAGGCAAGTAAGCCTTCTGCTTCCGGTGCTACATCGACTGAGCTCTTCTGTTGTCCAGGCTGAATAACAATTAGGCTGGAGAAGCCACATGCCTCCTTTGCATCATGACCTATCTTGGAAATATTCTGAAGACCGAATTGTTCAAATGCGATCATATCTGATGATTGAAGTTGGACGTCTTCTAAGAAGGCCTTGATAGACTTTTGGAAGTCTAAACGGACACGGATCGGTAATGTAGCAATCATCGCCCCTGGAATATCTTCGATACCAATCACAGGAGCGTTGCGGCCGGAGACAGTCGCACCGAACGTTACATCGTCAGTGCCACAATATCTTGCAAGTAGAATAGCCCAAGCAGCACGAAGAACTGTAGCTCTGGTGATGGAGGTTCGGGCTGATTTTGTGAATGGGAGCGACTTGGTAAGAACACCTGTGATGGGGTCATCAGAAGAGACCGCGTTTGCTCGTTTTGACGGGAATGGTGCTCGCCGAGCATCCTGTAGTTGCTGTCCCCAGAAGGCTCTAGCAGCCGACTCATCAATACTGCGGGTGTATGCGATGAAGTTGACATACGGGCTGATGATGGGCAATGTACTTCCTTCATAAGCTCTCTTCAAGGTGTCCAGGATAATTCCCAAGCTCCAACCATCGAATACAGAGTGATGTGTAAGCCACAAAAAGTACCATTTACCATTGTTATCTTGAGCGAGACTGAATTGATTTAGCTTGGAGCCGTAGGTCATGTTGATGTTCTTGGAAGCTCTCATCAGACCTGTGGCATTCATTCCGGTATAAATACCCTCCCATTCCACATCATCCTTAATGACAACTTGGAACGCCTTATCCTGGCATTTGATCACTCTTGTTCGAAGATTGACACATATCTTAGCGGTTTCCGTAAGAGCACGTTCAAAACGGGAAATGTCAACCGTGCTAGAAAGACGGAAAGCATGTCTAGCAATATAAGAACCTGGCTGCTTGACCGTGAGTGCCAAAAGCCCATCCTGAAGTTGGGTGCAAGGGAATATGTCCTCGATCTGAGTCTGGTTCTGTATGCCGCATTGCACGACAGCTTCGGACATGATATCGATTCTGCGGTCAGCAGGAATGAGGCTAAACGGCTCACATTGGGGAGGTGGCGCGGCATCAACAATAACGCCGCAAGCAGCGGCCATTGGTGACAATCGGGGGTCCTTGAAGATGCTTCCTACATCTAGACTGAGGCCCTTCTCGCGTGCAAGAGTGACCAGTCTTATGGCGCTGATTGAATCACCCCCTGCCCGGAGGAAGCTGTCATGGCGTCCAATGTCACTGGCGTCGATGTTCAAGACTTGAGCCCACAAGTCCCTGAGCTGGTACTCACGATTGGTTGCGGGCTCGTGGGCACCAGCTTCTCCGCCCCCAGGAGCAAACTTGAGCTTTTCTTTGGCTGGGGCATCGTGGGCCAAGGCGCGTAGCTTCCGCCTGTCGATCTTACCGGAGCTCTTCCGTTCGGGCATTCCTTGGAAGATTAGATACATGCTTGGCACCATGTACGTGGTCAGTGATAGGCTCAATGAAGAGTCTATCTCAGAGATGAGAGCACGCATTTCGTCAGATACGTCATCGACGAGCTCAAGTTGAGGAGCCTCAGAAGTTTCACCCCTGGTGTACCAAAGGAGGGCTACCAAAGTGTTCGTTTGCGCTTCTTCGTTGATGATTGTATCCACAACACACGCCATATTTTGTGGTAGAACAACTTCGAGGCGGGATTCGATCTCTCCAAGCTCCACACGTTGACCGTGAAGTTTGATCTGTGTATCCTTTCGACCAAGATACTCAAAGGTGCCGTCTTCTAACCTACGGACAAGATCACCAGTTACATATGCTTTCTTGGACGCATTGCCAGGTACCCAGTCAACATCGTGTAGCCACACGCTGCTGTTGGCGTCACCGATATATCCTCGAGCAAGCATTGGTCCCTGGATCATCAACTCGCCGATGCAACCAACGGGGACCAGTTGAGTATGATCCTCAGGGTTCACGACCCACCAAGAACATGATGAAGGGACACCGATGTTACTAGGTCTTGAAACAATACCAACGTCGGCAATCCAGCCGCAAATCGATGCTTCAGCTGGCCCATAGAGATTGTGTAATGTGGCGTGGCCACGCCAGTTATCCACAACCTGTTTGGTGACGTTCTCACCACCTAGACCTACATTCTTAATCGTTGGGATTTCAGACGGCTTGACAAGGCCTGCTAATGTTGGCGTGAAGAAGGACCAATTAGCTTTCATGGAGTTAATAGCTCCGTGTATGTCATTGTAGCGTTGCCACTCGGACGGAATGCAGAGACAGGCTCCTCGTGAAAGTGAGACCATCACGTCAATGACACCGATATCAAATGTATACGCCGAGTATGTGAAGACCCGTGTTCCAGGGCCCCATTTCTGTATCACACCGTGACTATTGGAAGTTGACGCAATGTTTCTGTGCTCGAAGATCATCCCCTTAGGCTTTCCGGTAGAACCTGATGTAAACATGACAAAGCTGGCATTGGTGAAGTTTACGGATGACTGGATAGGCGAGATTGGCTCGGGAAGCTTCATGATTGCCTCATGGTCGATGGTATGTACTGGAATATCAAGGGCTTTCGCAGTATCGAAGCACTCTGGTGAAGCAAGCACCATGGTGGAGTTGGTGTCGCTCAAGATACCCTTTAAACGCGCGACAGGTGAAGAAGGGTCCAGTGGGACGAAGGCTCCTCCAGCCATATTAACAGCGATCATTGAAACAACAGCCCAGATTGATTTGTTGAAACAGATGGGGACAAAGACTTCAGGCCCGATACCAAGGGACAGCAGATAATTTGCTAGGCGTTCACAGTGCTGGCCAAGCTCTGCATAAGTCATGTCGCCGTCCCATGATGTCAAGGCCGGTAAATCCGCAGTCTTTTTGATCTGCTCACGGATCATCTCGTGGATGCAGCAATCGGTGGATGGTTTCATGTTCTGGTGGCGTTGAGCATGCTCCAAGTCCCAGGGCCCAACAAGCGACAGCTGGCTCATTGGCTCGAGCTGCGTACTCTTCGAAAACAGCTGCTGCATGACGTGATCAAGCTGATGAGCCACAGCTTCGACGAGTTTTGGTGATAGAACATTCGTGTCGTAAGCAAAGCTGACATGAATGTGATCTTTGTAAAGGCTGGAAACGAGAACAAGAGGGTAGTTGAAATAGTTGACCATTTCCTGTTCAGTTGTCTTCACTCCCTCGTTTCCATCAATGATCACACCCTTGCTTTCAGTATCAAGATGCTGCTTGGGTTGGATCACCATCAAAGTGGTAAACTCGCACGCATCTCTTGCATCCTTGCTGACCCTGGCGATGTTTTGTAGACCAAACTGCTCCCATGATGTCATTTCCGTGGACTGGGCTTGGACGTCTTGCAGGAAGCTTGACAGAGAAGCATCGTGATCAATCTTGATGCGGATAGGAATAGTTGCAATAGCAGGACCCGGCATATTCTGCAACCCATCCACAGCCGCATTGCGGCCAGACAGTGTGGCGCCAAAGCAGATATCGTCAATGTTGCAGTGCTGTGAGAGAACAACAGACCAACCAGCTCTAAGGACAGTAGCTTTCGTAACTGAGCTTCCCACCATCGAAGGGGTGCTGATGTTGTGATCTAAAAACTTGAAATTGGGCTCATCGCTAGTCGACTTGGCCGGGAATGAAGGGCGTGAGGCTCCCTTTAGTTGACTCGCCCAAAAGGAGGAAGCCTGCTCAACATCTAGGTTACGGACATGCTTGATGAAGCCCGCATATGGAGCGAGACTGTTGGGAGGCTGTCCCCAGTAGCATTCATGAAGAGTGCGGAAGATTAACTGCAAGCACCATCCGTCGACTATCGAATGATGTGTGATCCATACCAGGTAGGTCTGGCCATTTTCCTTAATCATTGCATGGCGACTGAGTTGAGAGCCGAAGGTCATTTCGTAACTCTGTGTTAACTTGAAGAAATCGTTCACTCCAAGTCCCTCTGTGGGCTCCCACGCAACCTCACCCTTGAAAATCACCTGAAGGGAGCGATTGTTCGAAGTAACGATGCGAGTCCTCAAGTTCGTGCAAAGCTGCACGGTTTGATCCCATGCAACTCTGAATTGAGTGAGGTCCACATGTTCCGGAATCTTGAGCACATACTTGGTAATGTATGACCCCGTTTGCTTAACCGAGAGAGCAATAAGTCCCTCTTGGAGGGCAGAACATGGGAAAGCATCTTCAATTACGGTTGACTCAGACAGGCCACATTGCGCTTGAAGAGTGCCGCTATGCACCATACTTTGTTCTTCGGGGGACAGAAGATCGAAGGGCTGAATGTCGGTTGACTTCTCAAGCGGCTCAGCCGAGCTCTTGGCCACAAGCGAAACACTTAAAAGCCGGGGATCGCGGAAGATGTCATTGACGCTGATTTCGATACCTTGTTCCCTAGCAGCAGTCATGAGGTTGATCGCGGTAATGGAGTCACCTCCCAGGGCGAGGAAGCTGTCACCGCGGCCAATAGACTCGGTTGGGAGATTCAATACTGTCGACCACAGGTTTTGCATCTGGACTTCCATTGCTGTTTGCGGTGCCTCCTTCTCTCCTGATTGGAGGGCATATTCGTGTATTTGGGCCTGATCCAACTTTCCGACCTCGGCACGAAGCGTCTTCCTGTCTAGCTTCGAAGATGTGATGAATGGCATGTAGTTGCATGGGACGAAGAAAGTAGGGATCATATATCGAGGGAGGACAATCTGCAGCCTGCTCACCATTGCGGACAATTCGTGGTGGAGGTTGTTATCAATTGACGCAAATAGATCGCGATAGTCATTGGACTGTTGCGAGATTCTGCTCTGGCTATTGAAGCAGATGTAAGAGACCAAACTGGTGCCTACATCAGTCTTCAAGACATCAACAGCAACTTGGCGGGCCGTGGTTAGATTGGAGAGAATTTGATGTTCAATCTCACCTAGCTCAACCCGCAAGCCTCGAATTTTGACCTGAGTATCCTTTCGTGTTGCGAACTCTAGGAGACCATCGGAATTGTAAAAGCAAAGATCGCCTGACTTATAGAAACGTCCCCAATGCTCATCTCCCGAGTATGCCCACCCAGGGACATCAGTGAAGGTAGTTTCCGACGTTTTCTTTGGGTCTGCCAGATACTCTCGAAGTAAAGTTGGACCTTGTATAACAACCTCACCGAGTGTGCCTATCGGAGCGAGCTTCTGGTGATCATCTGCTTGAACTACCCAACAGAGACCACCAACAGGTCGTCCGAGGGTGAGTGGCGACTCGTCTGCCGAGGTCCATTCATGCAAGGTGCTGAAGCAGCACGTCTCTGCCGGACCCCATCCATTGATAAGACGCACCTTTGTGACCCAGGTCCCAAAGACATCTCGAGGAACAGCCTCACCAGCGAAGAGTAGAAGATCAAGCGAAGGGACTGACTCGGGCTTAATGGTTCGGGCGAATGACGGGGTCAAGTATGACCAGTTGACCCGATGCTCGGAGATGAAGTCAACCAAACTCTGAGTACTCATGCGGACCTCATCCGAGGGGATACAAATGGTAGCTCCAGTGATAAGAGGACCGATAATCTCACCAATTGACAGATCGAAGACAAATGCGGCGAATTGCAGCATATTTACTTCGGGGGTGAGACCAAGCCTGTTGCCAATGGCTCTTTGACTTGTGCAGACTGCCCGGTGCTCCATGACGAAACCCTTTGGTGTTCCGGTGCTACCAGATGTGAACAGAGCGTAGCAGGCGTCACCGGGGGATGAGACTGCCTGGAAGTTGTCGGAGGCAGTAAGGCTGTTGAGGGATTGAGGTGTAACTACGAGAACCTCTCTCACGAGGCTGGCACCGAGATCCTCATTGAGCGCTGAAGTGAGAATCAGCTTTGCCTTCGTCTGAGAGACTACCTGCTTCTGTCGTTCGAGCGGATGAGAAGGATCTAGAGGAACCCAAGCCGCGCCGGCTTTGTTGATTGCTAGCAATGATACAAAGTGCCAAGCGGACTTCTCAAAGCAGACGTGAACAAAATCGCCTCTTGAAACTGCATGAGTAGTTGTTAAATGGGCTGCAAGTTTGTCAGACAAGTCATCTAGCTCTTGGTAACTTAAGGCAACTTCAGCAGTCTGAATTGCGATGGAGTTGGGTTGTATTCGAGCTTTCTCCGTTACTAGTTCGTGGAAAGTCGAGTTAACGACTTCAGCAATTTCATGATTATAATCTGTCACCTGTTGATGATCCCATGGACTGGCCATCGACAGATCCTGAAGAGACTTGGTTGTTTCGGCGGCCAAGCTCTTGATGATATGCTCGAGTTGGTTGGCTAACCCAGTCATGGTCCTTTCGCTTAATGAGGCTGACTCATAGGTCAAGTTGAGTTGAATTTGTTGATCCGAGATTAGTGTTTGAACCACTAGAGGGAAGCTGAAATAACCATCCATAGATTGCGACTCCCCATCTTGAGAATACGGGACTAAAATTGCACCGGATTCGCTGCCCATCTCGGCCATCTTTTCATACGGCTGGATAACAAGTAGACTAGAGAAGGCACATGCATCACGAATTGTGTCGTCGAGCTTCAAGATATTTTTAAGGCCGAACTGCTCGTGAACTATCATATCCGTTGCTTGTAACTGAACAGCATGTAGGAAGTCTGAAACGGACATCTGCCGGTCGATTCGTACACGCACCGGGACTGTGGCCACGACCGGCCCGGCTATTTCAGTAATGCCAGAGACTGGAGCTTGACGGCCAGAAACCGATGTGCCAAAGCACACATCATGCGTATCGCAGTATTGAGCGAGGATAAGCGACCAAGCTGCTCTCATGATTGTGGCCTTCGTGATTGATGTATGGGACGAGGGCGGTAGAGCAATAGATTTGTTGATGACTTGGGCTTCACTGTCTTCAGACTTGTTCTGACTGAATTTGGGGAACGTGGCCCGGCTGGCATCTTTGAGTTGGTCAAGCCAATAGCGTTTGCCGGCATCTTGATCTAAGGATTGTGTATACTTGACGAACCTGTCAAATGAAATTGGACCAGCAATATCAGCTTGGGTATATGCCTCGACAACTGTTCGAAGCAGCAACCGCATCGTCCATCCATCATAGGTGGAATGGTGAGCAGCAAGTACAAAGTAGTTGTTTCCTGATGGTTCCTCGATCAAAGCCCAGCGATTGAGTCGTGTGCCAAGAGTCATTTCCATATTGCTTAGCTTCTCAATGTACTCGGAGAGCACCAGCCCATCAGTCTGTTCCCAGGTAAAGTCATCCTTGATAATAACTTGCAGAATCGTTTGTGAGACACTGATAATCCTTATCCTCAAGTTGCTGCAGATGCTGACGGTTCGTTCCCAAGCAGCCCTGAAACGAGGGATATCAACGTTATCAGGTATCTTGTATACCCATTGACCGATGTACGAGCCAGGCTGCTTGACAGCGAGGGCCATTAGACCTTCCTGGAACGCGGTTACTGGCATCGCGTCTTCAATCACCTCGTCAGGCTGAAGGCGGCAAAGATTTCGAGCTTCCTTTGCCCATTCCACTGTATGAAGCTGCGTGGGTACCAGGCTGAAGGGTTGGAAACTGCTATGATTGTCATTCTCGTCCTCAACATTAATATCGGTGGCAAGAGAAGCAACCATGAAGAGTCGCGGATCCTTGAAGATGTGGTTTACCGCTGTCTCTATCCCGACCTCTCTAGCAGCTGCAACAGCATGAATTGCGGAAATGGAATCACCACCTATCTGCAGGAAACTATCATCACGACCGATAGTCTCCCTTGATAACCCAAGAACGGAGGCCCAGACAGCTTGGAGGCGAGCTTCCATTTCGGTTTCAGTTGGTCGTTTAGAAGAACTAACAAGAGAATAGTGATGCAGCTTCTCTCGATCCAGTAAATCAGTGCGTTCCTTTAGCACCTTACGATCAAGTTTCGAGGATGTATTGACCGGAATGTAGTTACAAGGAATGAAAATGGAAGGAACCTCATAACTAGGAAGAACGAGTTTCAGTTCACCCACGAGCTTCGTCAATTTGGAGGAAAGCTCTGGTGTGATTTCGGAGAATAGATCCATCGATTCACCCTTATTTGAGTCGGAGAACGAAAAGTAGGCTACAACATTGGAAGAGTCTCCAGATCGAACGACATCCGCAACCACTTGAGACACTCCCTCCAAAAGCGAGAGGATGTGATGTTCAATTTCGCCGAGTTCGACACGGAGACCTCTGATCTTGACTTGAGTATCCTTTCGACTGGCGAATTCAAGATTCCCGTCCGGTCGATAGAAGCACAGGTCACCGGATCTGAAGGCTCTTCCCATATATGGCGTGTGCCTGTCATGAGCCCACTCGTGGACTTGTTCAATTACTGAATCTCGCGTTCGCTCTGGATCTCCAAGGTAGTGGGAAAGAAGCCCAGGCCCTTGGATAATGAGCTCTCCAGCGGTACCCACAGGCGCAAGTCGAGAAGAGTCTTGAGGGTCAACAATCCAGCACATGCATCCAATTGGTGTTCCGATATTACCGGCAGAGTCTTCACTAGATTGGTACTCATAAATGGTTGAAATAGTGCTTGCCTCGCCGGGGCCATAAGCATTCAGCAATCGGACCTTGCCAAACCATTGGTCAAATACGTCCCTGGTGACGGCCTCTCCGCCAAAAACGAGCATTTCGAGCGAGGGAACCTGCTCGGGGTTAATTGTTCGCGCGAATGACGGCGTTAAGTAGGCGCAGTTGATGTTGGCTTCGCGAATGAACCGGCTTATATCGTTCAATCGGTCATCTTCTGAAGGAACACAGAGGCAGCCTCCAGATCCTAGGCAATGGAAGATCTCACCAATTGAGAAATCAAAGACGTAAGACGCAAATTGCAGCATTCTGATTCTCTGGTTTAAACCAAGTCTTCCGGACAACGCAGCTTGACTGGTACAAAGTGCGCGATGTGACATAACGAAGCCTTTAGGTACACCTGTACTGCCGGAAGTAAAGAGAATATAGGCAGTATCGTCAGGAGAGGTCTCGATGCTCGGGCCTACGGTTGCATCATGTGGAAGTTGAAGCACAAAATCTGCCGTGATAGCAAGTACATTCGGCACTAGATCTGCACAGCTGGCCTGAAGATGCTCTGATGCCAAAATTAGGCCGGACCCTGTTCTACCGACGAGATATTGCTTGCGTTGTGTTGGGTGAGCGGGATCCAGAGGCGACCACACGGCACCGGCCTTGTTGATAGCTAAGATAGACACATAATGCCATGCTGATTTGTCGAAGCAGACATGAACAACGTCTCCAGATTTGATTCCAAACATTTGAATCAAATGATGGGCTAACTGGTTTGCATACCCGTTGAGCTCAGCATACGTTAATTGATAATCCCAAGCATAAATTGCCGGAGCTTGAGGTTGATCAATCGCTTGCGCTTCAATGACCTTATGGATACAGTTGTCAATGACCCGAGGAGTCCTGTTCAAATTGAACCGTTTTGCCTCTTGGACGTCCCAAGACGATGTCATTGAAAGATTGCCAAGTTTGACGTCACCAAGAGTGGCTAGTTGTTGTACAACTTGTGCAAGTTGCTCTGAAAGCCCAAGAACCTGACGCTCCTGCAGAAGACCGGAGTCGTACGTCAAGAAAAGTTCAGCCCCGAGGTCTGACAGCGCACCTTGGATCACCAATGGGTAGCTGAAGTATCCTTGCAAAGACTTTTCGTTGCCTTCAATCGTAGTGACTGCCGGTAGCAGGAGCTGGTCGTTAACTGTTCCGGCGAGGCCCATTTGTTGGACAGGTTGGACAACCATTAGACTTGAGAAATCGCAAGCTTCCTTGGCATCGGGTCCCAATTTGGAGATATTCTGCAGACCAAATTGTTCGTATGGAATCATATCAGAAGCTTGTGACTGGACAGACTGCAGGAACGCTTTGACCGTCTGATCCTCATCTAATCGAACACGGACTGGGATTGTCGAGATGACTGTACCAGGCGTTGATTCGAGGCCTACCACGGGAGCATTTCGACCTGAAACCGTAGCTGCAAATGTGACATCATTAGTCTCGCAATAACGAGAGAGTACAATAGCCCAGGCAGCTCGTAGCACTGTGGCTTTGGTTATTGACGTGGCAGTTGACTTAGGGAACTGGATCGAGTGAGTAAAGCTGCGAGAGGGGCCTGGCTTCTGGGAGGACTTGTTGGGCGGAAATGCTGTCTTTTGCGCGCCGAGAAGTGACTTCTTCCAGTACTCTTGAGTTGCTGACAGGTCCATATCCATGACATACGATATGAAATGAGCGTACGGACGAATAGACGGAAGTTCTTGGTCGTAGTAAGACCGATACAGTAAATCCATCACAACACGCATTGTCCAACCATCAAAAACAGCATGATGGCAGAGCCAAATGAAATAGTACTGGTTGTTGTCCGGATTCTTACCAATGCTATACCGAGTCAGCCGGGATCCGTAACCCATGCTGACCTGCGTTGACAACTCCAATGCCTTAGAGAGATCAGAGGGGTGGAAAGTATCCCATTCGACATCGTTCTGAACAATTGCCTGAATATGTTTCCCGTTCGATTCTACGATCCTGGTTCGTAGATTGGCACAGAGACTGACAACTCGCTCCCAAGAACTCTTGAACTGTTCAATGTTGACATCGGAAGATAGATTAAAAGCATTCTTCGCAATATAAGAACCTGGTTGCTTGACAGAAAGGGCGATGAGACCCTCCTGAAGAGGTGTACAGGGGTATGCATCCTCCACTGTCTGTTCTCCTTCCAAGGCGCACGCCCTGCGAACAGCTGCTGTGGTCTTCTCAATATCAGCAAGCTCACCTGGGAGCAGGCTGAAAGCACTAATGTTGCCGTCTGTCGTAACAGACTCAAGTGTCGAGCAGTAGCTAGCCATGCTTTCAAGACGGGAGTCCTTGAATATGTCCAGCACACTCAGCCCAATACCTTCGGTCTGTGCTTGTGACACTAGGTGAATAGCGGAAATGGAATCACCGCCTATCTGCAAGAAGCTGTCACTCTTACCAATGCGCTCAGCTGGTATGTTGAGTACTCTGGCCCAGATGTCGCGTAGTTTGAACTCTAGTTCAGTTGTTGGCGCCGCTTTTGTTTGCTGTAACATGAAAGATGATAGCTCTTGCGACGTGAGAGCAGTTGCCATCTGTCGAAGTTTCTTCCTATCAAGTTTCATGGCGTTGATAAATGGCATCGTCCTCACTGGCAAAAAGTGCGAAGGCACCATGTACCTTGGGAGAGTTGAACTCAAATCGGAAGACAGTTGTTGGATACTTGTCTGCTCCTCGGTATTGAGCGTGCCGAAGAACCCAGTACTGTCAAATTCCAAGCTAGGTTGGGGGAAGAAAGCAACGAGAGAGTCGCCCAGATCCGTTTTTACAATATCAACAGCGATGTGATCGAGCTCTGGGCGGAGTTTCTTAATCGCGTATTCAATCTCCCCCGGTTCAATCCTTTGACCTCGGAGTTTGAGTTGCGTGTCCTTGCGGCCAAGAATTTCCAGCGTTCCATCGGGTTGATATCGAACCAAATCTCCGGTCAGGTAAAACCTGGTGCCATCTGATGGTTTAGATGGACCAAGCCATGGGACTGTGTCGAAGAACACTTTGCTGGTCTGCGTTTCATTATTGATGTATCCACGAGCGACAAAGCCTTGGAGTAACAGTTCACCAACACAGCCGATGGGCGAGAGCTGTTGATGATTGGCGGGATCAACAATCCAGCAAGTAGTGTTAGCACCGAACCCAATTATCCCGGGAACGTCATTTTTAGATTGGAAGTGGTAGACATTGGAGCAGACGCAAGTTTCCGCAGGCCCATAAGCATTGAGCACATCCACGTGGTCAAACCACTTATCAATGACGTCTCTTGTAACCGGTTCACCACCAAGAATCAGCCTCTTCAGGTTCGGCAAGCTAGTGGGACTCAATGTCTTCGCAAACGACGGGGTGAGTAGTGTCATGTTGACCCGAGCCTTGTTCATGAACTCTACCGTCCCCTGAAGCCGCTCGAGCTCGTTAGGAACACAGACCGTGCCTCCTCGTATCAGAAGGCAGATGATCTCCGTTATGCTGGCGTCAAAGACGTAATGTGAGAACTGCAGCATGCGAGTCGAATGATCGTATCCATATTCCTTTCCATGACCATGAACAGCCGCAGCGCTGAGCGCGGCATGCTCCACCATAAGACCTTTAGGCTTTCCAGTTGAGCCAGAAGTGAATAAGAGATAGGCCACATTTCTTGGGGAAACAGTCACCGCTTCTAACGAGCTACTTTGGGTCTCGGGAAGCTGGAGAATTGTCTGCTGAGATAGCTCGATGAGAGTGTGAGCCAACCCACGACACACGTTGATCGTTTCGGGGGACACAATGATGTGTTTAGCACCGACATCATTGACCAACTCCTTCAGCCTATCTACTGGCTGCTGTGGATCTAGAGGGATGAAGTAGCCCCCGGCCTTCATAATGGCCACCATTGCGACAACAACCCAAGGAGACTTTTCATAACAGAATGGCACGGCTGTATCTGGTCCCACGCCGAGAGACGAGAGACGAGTGGCCAGTCTCGTGGACAAATTATCAAGCTCCGAAAACGAAAGTGATATTTCCGAAGAGTATATTGCCTCTGCATTAGGGCGAGTCTTAGCATGCTGAGAAATCAATTCATGAGCGCAAAGGTCGGATGCGAGAGGGGCTTTGTTCCAAGACTGGGCTTGGAGGAGATCCCATTGCCCCGTTACTGAGATATCAGAAAGGATAGTTCCTGTTTGGCTAGCAAGTTGCTCAATCACATGGCTGAGCTGGTGTGAAATAGCGACGAGCTGAGCCTCGTGTACCAACCCTGTCTTGTAGCTGTACTCAAGGCCCACAGAATTGTCTCCAAGCATCACTTGGCATATAAGAGGGTAGTCCGAGAATCCATCAAGAGACTCCTCAATGGTGATTTTGGTCTCTTGCAAAGGTAGGAATAGTGAGTCGTCATCTGAATCGACGTACTGCCGAGCTGGCTGAATAACAAATAAACTTGAAAAGTCACAAAGGTCCTTCATCTCCGCGTCGAGCTTAGAGATATTTTGTAACCCATACTGCTCGTAGCGGGTCATATCGATAGCTTGAGACTGAACTGAGTGGAGATAGGAGTTCGTGTTCATGTCCTTGTCTAGCTGGATGCGAACTGGCACAGTGGCAATTGTAGGCCCAGACAAACTTTCGATCCCTGGAACGGGAGCCTGACGGCCTGAGACAGTTGCACCAAAACAAATATCGTCAGTGTTTGAGTGTCGAGCAATCACAATAGCCCAGGCCGCCCTGATTAGTGTAGCCTTGGTGATCGAACTATCGTTGGATGGAGGACAAGGTACAGTCGTGCTATAGTACCGGCTCCCATTGGTGTTGTTGTGACCTCGCGGCGGGAATGATGCGGGCTGGGCATCCTGGAGTTGATGTCGCCAATACTCGCTTGCACCTTCATTGTCGATTTCATTGACAAACTTGACGAAATGACTGAATGGCAATGGTTTAGAGACAGCGAGTCCGTGATAGACCTCAGAAAGCGTACGGAGGACAATCTGAATGCACCAGCCATCGTATATGGCATGGTGACCGGTCCAAACAAAGAAGCGGTTATTGTCATCTTCCTCCACGATAGCAAAGTAACTGAGGGGGTTTCCATACTCCATCTTCATACTACGTGCCAAGTCCAAGTACTCGTTCAGCGGAAGATCATCCTTGTTGTGCCACATAAGGGGCTCGTTCAAGACAGCCTGGTAAGAGTTGCCATCCACTTGTACGATCTTCGTCCTCAGATTACCACACAGTTCCACAGTTGCCTCGCAAGCCAATTTGAACAGAGTGAGATCTACATCTGGTGAGAGCTGTAAAATTTGGCGGGCAGTGTAAGATCCTGAGTTGCGTGAAGCCAGAGCTAGAAGACCTTCCTGCATCTTCGTACAGGGGAACACGTCCTCTATAACGTTCCGGTCTGAGAGCTTGCACTGCTCTTGGATGCTTGACACAATGTTCTCCACATCCAGCGGCGCAAGAAGTTCGAATGGCTTTGTGTCGTACATTTCCTTGTCCACATCTGAACTTCCACCGGCAATCGCCGAAAGTCGCGGGTCTTTGAAGATCATCTCAACGGTGAGAGCAATTCCAATTTCGCTTGCAGCGGAAACCAATTTGATCGCGCTAACAGAGTCACCGCCAACTCGAAGGAAACTATCGTGCCTGCCAATATCGGCAGCGTTGATTGAAAGAATCTGAGCCCAGAGGTCACGGATCTTGAATTCCATTTCGGTTACTGGTTCCTCAAACGCCTTTTCATCGTTGGCAAATCGAAGCTTGTCTTTGGTTGTCGCGGATCGTGCCAAAGCACGAAGCTTCTTTCGATCAATCTTACCAGAGGCCATTTTATCGGGAGTTCCAGTGAAGAACAAGTAAAGATTGGGCGACATGTAGCTCGGGAGGGCACGACTCAAGTGAGTTTGGAGCTTCGCCATAGTGTCTCTCATCTCATCCGTAACGATCTCGGCGAGTTGAAGCGACGGGAGATCGGCAGAAGGCCCGGAGTTGTACCAAACTAGAGCCGTAAGAGTATTTGACCCCGTCTCTTCACGGATGAAGTCGGTGATGGCATTCATGTTGCTGGGGAGGGCATCCTCAATGTGAGACTCGATCTCTCCTAGCTCAACTCGCTGACCGTAGTGCTTCACTTGGTCGTCTTTCCGGCCTAAGTATTCGAAAGTCCCATCAGCAAGACGGCGTACTAGATCTCCTGTAAGATATGCCTTCTTAGGCATGTCTCCAGGAAGCCAATCAACGTCGTGCAGCCATGCCTTCATGGCTTTTTCATCAGCGCCAATATATCCGCGAGCCATCATAGGACCTTGGATCATCAATTCTCCAACACCCCCAATAGGGACGAGTTGCCGAGGGTTTTCGGGGTTGACGATCCACCAGGCGCACGAGGATGGAATTCCAATGTTGCTTGGCTTGGATATCAGACCTACGTCGGCAATCCAACCACAGATGGAAGCTTCCGCAGGACCGTACAAATTATGAAGGGTTGCATGACCTTTCCAGTTATCTACCACTTGCTTTGTCACATTCTCCCCGCCTAACCCTACGTTTTGAATCGTAGGAATGCGTGCAGGACTAACAAGTCTCGCGAGCGTGGGCGTAAAGAAGGTCCAGTTGGCCTGCATCTTATTGATTGCACCATGGATATCGTTATAACGCTGCCATTCAGAGGGGATGCAGAGGCAGGCACCACGGGACAACGAGACCATAACATCGATAACGCCAATGTCAAAGGTGTAAGCCGAGTAAGTAAACACCCTTGTTCCTGGACCCCAGCCCTGGATTGCTCCATGGCTGTTCGACGTTGAGCACGTATTCCGATGTTCAAAGACCATGCCCTTCGGCTTGCCCGTCGAGCCCGAAGTGAACATAACAAAGCTAGCGTTTTGGTATGTCGCGGAAGATTTCACGGGTAGTTCATCGGGTTCCGGGAGATCTCGAATGAATGCTTCATCAACAAGAATGACATCAACCTCTAAGGCATTCGCTAGCTCCTCACACGGGGGCGATGCGAGAACGATCTTCGAATCCGTATCCGCTAGAATTGTCTTCAATCGTGCAGCTGGTGAATTGAAATCAAGCGGTACAAATGCTCCTCCTGCCATGTTGATAGCAATCATTGAGACAACAGCCCACATGGACTTGGGAAAGCAAATTGGTATGAACACTTCTGGACCGACGCCAAGCGTCTTCAAGTGACTGGCAAGACGCTCTGCATAGTAACCGAGCTCCTGGTACTTCATACCTCCGTCCCAGGATGTAATAGCGGGGAGGTTAGGAGTATTCGCAATTTGCTCACGAATCATGTCATGGATTAGCCGGTTTGTTGATGGCTTCATATTTTGATGACTTAGGGCATGCTTCATGTCAGATTCCCCAACGAGATTGATTTCCCCAATGGGAGCTGATGGCTTTTCGAACAATTGTTGTACAACAAGCTCCAATTGCTCACCAATAGCATCAACTAGCTCGGTCGCCAAAACACGAATATCGTAACAAAGTCGCACTTTGATGTGACCCTTCATGAGATCTGCCTCCAAGACTAATGGATAGTTGAAGTAATTGACCATTTCCTCTTCGGTAATCTTTGTGGCTTCGCCGATCTCCAAAATCGTGTGGTCAGTTCCTCCTTCAAGGAACGGCTTCGGGCGAATCACCATGAGCGTCGTAAATTGACAAGCATCTCGAGCATCTGAACTAACTCTAGCGATCTTTTGGAGGCCAAACTGTTCATAAGCCGTCATGTCGGTGGCTTGCATCTGAACGTCATCCAAGAATTTCTTCACCGGCGTGCTATAGTCCAGTTTGATACGTACAGGAATCGTTGCAATAGCAGGACCTGGCATGTTCTGGAGTCCCTCAAGGGCTGCATTGCGGCCCGAGAGAGTAGCACCGAAGCAAACGTCATTAGTGTTGGCATGACGGGCCATCACAATAGACCATGCGACTCTGAGAACAGTTGCGATTGTAGCAGACCCGTTGCTTGTCTCTGGAGTGGCAATCTGGTGATGCTTGAACTTGAATGTTGGCTTAAGTGTGCTGTCAGTAGTGGATGAGGGGAAGGTAGAACGAGAAGCCCCTTCTAGCTGGTTCGACCAGAACGCAGCAGCGGCATCGCCATCGAGATCCAATGTGTGCTTGATGAAACCAGCATAAGATGGGAGGGGACTAGAGGTACCTTCCCAATAATGTTCGTACAATGTCCTGAATGTAAGTTGGAGTGACCATCCATCCATAATGGAGTGATGGGCGATCCAAACAAAGTACGAATCTCCTTGCCTATCTGTCAAGATCGAATATCGGTTAAGTCGGGATCCGAAGACCATTTCGTATTGCTGCGTGACCTTGATAAAGGCTCCCAAATCAGACCCTGGATTGGCCTCCCAGTGAATATCGTCCTTGACTGTTACCTGGATCGACCGATCCTTTGATGGGACAATCCTTGTTCTCAAATTACCATTCGTCTTGACTGTATGTTCCCACGATGCTTTCAGTTTTGAGAGATCGATATGCTTCGAAATTTGGAAGACATACTTCGTAATGTAGGAACCAGTCTGCTTGACAGCTAAAGCTATTAAACCCTCTTGAAGAGGTGAACAAGGGAAGGCATCTTCAATTGTTGCTCCTGTGGGTAAACCACATTGCTTATGTATTTCTCCGCCTTGGACGAGATCTCTCTCTAGATCTGTAAGTAGTTCGAATGGACGGATTTCTGCACTTGGTGACTTCAGTAGCACAGGAGCGGTTGCAGCCCGAACAGCAAGATCTATCAATCGGGGAGAGCGGAATACATCATCGGCAGTGATGGAGATACCACGGTCCCTAGCAGTAGTCATGAGGTTAATAGCAGCAATCGAATCTCCGCCAATAGCAAGGAAACTATCATCACGGCCAATAGAACTGGCAGCGATTTTTAGAACCTCTGCCCAGATCTCCCGAAGAGCCACTTCCATTTCTGTCTCCGGCTCACGCTTCCTTGAATTTTGCAAAGAATATTGTGCAAGACTTTCCTGAGTAAGATCAGATGCCTTAAGTCGCAATGTCTTGCGATCCAACTTTGAAGACGTGATGAAGGGCATGTATGCACATGGGATAAATGTCGTTGGAACCATATAGGAGGGCAGAACAGTTCGTAATTGGCTTGCCAATGATGCGATCTCTACTTGAAGAGTGTCGCTCATAGGGACAAATAAGTCATCCCAATCATCCGACATCTTGCCAATCCTGGTCGAGTTCTCAAGACAGAAGTAAGCGAATAAGTTAGCACCCCCAGATCCATGGAATACGTCCACGGCAACTTGGTGTAAACTGGGCATAAGTTGGCGTATGCGGTGTTCAACTTCTTCAACCTCCACTCGTAGACCTCTGATTTTGATCTGAGTATCCTTACGGGAGAAGAACTCAAGAATGCCGTCTGAATTATAAAAACACAGATCGCCAGTTAGATAAAAGCGGTTCCAGGAGGCTTGGTCTTTGTTTGGAGCCCAGTCTGGTAACTCGGTTAGGACAGCAGCAGATGTCCTGTCGGGATCATGCAAGTATTCACGGAGCAGATTCGGTCCATGGATTACAGCTTCGCCTAATGTACCAGCAGGCGCAAGTTTTTGAGGATCATTAGGATCAACGAGCCAGCAGAAGCCACCCACAGGTGTTCCGATCGTCATAGGGCTCTCGGTCTCGCTCTGCCACTCATGTAAAGTACTGAAGCAACAGGTCTCCGCCGGACCCCAGCCATTAATGAGACGTAACTTATTCATCCACGTTTCAAAAATGTCACGTCCAACTGCCTCGCCAGCTAGGATAAGAAGCTCCAATGTGGGTAGATCTTCTGGCTTTAGGGTACGCACGAATGCAGGGGTCAGGTATGCCCAATTGATGTTGTTTTCACCAATATAGTCAGTCAAGCGGTTCATTCTGTCGGCATCTGATGGCACGCAGAGTGTAGCGCCGCTAATAAGCGGCCCGAGGATCTCACCAATAGACAGATCAAAGACAAATGCTGCAAACTGAAGTATTCTAACGCTTGAGTCAAGACCAAGTCTCCTTACTATGGCTACTTGGCTCGTACAAGCGGCACCATGCTCCATAACAAGACCTTTCGGTGTGCCAGTTGAGCCCGAGGTGAATAGAACGTAAGCAGCGTCTCGGGGTGACACACTTGTCTTCAAAGATTGGACGTTTTTACTCTTGATGTCGTCATCAAGTGCTTGAGAGACCTCGAGAACAGAATGAGTCAGGTCCTTGCAGATGGCCATATTGCTAGCGGAAGCGAGGACCAGCGTGGCTCTAGTTTGGCCAACAATCTGCTCATGGCGTTGCCTTGGATGTGATGGATCGAGAGGAACCCATGCGGCACCGGCTTTGTTAATAGCAAGAATAGAAACAAAATACCAAGCCGACTTCTCAAAGCAAGCGTGGACAAAATCACGAGGCTTGATCAAATTCTCGGACACTAGGTAGCTAGCAAGCCTATTAGCGCTGTCATTGAGCTCCTTATATGTCAAAATTAAGTCGTGAGCTCGTATAGCAACAGCTCGAGGCCGCATGGTCGCCTGTCTTTCAATCATGTTGTGGAGTGTTGACTCGATAATCTGAGGAGTTTCCATGTTTGAAGCGCGGGCAATCTCTTCGTCCCACTGTCCAGTGAGTGACACATTCGAAAGAGGTCTTTCTGTTGCATGGAGCAAATCATTGATAACGTGCTGGATTTGGTTCAAAAGACCCTCAGCCTGGAACTCTGTTACGGTATTGGAGTCATAAGTGAGGTTGAGGTTGAACATGTCATCGTACAAGACTGTTTGGAAAACCAGCGGGATGCTGAAGTATCCCGACAGGCTAGATTCAGCCTCAGTCTCGTCAAGCTCATAAGGAGTCAATAGAGTGTTGACCTCGCCACCGATTTCAGCCATCTTCTGGTAAGGCTGCACGACTAGCAAGCTCGAGAAGTCGCAGAGTTCCTTGAAATTGTCCTTTAATTTGGAGATATTTTGAAGACCATACTGTTCATATGGAATCATCTCCGTAGCCTGAGACTGGACTTTTCGGAGGAACTCATGAATTGACACAGAGCCATCCAGACGAATCCGAATGGGCAGAGTGGCGACAGCCGGGCCTGCTATTTGCCCCAAATTAGAAACAGGAGCTTGTCGCCCTGAAATAGAAGTCCCGAAGCAAATGTCGTCGGTGTCACAGTATCTACCCAAAACGATTGCCCATGCAGCTCGGACAATCGTGGCCTTGGTAATGGACGGATCAACCTCACGAACTTCCATCTTTTGGTTGAGAACCTTAGTAAGAGGAGCTTTCGGAGTTCTTGAAACACTAGGGAATGTAGTGGGGTTGCAATCTTCAAGCTGCTTCAACCAGAAGTTACGGCCATCTTCCTTGTCCAAGTTCGCTAAGTAATGGATAAAGTGGTCGAAAGGTTTTACGACCGAATTGAAGTTGCCGTTATAAGCATCAGACAAAACACTCAGGACTAGTTGCATGCTCCAACCATCATAGGATGCATGGTGAGCAATCAAGACAAAATAGTTGTGCCCGGAGCTTTCATCCCTGACAATAGCATAGCGGTTCAAGCGTGAGCCAAACTGCATTTTCATATCATCAGCCACTTTCATAAAGTCGAGAAGACTCATTCCCGAGGTCTCCTCCCACGAGATGTCGTTCTTTACGTAAAGTTGAACAGTTGTGTCGGAAACACGAACTATGCGGGTTCGTAGATTTGCGCATGTCTGAACCGTATGCTCGAAGGCACGGCGCAACTTATCAAGATCGACATCCGCTGCTAAGCGGTAGATCCACTTTGCGATGTAGGATCCCGGCTGCTTAACTGACAATGCCATCAAGCCTTCTTGTAGGGGAGTGACTGGGAATGAATTTTCAATTTCTTGCCCATCAGTCAGGTTGCAAGCGTCCCGAATATCATCTCCCAGAACCGATGACCGCAAAGATTCATCCAAAAGATCAAATGGTTGCAACTCTGTGAGTTCGGATTGAGAATCGATCTCGGTCGCACGAGCAGCAATGGCGGATAGTCGAGGGTCATCGAAAATGTTCTGTACTGAGACCTGTAGACCGGATTCACGAGCTGCATTAACGAAATGGATTGCAGTTATCGAATCACCGCCTAGACGGAGGAAGCTGTCATCCTTTCCAATTGACTCGGCGGATATCTTGAGTAGCTCGGCCCAGATAGTTTGGATCTTGATTTCTATAGCTGACTCAGGAAGGGCTTTTGCTGAGTCTGAGAGGGAATAATGCTGTAGACTCTCGGCATTGAGTGCCGAGGTCAGAGCCTTCAAAGCCTTTCTATCAAGTTTGGAAGATGTAATAAAAGGCATGAAGCTACACGGTATGAACATAGAAGGAATCATGTACCGCGGCAGAACAACGTCAAGCTTGCTTGTTAGAGACGTAAGATCTGCATACATACCAGCAGGAATAGATTCGAAAATGCTCGTCCAACCGTCTGATCTGCCAGATATTTGATTGTTGTTGGTCAGGCAGAAGTAGGCAACGAGAGTAGCCCCGGCTGGTGAATTGAACACATCAACAGCAACCTGTTGAGCAGGTGGGAAGTTGACTTTGATTTGGTGCTCAACTTCACCTAATTCAACTCTGAGGCCACGGATCTTGATTTGAGTGTCCTTGCGGGTGGAAAACTCGATCAGACCCTGGGCGTTATAGAACCCTAAATCACCAGACTTGTAAAAGCGACTCCAGTTCTCCTCCTTAGACTTCGGGGCCCAGGATGGCAGACTAGTCATCGTAGTTGCCGCGGTCCTTTCTGGATCTGCTAGGTATTCCTTTAAGATGGTAGGTCCTTGAATCATGATCTCTCCCATCGTTCCTATGGGAGCAAGCCTGTTATGGTCCTCGGGGTCGACAATCCAGCAGAATCCTCCGACGGGCCTTCCTAGTGTTAGGGAGGATTCGTCGGCCGACTTCCATTCGTGCAGTGTACTAAAGCAACAGGTTTCCGCAGGTCCCCAGCCATTCACGAGCCGAACTTTTGTCGTGACCCATGTTTCAAAAACATCACGGCCAACTGCTTCTCCAGCAAATAGCATCAGTTCCAATGACGGCACTGATTCAGGTGTCAAAGTCCGCGCAAAGGATGGAGTGAGGTACGCCCAAGTCACATTGTTATCGCGAATGAAGGAACTCAGATCGTTCAATCTCGATTCGTCAGATGGTACACAGACAGTAGCGCCCGTAATTAGAGCTCCCACAATTTCGCCTATGGAAAGGTCGAAGACAAAGGCTGCGAACTGCAACATGTTGACTTCGGGAGACAAGCCGAGTCTGTCACCGATCGCTTTTTGGCTAGTGCAAACGGATCGATGTGTCATTACAAGACCCTTTGGCGTGCCTGTGCTCCCGGACGTGAACAAGACGTAGCATGCATCAGACCCTCTAGCGATATTAGTTGGGACGTCTCTGTCTCTGTTGCCGATCTCCAGGGACAGATTGTGCAGGAAACTCGACGTGATCTCGAGAGTAGTGGGAACCAGGCTCGAAATGGTGTTCGTGTATTTAGACGACGATAGTATCAAACCTGCTCCAGTCTGAGAAACCACCTGTTGATGACGCTGAGTTGGGTGAGATGGGTCAAGCGGAACCCAAGCAGCGCCAGACTTGTTAATTGCCAAGATGGAAACAAAATGCCAAGCTGATTTCTCGAAGCACACATGTACGAGATCACCTCTTTTGACGTCCAGTGCGTTGACCAGATGAGATGCTAGATTATTGGCGTAAGTATCCAACTCGCCGTACGTGAGGGTTGAATCACTGGCCCGAATGGCAACAGCTTGTGGTTGAATCTTGGCCTGCTGCGCAACTAAGTCATGGAAAGTGACATCCATGATGTTTGACACCTCGTTATTGAGTTCCATTGCTTGCTTTAGATCCCAGTCACCGGCAATTGAAATTTCGCTCAAAAGTCGCGAAGTCTCAACGGTAAGTGTCTTGATAATATGCTCAAGCTGATTGACCAAACCGGTAATTTGCAGCTCGCTCAACTCACAGGAGTTGTACGTCACGTTCAATCGAATCATCTCGGAAGATACAAGAGTCTGAACAACCAGAGGATAACTGAAGTAGCCCTCGAGGCTTGATGAATCCCCATTTCCAGTTTCGACGGGGATAACAATTGCGTCGGAATCACTACCCATTTCAAGCAGCTTCTCCATTGGTTGAATGACAAGCAAGCTGCTGAAAGTACAAGCTTCTTTGATATTGTCTCCCAGCTTCAAGATGTTCTGCAATCCGAACTGCTCATAGTTGATCATTTCAGTAGCCTGGGATTGGATCCTTTGCAGAAACCCAGAAACCGAGCTGCTCCTATCGATTCGCACATGGACTGGTGTCGTAGTTACTACAGGGCCGGCTATCTCACCAATGCCAGGAACAGATGCCTGTCGACCGGAAACAGAAGTACCGAAGCAGATGTCGTTCATTTCGCTATACTGCGAAAGTACCAAAGCCCAAGCTGCTCGCATGACTGTAGCTTGCGTAATCCCGTTGTGTGAGGATCTGGGTAGCTCCACAAGCTTGTTCATGACTTCGGTCTTCGTCTCAGCATTGCGTGTGACGGGTGGGAAAGGGGCGGCTTTGGCGTCACGCAGTTGATCGAGCCAGTACTCCCGAGCGCGACCATTGTTCATTTTCGTTGTGTACTTAATGAACCCGTCAAATGGCTTGGGCCAAGGTCCCTTGGATCGCTTGTAAGCTTCGGCCAAAGTCCGTAGCATTAGTCTCATTGTCCAACCGTCGTAAGTAGCGTGATGGGTGATTAGAACGAAGTAATTTTCGCCGGTGGGTTCTTTAATGAGTGCCCATCTATTCAACCTAGTACCGGGAGCCATCGTGATATTCTTATGTAGATCTAAGAACTTCTGCAAGTCCATATTCTTAGTATTCTCCCAGGCTGTATCGTTCCCAATTACCACTTGCAATGGAACTTGGCCAATATTGATGATACGAGTTCGCAAGTTCCGGCAGAATAAGACAACCTTGGCCCAAGCGTTGCGGAATCGACGGATGTCGACATTGGCAGGAATACGGTACACCCATTTTGCAATATATGAACCCGGTTGCTTCATTAGAAGAGCCATCAAACCTTCCTGGAAAGGCGTGACTGGCATGGCATTTTCAATGGTCTGTTCATCGTCAAGATCACACAACTCAATTGCCTCACTTTCCCAGTCCATGTCGTGGAGGGAGTCGGGGACCAACTCAAATGGTTCGAGGTCTTCATAAGATTCAGTAGGGACCTCAATCTCAACGCAATGAGATGCCACCATAAACAGTCGTGGGTCATCGAAGAGATTCTGCACGGTTAACTTGATGCCAAGGCCACGGGCTGCAGTGACGAGGTGGATAGCAGAAACTGAGTCTCCACCAATCTGAAGAAAGCTGTCATCTCTTCCTATAGAGTCTTCGGGCAGATTCAGGATTGATGCCCAGATTGATCTGAGACGGAATTCCATTGGGGACTCCGGCGATCTCTTCACGCTATTTGCAAGAGAATAATGTTGGAGTCTATCCGTGTCAAGGTCTGCCACAAGGCGTCTCAGTAGGCCACGGTCCAGCTTTGATGATCGGCCTATTGGCATAAAGTTGCAGGGAACAAAGATTGATGGAACCATATATCCTGGAAGAACCATCTTCAACTTCCCGGTCAGCTCCTGGAGCTTGGCTTCAACCTCGGGCGTGATATCAGAGAACATTGCGTCTGTTGGGGATAAGTCATCTACACTTCGTCTGTCATTGGAGAATGAAAAGTAAAGAACAATGCGAGAAGCCTCGTCTGTTCGATGGACCTCAGCAATGGCTTGAGAAACGCCGTCCAAGATAGATGAAACTTGGTGTTCGATTTCTCCGAGTTCAACTCTGAGACCGCGAATCTTCACTTGCGTGTCCTTCCGGCCGACGAATTCTATCACGCCGTTGGCATTATAAAACGCGAGATCACCAGACTTGAATGCTCGGCTAGAGGGTATGTCCCTTTGTTGCGCCCAAGGAGCAAGGTCGGTCACCATAGTTGCCTTCGTCTTCTCGAGGTCACCAAGATACTCTTGAAGGACTGTAGGTCCGTGGATAAGGACTTCACCGATAGTGCCAATTGGTGCAAGCTTCGTGTGATCATCAGGGTCTACGATCCACGAGAATGCTCCTACTGGCAAGCCAATCGAAGCCGGTGATTCATTGATGGATCCATACTCGTGTATAGATGCAGCGAAGCAGGCCTCGCCCGGACCCCATGCATTCAAGAGTCGAACCTTTCCGAACCAGGTTTCGAACAAGTCATGGGGCACATTCTCTCCTCCAAGCAGGAGGAAGTCGACTGACGGGATCTCAGACGGGGTCAGCGTCCTGGCAAAGGCTGGACTTATTAATAAGCTATTGATGTGTGCGGTGTGAATAAATCCGTTGATGTCGTTGAATCGGGCTTCTTCGGAAGGGACGCAGATGCATGCCCCATTATTCATAGCCTGGAAAATCTCACCAATTGAGAAGTCAAAAACAAAGTTGGAGAACTGAAGCACGCGAGCGCTTGAGTCCAATTTTGTGGCCTTGGTGATGGCATGCTGTCCGGTACACAGAGATCGATGAGTAATGACAAAGCCCTTCGGCGTTCCAGTGCTTCCTGATGTAAACATGATATAGCAACGATCATCTGGAGAGACAGCCGTGACAATATTATTTTGCACGCGGTCCAGTTCAGCATCTAGGCTTGGTGATAAAGGAATGACCGTGTTAACAAGACCATTGCACATCGCTTCGTAGCGAGGAGAAGCAATAATAATCTTTGCCTGGGTCTGGTTGATAATGGACTGCTTGCGCTGTTCAGGATGCTCCGGGTCAATGGGAGAAAATACTGCCCCAGCTTTCATCGAAGCTAGCATGGCTACAAAGTACCACATGGATTTTTCGAAGCACAAGTGAATGATATCGCCTACTTGGACATTACATTCCCTCACAAGGTGGGATGCAAGACGATTTGCAGCATCGTTAAGCTCGCTATAACTCAGCTGGCCATCCCAAGAGAAGACGGCTGGTGAATTTGGACGAATAGCAGCGTACTTTTCAATAACGTGGTGCATGCAAGACTCAATGATCTCTGGTACAGGGTTGCGAGAATTGATGGTTTCAATATCCCACGACGATGTCATTGTAATATCCTTTAGAGGCCTGTCGCTGCTCATTGTAAGAAGCTCGGAAACAAGCTTCTCGAATTGGTAGCCAAGAGCCTGGACTTGCGTGTGTTTAAGGACCCCTGTATCGTAAATAAGGGCCAATTCAACCTTGTCATCGATCAACGCAGCTTGCATCACCAGCGGATAGTTGAAGTACCCCTGGAGAGACTCCTCAATAGGCCTATCGTCTGAATTGATAGGGCTCATTATTTCATTGCCGGTACCTAGACCCATCTTCTGAGCTGGCTGAATCACGATCAAACTTGAGAAGTCACAGCCTTCTTTGGTATCGGCATTGATCTTTGCAATGTTATGTAAACCGAATTGTTCATATGCGATCATATCCAACGACTGCCTCTGCACGTCATCTAGGAACTTTCCAACGGAAGTCTGAGGGCTCAATACGATATGAATCGGTAGCGTTGCAATCATAGCGCCAGAGATGTTCTCGATTCCTTGGACAGGAGCATTGCGGCCAGAAACAGTGGCACCGAAAGTGGCGCTCTCTGTCCCGCAGTACTTCGCAAGGAGTATTGCCCATGCCGCTCGAAGAATTGTAGCTCGAGTTATTGAGCTTCTAGCAGATTGAGGCAGTGTGAGTTCCTTTGCGAACACTTGCGTTACGCCCGAAGGAGTCAGCTGATGTGAGGGAAACGACGCCTTTTGGGAGCCGCTCAATTGACTGGCCCAATACGTTTCGGCGGCAGCATTGTCGACTGCCAAGGTATATGAGACGAACGCTGAGTATGGCTTGACCTCTGGAACCTCCATGCGTTGGTAGAATTTGTTCAAGATGGACATGACAATTCCAAGACTCCAGCCATCGAAAGTAGTATGATGGCTAAGCCATAAGAAGCAAATGCCACTGTTACCTTTTGCCAACATGAATCGGTTCAGCCGAGATCCGTATGTCATGTTTGTCTTATTCGAAGATTCCATCAAAGAGTTAAGATCCGCGTGTCCAGGTGCTATTTCACACTCATAGTCATCTTGAACAACGACCTGCAGTGCTTGACCCTCAAAATCGATTATCCGAGTGCGCAAGTTGGTGCATGTCGCAACTGTCTTTCGGAGTGCCTCTTGGAACCTCGGGATGTCGATATCCTCCGATAGTTGATATGCATGCCTGGCAATGTATGACCCGGGCTGCTTGACGGTGAGAGCCATGAGTCCCTGTTGTAGATGAGTGGCTGGGAAAATATCATCGATGACTGTTCCACCGGAGAGATTGCACTGCTTTCGAGCTTCAATGGTAATAGTGGCAACCTTGTCTTGATCAGCAAGACCAAAGGGTTCAACATTATATTCGAGAGCATGGATACTTGAATCTGTCGCGGCTGCCATAGCAGAGAGTCTGGGATCTCGGAAGACTGTCGCAACATCAAGAACCAACCCTCTCTCATGTGCTAGAGTCACCAACCTAATAGCACTGATGGAGTCACCGCCAGCTCTCAAAAAGCTATCATGACGTTTGATCTCGTCCGCATCGATTCGGAGGACTTGCGCCCACAACTCACGGAGTCTTAGCTCTCTCTCTGTGGCTGGTGGCTCGCCTGTTGTCTCAGAGGGTGAGAATTTCAGACGATCTTTTGCATGTGTATCGTGTGCAATCGACCGGAGTTTACGACGATCAATCTTTCCAGAACTAAGGCGCTCAGGTATACCCTGGAATATAAGATACATACTAGGGACCATGTAGCTCGCCAGTACGTGATGCAGAGAAGAGTCAATAGAAGCAATAAGACTTCTCATCTCTTCGGTGACTTCTGAAACTAGTTCGACTTGAGGATGAGTTGAAATGGGCCCCGTAGAATACCACATGAGAGCGACTAAGGTATTTGACTTGGTCTCATCATTCATAATTGTGTCAATGACGCAGGTCATATCTTGGGGCAAGATCTCATCTAGGCGAGATTCAATTTCTGTCAGCTCGACACGCTGGCCGTGGAGCTTGATTTGTGTGTCTTTCCGCCCAATAAAATCAAAGCTGCCATCTGCATTGCGGCGCACAAGATCTCCAGTTCTGTATGCTCTGCTGGGCATATGTCCTGGCAGCCAGTCAACATTATCTAACCAAGCAGCATCAGCCTGCTCGCCCCCGTTGATGTAGCCGCGGGCCAACAGAGGACCTTGGATGAGCAGCTCGCCAATGCAGCCGACAGGAACAGTCTTCTTCAAATTTTCAGGTTCAACGACCCACCATGCTGATGATATTGGGCCGCCGATATTGTTGGGGTTGTCTGATTTGCCTACTGTCTGATAGCCATTAATGGTAGCTTCAGCTGGTCCATAGAAATTGTGAAGAGTAACAAAATCTCTCCAGCGGTCGACTAGCTGCTGCGAAATAGCTTCTCCTCCCAAACCAATATCCTTGAGGGTTGGCACGCTCACAGGATCGATCAGGCCAGCAACTGTGGGAGTGAAAAAAGCCCAATTGGCTTGAAGCTCGTTGATTGCTTCGGCGATGCCATTGTAACGCTGGTAGTCAGATGGAATGCAAACACAGGCACCTCGGGAAAGGGGACCGAAAACATCCATTATACCCCAATCAAACGTGTATGCAGAATAAGCGAATACTCTAGTTCCAGGTCCGAAACTCATCTTGTCGGTGTAGCCAACAATGGCTGAGCAGAGGGAGGCATGGTCATGCAGAATACCCTTGGGTTTCCCAGTTGATCCGGAAGTGAAGATTGCGAAGCTGGCATTCGATGGCTTGGCGGCTCCTGTGAGCTCGGTCGGAGAGGCTGCAGGTAGACCCTTGACGAAGCCTTCGCTCACTGGCAGTGGCTTTGTGCCCAACTGCTTGGCAATCTGGCGAGAATCTTCTGATGAGAGGACAAGGGTGGCTTGGACATCCTCGATGATTGTCTTGAGCCGGTTCACCGGTGCAGTAGGGTCTAATGGAACAAAAGCAGCACCAGCCAGATTGATCGCGATCATGGACACTGCAGCCCAAATCGATTTCGGGAAGCATATTGGCACAAGTTGCTCGGGTCCAACTCCAAGAGACTGGAGCTGCGCAGCGAGTCTCGAAGCATAATCCCTGACCTCCCTGTAAGTCATTGTACCGTCCCAAGACACAATGGCAGGAAGGTCCGGAGTCTCCCTGGTCTGCTTCAGTATCATGGCATGAGAACACATGTCAGTAGAAGGCATCAAGTTTTGGTGTCTAAGTGCGTGTTCCTGGTCCCAAGATTCGGAAAACACCAAATCTCCAACTGTCTTCGAGTTTTTAGTAAAGAGTTGTGTAGCGATTTCGTCGAGCTGATGCGCAATAGCTTCTACTAGATCCTTCGTCAAGCTATTCGTGTCATGAACGAATCGGATGCTTATTTTGTTATCGAGCATTCCCGATTCGATGATGAGAGGATAATTGAAGTAATTCACCATTTCTTTCTCGGTAATGTTCATCTCTTCGTCAGTGGTTATGAGAATGTCATTTCCAGATTCCTGCAGATACTGCTTTGGTCGAATAACCATGAGGGTTGAGAATCGGCATGCATCCCTCGCGTGATCGCTAACCTTGGCAATATTCTGCACACCAAATTGCTCGAAAGCCGACATCTCGATAGCCTCATCCTGTACTTGTTGAAGAAGCTCCTGAATAGATTGACTCCGATCTTGAAGTTTGATACGAACAGGGATTGTCGTGATAGCTGGGCCAGGCATATTCTGGAGGCCAACAAGTGAGGTATTGCGTCCAGAGAGAGTAGCTCCAAAGCAAATGTCATCAGAGTTACAATGTTTTGCCTGAACAATTGCCCACGCCGCTCGTAGAACTGTAGCTTTCGTGATGGAGCCGGAGAAGGTTTTAGGTATGTTTATATCCTGGTAAACAAACTCGAAGTTGGGCTTGGTATCCAGATGCGGTGAGGGAAAAGAAGGACGCGAGGCACCTTCTAATTTTCGCGCCCAGAATGAGCTCGCCTCGTCGTTATCAAGCTCCATTATGTTCTTGATAAACCTTGGATACGATGGAAGCGAGGTAACAGGGCTGTTCCAATAGTACTCATGAAGAGTTCTGAACGTTATTTGTAAAGACCAGCCGTCAATGATCGAATGATGCGCAATCCAGACGAAATGACTGTCTCCAGAGTCATTCTTTACCATCGCATAGCGACTCAGCTTAGATCCATAAGCCATCTCCCAAGTTCGAGTAGCTTTGATGTACGCGTCCAGATCCAAGCCTTCCGTGTCTTCCCACTCCTGATCACCAGTAATATAGATCTGAAGGGACCGTTGGTCGGCAGGGATAATCCGAGTTCGCAGGTTACGATTCATTTGGACTGCCTTCTCCCAAGACGTTCTAAACCGGTCAATATCCACGTGGCTGGGGAGCTTGAATACGTATTTGGAAATGTATGAGCCTGGATGCTTTACAGCCAATGCGATAAGGCCTTCTTGTAAAGGCGAGCATGGGAACGCGTCCTCAATGTTACAATTCCCTGGTATACTATAGAGCTTGCGCAGTCCGTCGCTCTTGATGAGTCCCCTTTCATCGTCGGCAAGCAATTCAAAAGGCTTCACCTCGGTCACGAGGGCTTGTGAGTTAACTGACTTTCCAACATGCAGAGCCATGCTAGCTAAATCAGAGTGGCGGAAGATCTCGTCAACAGTGATGAAAATGTTGTCCTCACGTGCAGCAGTCATAAGATTAATTGCCGAGATTGAATCACCGCCGATTGCAAGGAAGTTATCATCACATCCAATTGAGTCGGGGTCAATGCTAAGCACATCCGCCCAAATCTTTTGGAGCTTAACCTCGAGCTTTGTTTCAGGCTTACGCTTCTCAACATTTTGAAGTCCGTACTCCGATATTTGAGCTTGGTCTAATTTATGTGTCTGCTCCTGAAGCCTCTTTCGGTCAACCTTGCCGCTAACAGATGGGATCGTCTTGCAAGGAATGTACAGAGTTGGAACCATATAAGTCGGAAGTGCAGCACCGACTTTCTTCTTCAGTGCAATCATTTGAGTTTGAACATCGGGATCCATGGCCAAAAAGAGATTATCGTGAGCACTTGAGGTCCCTGAGGACGTCGCCTCCGGATCTAAGCAGATGTATGCCACGAGGTTCACACCTCCTGTTCCACGTAATGTTCCCACTACTGCCTCGCAACCTTGGGGGATGCTTGATCGAATCTGATGTTCTACTTCGCTGACTTCGACGCGAAGACCTCGGATCTTGACTTGGGTATCCTTCCTTGCAAAGAATGCCAGAGTGCCATCATGTCTGTAATAGCAAAGGTCACCTGTCCGATAAAAGCGACTCCAGCGTTTGTCTGAAGAGTTGAACGCCCAAGAAGGGGGTTTGATTCCCATGGCCTCTGCCGTTCGGTCTGGGTCCGCCAAATATTCCCTCATTAGTGTCGGGCCTTGAATAATCACTTCACCAACCGTGCCGAATGGGGCCAGTTTGGAAGGGTCATCGGGTTCGACGATCCAACTCAAAGAACCAGCTGGTTTACCAACCGTATATACTGATTCTTGGTCGGACCTCCACTCGTGTAGCGAACTAAGGAAACAGTCTTCTCCAGGCCCCCAGACATTGAGGAACCTTACTCTACTGACCCAAGTATCGAAGAGGTCTTGGGTGACTTGTTCGCCGGCCAAGAGCAGGAGCTCTAGGGTAGGCACTTCCCCAGGCTTGATAGTGCGGGCAAAGGACGGGGTTAGGAATGCCCAAGCGATGCTGTGTTGTCTAATAAAGCCCGGTAAATCATTAAGCCTTTCAGCGTCAGAGGGAACAAAAAGGCTCATTCCATTCAGTAGAGAGAAGAGAATTTCGCCTATCGAAAAGTCCACCACAAAAGGGGCAAATTGGAGAGTCCTAACGGACTCTTGTATGTTGAGCCTCTTTGTAAACGACATGATACTGGTAATAGCAGAGCTATGTTCCATTATCAGACCCTTTGGCGTGCCGGTTGATCCTGAGGTGAAGAGGACGTATACTGGATCTTGAGGGGACACACGGATATCAATTGGACCGTCATCTTTCAATTGGCCGTCGAACTCAGCCGAAATCTCGACAGTATTCTGAATTACATTCAGGAACAGGCTCGAGTTTCGAGGCGATGTGAGAACAACTTGAGATCCCGTTTGCTTGACGATTTGTTGATGCCGTTGCTGAGGGTGCGACGGATCAAGTGGCACCCAGGCAGCGCCAGCCTTGTTAACTGCTAGGATAGCTACGAAATACCATTTTGACTTTTCAAAGCAGACATGAACGAGGTCATTAGGTCTAACAAGCGCCGATTGGATGAGATGTCTAGCCCATTTATTGGCGTGCGTCACCAACTCTTTGTATGTAAACGACCCATCCCAAGAATGGATAGCAACTGAATCGGGGTTGAGTACAGCTTGCTTATCCACCATCTCATGGAATGTTGCATCGAAAATCTCAGGGACTTCGCTATTGACCGTGAGAGCTTGCTCCAAGTCCCATTCTCCCGTAATAAACACGTCATGCAGCTGTTTATCCTCTCCGAGGAGCTCAACGATCACATGCTCCATATGATGCAACATGGCGGAGACCTGTTTCTCGTCTGAAACTTGAACGTCGTAGGACATACTCATGCTAAGTTCCTCCTCAGAGACAAGAACTTGGAGAACCAAGGGCATATTGAAATAACCCTTGAGGTTTCTCTCGGCGAAATCTTCTTCCATACTAGTCAATTGCAGGATAGAATCTGCAGCCTCTGCGAGCTGATCCATCCTCTCAAATGGTTGAACCACTAGAAGACTCGAAAAGTTACAAGCCTCTTGAACATCCGGAGAAATCTTGGCGATGTTCTGAAGACCGAACTGCTCATACGGGATCATGTCGGATGCTTGTGCTTGCACTTTGTTGAGGAACTCAGAAATAAGAGGATTCTCATCAAGTTTGATGCGTACGGGTACGGTGGCAACTGCTGGGCCGGCCATTTCGCCTAGTCCTGGTACGGGAGCTTGTCTACCTGACAGAGACGTTCCAAAGCAAACGTCCTTGGTTTCTGAATACCTTGCTAAAACGATCGCCCATGCTGCTCGGATGAGCGTTGCCTTGGTGATAGAGGAATCAGTAGCAGGGAGTTGTAGATTCCTTGTAACAAGCTTGGTTGTACCGGCGTCTTGATTTTTCAACATGCGAGGGAACGCAGCTCGCTTTGCATCTTGAAGCTGCTCTTGCCAGTACTTCTTCGCAGAATCCCGATCAAGGTCTTGAACATACTTGATAAAGTGGTCAAAGGGCATAAGGTCCGGTGCTGGGTAATCGTGGTAGACACTAGTCAAAGTGCTCATGATGATACGCATTGTCCAGCCGTCATAAACAGCGTGATGAACGAGAAATACGAAATATGTCTTGCTGGATCCAGGTTCCTTGACCAATGCATAGCGACTCAATCGTGAACCAAGAGTCATTTCAATGGAACCCGTTTTGTCCAGGGTCTCAGCCAAGGTCAGCCCGGTTGTATCCTCCCAAGAAATATCGTCTGTAACCGTGATCTGGGTCGTGGAATTACCAATTCGTGTAATTCTTGTTCGAAGATTAGAACAAACTCTGACGGTCTCTTCCCAGGCTGCCGCGAAACGGCCAGCATCAACATTTTCTGCAAGCTCATAAACCCACTGAGCAATGTAGCTCCCTGGCTGCTTCATGGCCAAGGCAATGAATCCTTCTTGAAGTGGGGTTACGGGCATTGCATTCTCTATGCGAAGGCTGTCTTGTAGACCGCAAACCTCGCGAACAGACGAGCCAACGGCCTCAGAGCGAGTATTAGCATCCAGCAATTCAAAAGGCTTGATCTCGGCAATATCATCAGCTCCGGGCTCTTGCTCAATAGCCCGGGCAGCTACAGCGCAAAGGCGAGGGTCATCAAATATGTCTTTGACCGAAAACAAAATGCCGGTTGCCCGGGAGGCACTGACCAAAGTAATTGCCATCACCGAGTCACCGCCAATGCGTAAGAAGCTATCGTCTCTCCCAATTGATTCCAGCGGCAGATTAAGGAGCTCTGCCCACATGACTTGCATTCTGGATTCCATCTCAGTTTCAGGCTGCCTTTTCGTGGAACTGACCAGTGAATAATCTGCTAATTCGTCCTTGGTGAGAATTTCTGCAAGGCTATGTAGCATTTTTCTATCAAGCTTGCCAGATGTAATCGCTGGCATGAAGTCACAGGGGATGAAGACAGTGGGGACCATATATGCCGGAAGGACAAGGTTGAGCCTGCCAAGCATCTCCGAAACTCGATCATGAAGACCCGGTGTGAGGCGAGAGAAGACATTCTTTGAGTCAGTGTTGACCCGCATCTCTTCATTATACGAGAAGAAGGATACGATGGCTGATCCGGACTCATTGGTGAGCATGTCAACTACCACTTGAGCAACACCATGAAGCGCTTGCCGGATATGATGTTCAATTTCTCCCAACTCCACACGGAGACCTCTGATTTTGATTTGGTTATCCTTTCGAGAAACAAATTCAATTGTCCCATCGGCGTTGTAATGGCAGAGATCGCCGGTTTTATACATGCGATCCCACCCGGATGTGCTTCTGTAGGGAGCCCATTCAGGAATAGGATAAACAACACTTTGCTTGGTTCTTTCTTCGTCTCCGATATATTCTCGTAACAAAGTTGGTCCCTGGATAACAACCTCTCCAGTGGTTCCTATCGGCGCCAAGCGATGAGGATTATTTGCATCGACAATCCAGCAGAAACAGCCCGTGGGGCGACCAATTGTGAGAGGGGACTCATTGAGGGAACTGTATTCATGGAACGCACTGCAGATTGTTGCTTCAGTAGGGCCCCAGGCATTCAATAGTCGTACTTTGTCAAACCAAGTTGCAACCAGGTCTTGTGGAACAGCCTCGCCTCCTAGAATGACACACTTGACGGTGGGAATATCTCTCGGGTACAATGTTCGTGCAAAAGTAGGGGTGATGCCGATAGTGTTGACGTTATTCTCATTGATGAAGTGTGCAAGATTGTTCATCCTAGTGTCTTCGGATGGCACGTGGATAGAGCCGCCGTGCATTAATGTGCCAATGATCTCACAGATGGAGTAGTCGAATGCATATGAAGCAAATTGAAGCATTCTTACGTCTTCTTGCAACCCAAGATTGTTGAACATTGTAGCTTGCCCAGTCACCAATGATCGTTGCTCGATGACAACACCCTTGGGCGTTCCTGTACTCCCAGAGGTGAAAATGATATACGCAGCTATTTCAGACGAAACCTTGTGAAGATGCTTGGGCGAGCCCTGTTTAATGAGTTGTGCTTCTAAAGCTCCCGAAACCTCCAAGACATTGCCAATCAGGTCCCAACAGTCTTGAGAATTGGCCGGTGAAGCTATTGCGAGCTTGCTCTTCGTTTGTTTCATAATATATTCTTTGCGCTGCGTTGGGTATGAAGGCTCGAGGGGCACGTAAGTAGCTCCAGCCTTGCTAATAGCCAATATGCAAACAGTGTGCCACAAAGACTTTTCAAAGCAGACCAAGATATTGTCCCCTTGCTTTACGTTCCTAACGTGGACCAGATGCCGAGCTAGTCGATCGGCAGCATCATTTAGACCTTTGTAGGTAAGGTTTCCATCCCACGCACTTACAGCCAGGGAATGGGGCTGACGTATAGCGTTGACTTCAACAACCTCATGCCAACATCCGTTGATTGAGTCGGGAGCCTTACCGTTCCATGAAATTGCCTGTTTGAGATCCCAAGTTGAGGTAACTTCAAGGTCTTGTAGAGACATATCTGTATCAACAACAAGTTGCTGAATGACGTGATTGAAATGCTCGCAAAGGGCATCAATCCTAATGCGAGGGATTGAAACAGAATCGAATATCAGCTGAAGGTGTGCCTCATCATCAGATATATGGCTGTTAATGACAAGGGGATAGCTCAGGAATCCTTGGAATGCGGAAGCATCCGTATCTTCATGGATTGCGGCAGGCAAGAACATGGCATCGGGACCGTTGGAAATGTTTTCTAAAGGAGAAAATGGCTGAATCACCAGGAGACTTTGAAAGTTGCAGGCCTCCTGGGCATCAGGCCCAGTCTTGGCTATGTTTTGCAGGCCATACTGTTCATGAGCAATCATTCCGGAAGCTTCATCTTGTAGATTTTGAAGGAATTCGGCAACGGTAGAGCCTAGCTTCTCGAGATTGACACGAATAGGAACAGTAGCAATTGCAGGGCCAGTCATTTCAGCCAATCCCGGAACAGGAGCCTGGCGTCCAGATAGGGTCATACCAAACGTGACATCGCTAGAATCACAGTACTTGGAGAGGATAACAGCCCAAGCGGCCCTAATGATGGTAGCTTTGGTAATGGCGGTTTTGCTAGCAGAAGGGAACTTGATGGTACGGACGACGGTGGAAGTCAAGTTGTCTGTCGAACTCTTTGCAGCGCGAGGGAACGAGCCCGAGGTTGCATCCTTCAAGTAGCCTTGCCAGTATTGACGAGTTGTATCATCCTCAATGTCTTGCGTATACTTGATAAATCTTGCATAAGGGTGGATAACAGGCGGCGTGCCTCCGGTATAAAGCGAGTGAAGAGTGCGCAAGACCAGTCCCATAGTCCAACCATCGTAAACTGCGTGATGGATAGCAAGAGCAAAGAAACGTCGGCTATTTTCTTCGACAATCGCGGTGTAGCAAAGCTTTGATCCGTAGGTCATTGACTTTCCATTTACCAATTCTTTGAACGAAGACATGGAAATTCCATCAGCAACGTCCCAAGTAGGAGACTCCCTAAGGATAACTTGAATGGTCTGATCCTGAATGTGAAGTATCCTAGTACGTAAGCTGCTGCAAGTTTGAACTGTCTGGTCCCATGCTTTCTTGAATCGATCAATGTCAATTGAGGGGGAGACTTCAAAATTGGCGAATGCGATATATGATTCAGCTCCCTTAGCAGACAAGGCCATGAGGCCTTGCTGAAGAGGCGTAGTGGGAAAAGCGTCTTCAAGGATTGACGTGACGAGAATATCGGACTGCTCCAGAAGTTGCAAGTCGATGTCCTCACGCGGAATGGACAGCATGCTCATTGGAGCGACGTCTTGGACCTCAACGTGTGTTCCGGATACCGCCAGAGCCATAGCCTCCAACCGGGGATGGGCGAAGATGTCAGCTACAGTGAGCGAAATATTCTGCTCCCGTGCAATGCTCATTAGTTGAATTGCCACAAGAGAGTTGCCTCCCACCTGGAAGAAGTTATCAGATCTGCCGATAGTACCAACATCAGCTCCTAGTGCTTCAGACCACAGAGAACGTAATTTTATCTCCATTGCTGTGACCGGCTCAACCTTTTCCCCAGTATCGACGGAGAACAGGGCTAATTGCTCTTGCGTGAGACCTGAAGCCAAAGCTCGAAGTCTGCCTCGATCCAGCTTCAACGAGTTATTCAGAGGCATCTCTCGAAGTGGGAGGAAAGCCGATGGAACCATATAGCTTGTGAGAACAGTATAAAGATCGTCGCGAAGCTTTTGTAGTTTCTGCTTCATCCCCTCCGAGTGGGACAGGAACAGGTTCGTGACAGATCCGTCGCCTTCAAAATCTGTTTCATCTGATGGGTTTTTGAAGCTCAAGAACGCAACAAGAGTCTCTCGAGAACCGACTGAAACGACATCTGCGGCAACGTGCTCTACATTTGGAAGCAGCTTTTGGATACTGTATTCCACTTCTCCCAATTCGATTCGATAACCACGAAGCTTAGTCTGAGTGTCCCGGCGACCAAGGTATTGAATTGTACCATCCGGATTGTATCGCGCAAGATCCCCAGATTTGTGAAACTTGATCGGGTATTCGGTAGCACCCAGGAATCCGACCTGCTTGATGAATGCTGCATTTGTTCTCTGCTCATCGTTGAGATACCCACGGGCCATATCTCTTTGGATGAGAATTTCACCCACACATCCTATCGGCGAAAGTTTGTTGAAATCATTTGGCTCGACAATCCACATATTTCCTCCGAAGGCTGTACCAACATTCGTAGCCTGATCATTGATAGATTTATATTCATGTGACCCAATAAAGATGGAGACTTCTGATGGGCCATATGCATTAATCAGTCTGACTCGTGGCTGCCACGTGGTGATTATGTCTTGACTAGGAGCTTCACCAACTAGCATCAACATACGCAAAGATGGGACGTCAGCTGGGTTCACCGTTCTGAGATAGGATGAAGTCAACATGGCTGTATTGACCTGAGCCTCTTCCATGAAACGAGGCAGCGATTCCAGCCGCTGTTTGTCTGAGGGTATGCATACAGTGCCTCCAAACACGAGAGTTTCCAAAATCTCGCAAAGACTAACGTCAAAAGCATAATTGGAAAATTGTAGAACCCGAGATTGGCTACCAAGGTGGTAAACCCTATTCTCCCCTAGAAGACTACCACACAGCGCGGAATGCTCAACTATGATGGCCTTTGGTTTCCCGGTGGAACCTGAGGTGAACAATACGTATGCAGCATTCTGAGGACCTGCTCGTGGAGCTTTTTCCGAGTTGAAACTCGTGAGATCCCGCATTTTTTCGAAGAAGGCTTCAGAAATCTCGATGATTTTAGGGTTCATCGAGCCACAGGCTGAGGCTGATTCTGGGGAGCTTAAAATGAATTCACAGCCTGTCTCATCAACCACAGCTTGTCGACGGCTTCTTGGATGCGATGGATCAAGTGGAACGAATACACCGCCTGCTTTCATAATACCAAGCATAGAAACAATAGCGAACTTAGACTTCTCGAAGCAGAAAGGAACAAGGGTCTCTGGACCGATGCCAAGTGACATAAGATAGAGGGCCAGCTTACTTGATAGAATATCAAGTTCGTTGTAAGTCAAGCTACCATTAGATGTAAAAATGGCTTCCTGGTCAGGAAGCTCCGCAGCCTTCGCGGAGATCAAGTTGTGCACGCATTTCTGAACAGGCTTTGGTGCAGACGAGTTCCACTCTTTGGCCTTTTTGATATCCCATGGGCCAGCCACGGAAATTGCGTCCAAGGAACTTGCAGTGTGTTCAACGAGTTGTTGGACAATGTGTTCAAACTGATTCGCAAAGGCTTCAATTGCATCGCGGTTCAGGAGGTCTGGATCATAGACAATTTGCAATTGAACCTTTTCGGAATACAGATTGGCCATTACAACCAGTGGGTAGCTGAAGTATCCATCCATGTCATTGTCGACATTGTACGTCGAGTCATCAATGGCCTCAACGAATTCGTTGTCCGATTTAGTATTGAACATTTGGTCGATTGGCTGGATAACGAGTAGACTTGTGAAATCTATCGCTTCTTTTATGTCCTGGCTGAGGCCTGCAATATTCTGGATGCCGAATTGTTCATAACCTGTCATCTCTGAAGCTTGGTTTTGAATGTCTCTTAGGAAATCTCCAACCGTAAGCTTTGCATTGAGTTGGACGCGAACGGGGACAGTTGCAAGTGTAATCCCAGGCATATCAGTGATTCCGGGGAGGGCTGCTTGACGCCCGGACACAGTAGTGCCGAAGCAAACATCGCTTGTATCGCTGTGACGTCCTAGAAGAATAGCCCAAGCTGCTCTTACCACTGTGGCCTGGGTAATGGCCTCATCTTCAGGTTTGCACAAGCTAACATCATGATACAACACATCCGATCGGACACTGTGGCTACTCTTTGTTGTTGGAGGGAAAGATAGTTTCCTGGATCCGGCAAGCTGCCTTTCCCAATATTCACGGGAAACACTTTGATCAAGCTTCATAACGTAGTTGACAAAGCTCGAGTATGGCTGCAAGTTGAATCCGGTTGTCTCCGTGTAGAGTGCATGGAACGTGCCCATCACTAATCGGAGTGTCCAGCCATCAGTGACAGAATGATGCGTAATTGTAACAAAATATTTTGAACCAGTAGACTCTTCAATGATGGCGAATTGATTCAGGCGAGATCCATATGTCATTCGAATGTCTCGGCTCTGCTCCAAGAAGGCAAGAAGGCTGTCTGTAGTCTGAATCTCCCAGACAGGCTCATTGTCCAGGATACACTGGATTGCTGTGCCATTGTTCAATAAAATTCTCGTTCGAAGGTTCACACAGAGTTCCACAGTTCGCTCCCATGCTCTCTTGAGGCGAGGGATATCAACCGAAGCAGGTATACTATACACATGGCGAGCAATGTACGATTTTGGCTGGGTAACTGACAAGGCCAGAAGTCCTTCCTGAAGTGGTGTACAAGGATACATATCAGAAATATCAACATCATCTGGCAGCTTCATTCCATGAAGCATGGAAGCTTTGAGATCACCATGCGGTGCAGACAGGAGACTGAACGGCTCTGGGTGGCCGAGACCCGTTGAGGGTTCAGCTGGGATGGCCTTGCGGGCAACAGCGTGAAGACGGGGGTCCTCAAAAATATCTCTGACTTCAATCGAGAGGCCATTCTCTCGCATAGCATTGCAAAGCATAATGCAAGTGATTGAATCTCCACCAATGCGCAAAAAGCTATCGTCGCGGCCAATGCTGTCGGCTGGAATGCTCAACACCTGTGCCCAAATTGACTGCAGTTGGATCTCAGTAGCTGTCTCTGGTGCGTGCTTATCAATATTGGAGAGAGAGAACTGATTCAACTGCTCTGGGGAAAGATTTGCCGTCTCTTCGAGCAGAACCCGTCTCGCGAGTTTAGTTGATGTGATGAAGGGCATGTACTGGCATGGCATAAACATCGATGGGACCATGTACCCAGGAAGTGCTATTTCTAGCTCGTAACGAAGACCAGAGACCATCTGCGGTAGGGGAGAATCTGTCTGAGAAAACAAATCACTCCAGTCATCACTGGCACCAGCGTATCTCGCTGCCTGCGTGAAACAGATGTATGCCACCAATGTAGGCCCGGCAGTACCTTTGAGGATATCTACCGCAATTTGGCATTCGGGTGGCAGCAGAGATTGAATTTGGTGTTCTACTTCCCCTAGCTCGATACGCATGCCCCGGATCTTGACTTGGTTGTCTTTGCGGCTAACAAACTCCAGAGATCCTTGGTCGTTATATGAACACAGGTCGCCAGTAAGATAGAATCGATTCCACTGTTGTCTATTTGGGACCCATTCTGGAAGGTCCGTGATTATTGACTTCGTGGATTGTTCGGGATTGTTCAGATACTCTCGAAGCAATGTCGGACCTTGAATTACTACCTCACCAACAGTGCCAATCGGGGCAAGCCGGTTCGGATTGTCAGTTTCCACAATCCAGCAGAATTCCGCCAGGGGGGTTCCAATTGCCGAGAGTGATTCCGTTGGAGATGTCCACTCATGCAGAGAGCTAAGACAGCAAGTCTCGGCCGGCCCCCAACCATTTATCAGCCTGACTTTACTGAACCAAGTCTCGAAGATATCGCGACCAACAGATTCACCTGCTAGCACCATGACTTCCAAACATGGCATCGTCTCTGGACTCATAGTACGAGCGAATGCCGGCGTTTGCCAAGTCCAGGATACTCGGTGGTTGCGAACGAAGGCCGCTAAATCATTCATCCTGGCTGATTCAGATGGCACACACACTGTAGCCCCGGCCAAGAGACCGAAGACTACCTCTCCAACAGACATATCGAATACATGAGACGCGGTTGCAAGGACCCTGGCCTCAGAAGTCATCCCGAGGCGGTTTGAGAATGCCTTCTGGGTTGTACACAAGGGCATGTGCTCGATGACAAAACCCTTGGGTGTACCAGTTGATCCAGACGTGAAGAGAACATAGCAAGCATCAGACGGTGATACATCAACGGCAACTCCCGATGTTAGTACATCCTTGCGATTGATCAACTCGCTATCCAGCTCAGCAGACACCTGGATGACAGTCTCAACCAGCTGTTCAGCCGCTCGAGCATTGCTTGGTGAGGCAAGCATCAGCGTAGCACCCGTCTGTAAAACAACTTGCTTTCTCCTTTGTTCAGGATGAGATGGGTCGAGTGGGACCCATGCCGCACCAGTCTTGTTGATAGCCAGGATGGCTACCAGATACCAAGCTGACTTCTCAAAACAAACATGGACAAGGTCTCTCGGCTGCACAAGGTTTCGAATGATAAGATAACTCGCCAGGCGGTTGGCTCTATCATCCAATTCCTTGTACGTAAATGATCCATCCCAAGCATCGACAGCAATAGACTCTGGATTCATTGCTGAATGGCCCTCTACTATTCCGTGGAAAGTGGACTCTATGACCTCGGGCATATTGCTATTGAATGATACAGCCTGGGCGAGGTCCCATTCCCCAGCAACAGCCAGATTTGCAAGTGGCTCCTGCTGATTTGTAAGAAGTGCATTCATGACATGCTCCATCTGATTGACGAGGGCTGTAGCTTGGGCTTCGGAGATTACTGAGATGTCATAAGTGACATCAAGACACAGCTCGGTTTCTGACAGTAGTGCTTGCATGACAAGAGGCATAGTGTAGTAGCCATTCATTGATTGGCTTTTATCCTCATAATCATCGTTCACCGTGATCAAAAGGCTCTCAGAATTCTTTCCGACTTGTCCCATGGCTTCAACAGGTTGAATGACGAGCAGACTGGAAAAGTCGCAAGCCTCTCGAATTTCATCACTCAGCCTTGCAATCTTCTGAATACCCGTTTGCTCGAATTGTATCATGTCGGTCGCCTGGACTTGGATCTGCTTTAAAAACTCAGCAACGGGAGTTTTCCTGTCCAAGCGAATACGGATAGGAACTGTTGCAACTGCTGGACCAGCCATATCGCTAATGCCAGGAACAGCAGCTTGACGGCCAGAAATGGAAGTTCCAAAGCATATATCCTCCGTATCAGCATATCTAGCCAGAACCAGTGCCCATGCCGCTCGTACTAGTGTGGCTTTTGTCACAGAGATGCTCGTGTCTTTCAAGTCGACAACTCTGTTCATCACCTTGCTAACCCCAAGGGTCTTTGCGGTGCGTGGGAACCCGGCACGTTTAGCACCTTGGAGCTGCGTGCGCCAGTAATCCTCAGCAGCCTTTTGGTCAATAGCACTGACATACTTGATGAATTGGTCAAATGGTTGAACAGTTGTAGACACAGACTCGTACTCTTTAGACACGGTATCGAGAATAATACGCATTGTCCACCCATCGTAAATGGAATGATGGGCAAGGAAGACGAAGAAGCTGTCTCCTGATGATTCTTGTACAAGGGCATACCGGTTCAAACGGCTCCCAAGAGTCATCTCAATAGTTCGAGATTTCTCGAGGTATTCTTCTAGATTCAACCTCGAAGTATCCTCCCATTGGATATCATCTTTGATATAGACCTGTACCGTCCGACCAGCTATAGCAACCATTCTGCTCCGTGTATTGTTGCAGCGTCGAATAGTTGCTTCCCATGCCTCTTTGAAGCGGTGAATATTTACACTGTCGCCTAAGCGATAGATCCATCTCCCGATATAAGATCCAGGCTGTTTCACTGACAAAGCGATGAAACCCTCCTGGAGTGGAGTCACAGGCATAGCATTCTCGACGACCTGATCGTCTCTCAGGCCACAGGTTTGACGTATCTTATCCTGGTGTGAGGAAATATCAAAATCCAGCAACTCAAAGGGCTTAATTTCGTCGCTCGTTTCCGGTATCGACCCAACCATGACAGCCTTTTCAGCAACCGCACAGAGGCGGGGATCGTCAAAGATGTCCTTGACCTGGACGTCGATTCCGGATTTTCTCGCCGCGCTGGATAGATAAATTGCGGTCACAGAATCTCCACCAATACGAATAAAACTGTCATCTTTTCCAATGGTATCCTCAGGAAGACCGAGTATATTGGCCCAGATGTGTTGGAGGCGGCGTTCCATTGGGGTATCCGGCTTTCGCTTTGTTGCACTGACCAGGGAATAGTGCGAAAGCTGTGCCTGACTGAGAGATGCGGTTAGATCCTTCAATGTCTTTCTGTCTAACTTGGTAGATGTTATAGAAGGCATAAAGCTGCAAGGAATAAACATTGATGGCAGCATATATGTGGGGAGAAGCGAGCCAAGCTTCCCGAGTAGCTCAACCATTTGGTCATGGAGATCCGACGAGAGTGAGAAGAAAACCTCATCCAAATTGTATTCCAAACGTGTCTCGTCCGTGAAACACATGTAAGCCACTAACTGCGAAGCATTGGCGGAAGTAATTACGTCAACAGCCACCTGAATAACATCAGGAAGTGAATGTCGGATGTGATACTCGATCTCACCAAGTTCGACCCGGAGACCTCGAATCTTCACTTGGGTATCCTTTCGAGACAGAAAATCCATCGTTCCGTCCGAGTTATAATAGCAAAGATCTCCCGTGTTGAATACCCGATCCCACCCAGGAACATCATGGAACGGTGCCCATTCAGGCGTGGGCATAACTGTGTTGTTTGTTTTGACCTCATCGCCAACGTAATGGCGCATGATTGTTGGACCTTGAATTATAACTTCACCAACAGTTCCGATAGGTGCTATTTTATGCGGGTTCTGGGGGTCTACAAGCCAACAGAATCCGCCAGTTGACTTGCCAATGTTGGCTGGCGAGTCGAGAACTGAGCGATATTGATGCACGGTGTTACAAACAACGGTTTCTGCTGGGCCCCATGCGTTGAAAATACGGGCTTGCTCAAACCATGTATCCAAAATATCCTTTGTGACGGTCTCGCCTGCGAGGAACAAAAGGTTGACGCTAGGAAGCTCCGATATGGGCAGAGTGCGAACGAATGATGGAGTTAAGAACAACGAGTCAATTCCATTTGTGCCAATGAACTCGGCCAGGTTGCTCATTCGATCTTGTTCTGATGGGACAAATATAGCGACTCCTTCCATCAAAGAGCCGATTATTTCGCAGATCGCAAAGTCAAACACATGTGATGCAAATTGTAAGACCCGGGCGTCGTGCGGTATAGACAGTTTCTCCCAAAGAGTCAGCTGGCTAGTCACAAGGGAGCAATGTTCAATTGCGAATCCTTTCGGAGTGCCGGTACTTCCAGATGTAAATAGAACATAAGCAACACTCTTTGAAGATACTTGAGGGAGCGGAACAACTTCTAAAGCGGGATTCTGTTGCAGCTGGGTATCAAGGTCAGGCGTCACCTCCAGCACGGTCCCAATAATCTTCTGGCAGTACTCCAAATGCATCGGTGAAGCAAGGGCAATTCTGGCATCCGTTTGGTTGATAATAGACTCGTGACGTTGTCTAGGATGAGATGGATCAATTGGAACCCAAGCAGCTCCGGCTTTACTAACAGCCAAAATGCAGACAGTATACCAAAGCGACTTCTCGTAACATACAACCACCATATCTCCTGGTTGGATATGATGTGAGTTTATCAGATGGTATGCAAGCCTATCAGTTGCCTGATCCAACTGTTGGTACGTTAGAGTGCCATCCCATGCATTGACGGCAATATCGCGAGGATGGGCTCTGGCATTAGCCCGGAAGACTTCGTGCCAGCACGTGTGAGCCGTCTTGGTCGGCTTCCCATTCCATTCCAAAGCTTTATCAAAGTCCCAAGAAGACGTAAGCTCAACCTCTTCAATTTCTTTTTGACTCTCTGGCAATAACTGGTTAACGACATTCTGGAAATGGACAGAGAGGGCATCAATCCGGCCACTGTCAATGACTTGCGAATCGTGCGTAATGTGTAACTCGGCTTTAGAGTCAGACATCTCGCATTGTATGACAAGAGGGTAGTTGAAAAAGTCCTCAAGATCAGGGTCGGTTGACTGCTCTAGAATCTGTTCTGACGTTTCATCCATCGCATCAAGCGCTGAGAAGGGCTGAACAACAAGCAGACTTCGGAAATCGCAAGCCTGCTGAGCTTCTGGGCTTGTCTTTGAAATTCTCTGCAATCCATATTGTTCGTATGGAATCATAGCCGAAGTTTCACTTTGGATATCGTGTAGGAATTCGGAGACGCGCCTCTTGGTCTGAATTTGGACACGGATAGGGACTGTGGTGATAGTCAAACCAGCCATTTCTATTACACCAGGAACTGTGGCCTGACGCCCCGAAAGTGTCATTCCGAACGTAACATCATCAGTTTCACAGTACTTGCTAAGTACTATGGCCCATGCGGCTCGTACGATCGTGGCCTTCGTGATTGTATTGTCCGTGGAGTCAGGGAACGTGATTGGTTTGACACAGGTGCGAGACTCGCTTGGTCCGTTGGCCTTTTTGACTGGAAATGAGGCTTGTATCGAGCCCTGGAGATATTCTCTCCAGTAATTATACATGCTATCTTCATCCAGCTGGCTGATGTACGAAATGAAGCCAGAGTATGGCTGAATCGTCGGGGACTCAGTTCCGAGATATCGGCTCAGAACAGTCCGGAGAACTAAGCCTAAGCTCCACCCATCATAAACAGCATGATGGATGGCCAGCGCGAAATAGGTATGTCTGTTGTCATTAATAATAGCATATCTGCAAAGTCTTGATCCGTAGCCCATAGGCTTAGACTCAATGTGTTTCTTAAACCCTCGTAGTGAGGAGTCTTCACATTCTTCCCAGATCGCCTTCTCCTTGACAATGGCTTGAAGAGTGTGCCCTTGAACATGAAAGATCCTTGTCCGCAGATTAGTGCAGGTCTGCACAGTTTGCTCCCACGCAGCTTTGAGCCTGTCGATATTGACTGATTCAGCAATCCGGAAAGGAATATATGCGGTGTAAGAGGAAAACTGCTTCAGGTTGAGTGCCATAAGCCCTTCTTGAAGCGACGTGGTCGGCATCATGTCTTCAAATTCCACAAGTGAAGATATCTCACTTTGGCTTTGGACTTCATTCTCCACAATTTCCTCAGCTAATGGGAGCATGCTGAATGGTTGAATGGTAACAGCCTCCGAGGCTTCCTCCTCCTTCATATTTAATGCCATGTCTTCAAGATTTGGGTGTGCAAAAACACTGGCAACAGACAACAAGATGCCATGCTTTTGGGCAAGAGACATCAGTTGAATAGCTAATATGGAGCTACCTCCATTTTGGAAGAAGTTATCCCTCTTTCCAATATTCTGTTCGTCAAGTTCCAAAACTTGGGACCACAAAGCACGAAGCCGCAACTCTCTGCTCGTGGTTGCTTGAATCTTTTCAGGATTGTCGAGAGAGTATAGGTCCATTTGCTCCTGGTTCAAGGCCGATGCGAGCATTTTCACCCGCTTGCGGTCCAGTTTCGACGATGTGTTCAGGGGCATCGAATCAAGAGTCATAAACAAAGAGGGAACCATGTACCCCGGGAGAATACTTCGCAAACTCTCAACAAGGGCATTCAATCTATGCATCAAGCTTTCGCTTGGCTGCATGAACGGCAGAGGAAGCTCTGATGGCTGGAACGAATCGAACCCGGGCTTGAAACTTACGAATGCAACCAAAGTGGCACGGGATCGGACAGGCATCACGTCAGCGGCCACAAGTCCAATGTCATCAAAGTGTTGCCTGATATGATACTCAATCTCGCCAAGTTCCAAACGCTGACCACGAAGTTTGGCCTGGGTATCGCGACGGCCAATTATCTCAACTGTTCCATCCATATTGTATCGCCCCAAGTCCCCAGACTTATAGAACTTGACAGACGGGTCCTCAACTGACAGAAAGTCAACAGCGTTGATGTAGTTTTGAGACGTCTTCTCCGCGTTATTAAGATAACCTTGTGAGATATCTCGTTGAATCAGAATCTCGCCAATGCAACCAATTGGGGCAATCTTGTTATGATTATCTGGTTCAACAACCCACATATGACCACCCCATGCGCGCCCTATGTTGGTGACTTGGTCCTCGGGGGACTGGTACTCATAAGCACCAACATTGATAGTTACCTCTGCGGGCCCATACGAATTGATCAGTCTCACATGAGGCTGCCATTTCTTTACAATATCCCTAGTTGATGGCTCTCCGGTAGTGACTAGGAGCTTCAGAGAAGGTACGTCTGCCGGTTCCATTGTCTTGATATAGGATGGCGTAAGCATGGCCGTGTTTACCTTTGCCTTTTCCATGAACCGAGGGAGAGACTCCATACGCTCCTGTTCCGATGGGGTGCAGATTGTTCCGCCCATAGCCAAAGTCTCGAGAATTTCTCCCATGCTTACATCAAACACGTAATTGGAGAACTGCAGCATGCGGGTGTTGTTGTCCAATGCGTATATGCGATCAGCACCCAATACATAGGTGCACACCGATGAGTGTTTCACGATGATGCCCTTGGGTGTTCCGGTTGAACCAGACGTGAAGATGATGTATGCGGTGTGATCAGGGGAAGACTGGGGCAATGCAATCTTCTTTGCTGAATCCGTAAGCCTAGGAAGTCTCTCAAGGAAAGATAGCGAAAGCTCGATAACATTCGGCACCATGCCTTCGCAAATACGAGCTAGTTTAGGTGAGGTCACAATGTACTGGGAGCCTGTCTCCTGAATGATGGTTCTCCTGCGCTGTTCTGGCTGAGCAGGGTCAAGAGCCACGAATGTACCACCAGCTTTCAGGATGCCAAGCATTGCGATAATAGTCCAAATCGATTTTTCAAAGCAGAACGCGACAATAGTCTCCAGCTCTACCCCGTGTGAGACGAGATAGCGAGCAAAGGTATTGGAAAGGCTCTCGAGCTCTCCGAACGTGAGACTGCCTTCTGATGAGTAGATGGCTTCTTGAGTAGGGTCTTGTGAAGCACGTTCAGAAATAAGATGATGAATGCAAGCTCGAACTGATCGCGGTTGGTTTGGGTTCCACTTCTTCGCTCTTTGGAGATCCCACTGTCCCGAAACAGAGACAGAGCCAAGACTCTTGGTACCAGGCTGGAGGATCTGCTGGGTTACATGATCAAAGTGCTGTGAGAGAGCGTCCATCTGCCCTGGGCTGATGACTTCGGCATCATATACTAACTGCAATTTGAGTTTATCGGGCATGATATTTGCAATGGTTACAAGAGGATAGTTGAAGTATCCTTCCATATCGTCCTCAGTGCTGTAGACCTCATTCCCAGGTCCAAAAATGAAATCATTGCTCATGTTACCAAACATCTGCTCATAAGGCTGGACGACAAGGAGGCTTGTGAAATCGCAAGCCTCTTGGGCATCTCGCCCTAACTTTGAGATGTTTTGCAACCCAAACTGCTCATAAGCAGTCATGTCGGCGGCTTGCTTTTGAACGGTCTGAAGGAAGTCATTGATTTGTCCGTCTTTACCGACCTGAACACGGACAGGAACCGTCGCAATTGCGAGGCCAGGCATATCAGTAATACCATCCACAGGCGCCTGGCGCCCTGAAATTGTTGCTCCAAAGCAGATGTCAGGCGTGTCACTATATCTACTAAGCACGATAGCCCATGCGGCACGAATAAGCGTAGCCTGTGTCACAGACAAGTCGGATCGCGTGAAGTTGACATCCTTATACAGGACTCTAGTCGTCTGTTTTTGCGAAGGCTTCTGCTTGGCAGGGAAAGAGGGTGGCCTTACACCTTCAAGCTGGTTCTTCCAGTATCTAACAGCAACCTCATGATCAATGCTGGAAACATGCTGGATAAAGGACGCGTACGGTCTCAACTGAGGTCCAGGGGCTTTGCTATACAAGGAATAAAAGGTTTCCATGACCATTCTGAGTGTGAAACCGTCTGAAACTGAGTGATGAACAGCCCAGGCAAAATAATTCTCCCCATTCGCCTGTTGGATAATCGCTGCGCGGCAGAGCTTGGAGCCGTATGTCATAGTCGTTTGCTTGCTCTGGGCCATGAATGAGTCAAAGCTGGTTGTTTTTTCCGACTCCCAAATCGAATCATTTTCAACCACAACCTGAATACTCATTCCTGAGACAAGAACAATACGAGTTCTCAGATTGCTGCAAAGTCTCACTGTCTCCTCCCAAGCCTCTCGAAGCTGCGATATGTTCACTGAATCCGGGATACGGTGCACGTATCGAGCGACATAGGACATTGGCTGCGTGAGTGAGAGTGCCATTAAACCCGCCTGCAGCGCAGTACAAGGGTAAGCGTCGGAAATGCTAGCAGAGGCAGGGAGGTCATCAATTTCAAGAATAGCTTCATCAACCGATTCCTTGGAAATGCCAAGTAGGCTAAAAGGTGTAGGCCGTTGAGAGTTATCTGTCGCTTGGATTCCAACAACCTTCTCTGCCACAGCGCACAGCCTCGGGTCGTCAAAAATGTCCTTCACCTGAATCACCATTCCATTCTCCCGTGCAGTGCCGACGAACAGGATGGCTGAAATCGAGTCACCACCAATACGAAGGAAGCTGTCATCCCGGCCGATTGACTCAGCCGGGATCTTCAAGGTCTTCGCCCACAACTCTTGGAGTCGCACTTCAGTAGGTGTCTGGGGTTCCCGTCTCTCTGCATCAAGTAGTGAGTAGTGGTTCAACTGCTCGATATTGAGCTTAGCTGATTCTTCTCGTAGCCTCTTCCTGTCAAGCTTTGAAGATGTCACAAACGGCATGTAAGCACAGGTTATAGCCATAGTCGGAACCATGTATCGTGGAAGAGTGACAGCAAGCTTGCTGAGCATGATGGAGATCTGCTGTTGGATGCTGGGCTGGATAGGGACGAACATGTCCTCACTAGAAAGCTCAGCTGTGCGAGTTGCGTTCGTAGAGCAGATGTAAGCAACAAGGTTCGCGCCCGCTGCTCCTTGGAAGACATCAACCGCAACCTGGGAAGCATCTGAAAGATGAGACTTAATCTGGTGCTCGACTTCGCTCAACTCAACCCTAAGGCCCCTAATTTTGACTTGCGTATCTTTTCGAGTTAAAAACTCAATAGTACCGTCATCGTTATAGAAGCACAAGTCCCCAGACTTGAAGAACCTATCAAAGCGAGGAAGAGTGGAGGAAGGAGCCCAGGTAGGTAGCGAACGAACAGTAGTCGCATCAGTCTTGGCTTTGTCCGCGAGGTACTCTTGTAGCAGAGTAGGGCCTTGAATAACCACTTCGCCTACGGTACCTAGAGGAGCTAACCTTTGTGGATTCTCAGGGTCAACTATCCAGCAGAAAGACCCAACCGGCCGGCCTACTGTAAGAGGAGATTCTTGATCAGAATGCCACTCATGAAGCGTACTAAAACAGCACGTCTCAGCTGGCCCCCATCCATTCCAGAGCCTGACCTTCCCTACCCATGCTTCGAAAACGTCTCGCGGAACAGCTTCTCCAGCAAATAACAAAACTTCAAGAGATGGCACCATCTCCGGCTTGAGGGTTCTAGCGAAAGATGGTGTAAGGAAACTCCAAGTAACACTTGTTCTAGAGATGAAGCCAGCGAGGTCATTGAGCCGGTCGTGCTCTGAGGGGATGCAAAGACAAGCTCCTGTGATCAAGGGTGCAAAAATCTCACCAATGGACAGGTCAAAAACAAACGAAGCAAATTGAAGCATCCTTGCTGCTGGCTGCAGTCCAAGTCTCTCTGCAATCGCTCGTTGGGCACTGCATACTGCTGCATGTTGCATTACGAGTCCCTTTGGTATGCCTGTACTTCCTGATGTAAAGAGCACATATGCGGCGTGGTCAGGGAGAACTTCGATATTCGGTGCTTCGCCAGAGAGTCCAAGCTCTTGGAAAGTGGCCTCCAGGCTGGTCGATACTTCGAGAACGTCTTCAGTAAGCTCATTACAAGCTGCCAGGTTAGAAGGCGAAGATAGCATAATCTTTGCTTTCGTCTGGTGCACAATATTCCTCATACGCTCCAGTGGATAGCCAGGATCAAGAGGCACCCAAGCTGCTCCGCACTTCATTATCGCAAGAATAGAAATAAAGTGCCAGACAGACTTTTCAAAACAAACTGGGACGAAGTCTCCGATCTGTACTTTGTATGAGTCTCTGAGCATTCGAGCCAATTTGTTCGCTAGAACATCCAACTCCGAATATGTCAATTGCCGATCCCAGGCCACGATAGCAGGCTCGTGTGGTCTGACTCGAACCTGATGTTCAATCATCCCATGAAGTGTATCTTCTACTACTTGAGGAATCTCTCCGTTGAACTTGACAGCCTGGGCAAGATCCCACTGCGATGAGACTGAAATATCACCAAGTCTTCGGTTATCCTGGGCCAGTAACTGCTTCACCACATGTTGGAAATGATTCGAGAGACGCTCCATGTCTTCTTGCTTCACAATGTTAGAATCGAACGTCAAGATAATATCCAGCTGATCTTCGTATGGCTCGCACTGGACAACCAGTGGATAACTAAAGTAGCCTTGCAGGGTGTCCTCGGTTCCATGTTTTGCGGAAGCGTCTAGTTGAAGAATTGCATCTGAGTTGGTTCCAATCGCACCCATTTGTTCGAAAGGCTGAATAACGAGAAGACTGGAGAAATTACAAGCTTCTTGAATGGAAATGTCCAGTTTGCCAATGTTTTGCAAACCGAACTGCTCGTACGCAACCATCTCGGCCGCCTGATTCTGAATACCATAAAGGAATGAAGATACAGAATTCTCTCTGTCCATGACGATATGCACAGGAAGTGTAGAAATCATCGGTCCGGGCATTTCACCCACGCCGGGCACAGGGGCATGGCGACCAGAGACGGTCGTTCCAAAGCAAATATCTTCAGTATCGCAGTAGCGTCCCAAGACCACAGCCCAAGCAGCTCGAAGAATCGTGGCTTTCGTAATCGAAGTGTCGGTAAGCGAGGGGAACTCCATATTCTTTCGCAAGAGCTGGAAGGTTCTATTAGAGTCAGAGCTCTTCGAGACAGGAACCTGCGGGTAGGGCGCATGTTTCGCACCCTCCAGTTGAGAGCCCCAGAACTCTTTAGCGGAATCGATATCCAGACTTTCAGTGTACTTGATGAAGGATGAGTAAGGGTTAATCTTCAGTGAGTCTATGCCCATGTAGTTATCAGCGAGCATGCTGAAGATCAAGCGCATAGTCCATCCATCGTAGATAGCATGGTGCGCAACCCAGACAAAATAACGATCGCCACTGTCTTCCTCCACCAAGGCGTATCTGTGAAGTCTAGATCCAAAGGTCATCTCCGTTTGCCCAGCAAACTTCATGAATGCGCCGAGATCCATCCCAGATGTGGATTCCCACGAAATGTCCTTGGTCACAATCGCTTGGAGAGTGGTATCCAGCGTATTTACCATACGTGTACGCAGGTTGGGACATTCCTCAACGGTTTTCTCCCAGGCAGTCTTGAAGGATGCGATATCAACATCATCAGACAGCCGGTGAACCCATTTCGCAATGTATGACCCAGGCTGCTTGGCGGACAAAGCCATCAGACCTCGTTGCAAAGGTGTACATGGGTAGACATCTTCAACTTCCTGCTCTGGCGACAAATCACTCTGTGTCCTGACAGAAGCAACAACTTCTTCACGACTAGCAGCTTCGATAAGTGAAAATGGCTTAACATCACTCCAGTCAGGCATACTGGATGGATCCATCACTTCACAATTGGCAGCCACGCTCGAAAGACGAGGATCGCTGAAAATAGTCTTCACAGTGAGATGCAGGCCAATATCGCGCGCTGCGGCGACAAGGTACACTGCCATGATCGAGTCACCGCCAATGCGAAGGAAGCTATCGTCACGACCAATCGCCTCCCGATCCAGATTGAGTAGCTCTGCCCAGATCAACTGGAGGCTGGATTCAGTCTCTGTCTCAGGAGGTCGTTTGTTGCTATCGACGAGGGCATAGTGAGCCAACTGGTCCCTTGTTAAGGCAGCAGTTCTCTTCTTCAGTACCTTCCTATCCAATTTGGTGGAGATATTCGACGGCAACTTGCTGCAATGAATAAAAAGATCAGGAATCATGTAGCTGGGCAATTCAATGCTCAACTGGCTGATCAAAGAGACGATATGCCCTTGCAATTCCTGTGTGAGAGGTAAGAAGATGTCCTCATCATCAGTTGCTGGACTCGTGTCATCACTAAGAGAGAAATATGCAACCAGGCTAGAGCCCTTCTCTCCTTTGAAAACATCCACAGCCGACTGACGAGCCACTGAGAGCTTCTCTTGTACATGATGCTCAACCTCTCCCAACTCTACTCGAAGACCGCGAATCTTGATCTGAGTATCTTTTCGCGAGATAAATTCGAGTGTGCCATCAGGGTTATAAGAGCAAAGATCGCCCGTCTTGAAGAAGCGGTTGAGGTAGGGTTGATCCCTCATAGGTGCCCACTGCGGCAGCTCAGTCACTGTGGCAGCATTGGTTTTGACAGGGTCTGATAGATATTCCCTCAAGAGCTGAGGACTTTGGATCATGACTTCGCCAGCACTTCCGAATGGTGCAAGACGCTGGGGATCATTAGGATCAACAATCCAGCAGTATGTACCGCAAGGTCGGCCAATCGTCAAAGACGACTCATCTATTGACGTCCATTCATGGAAGGATGCAAAGCAGCAAGCCTCCGCAGGGCCCCAGGCGTTTATTAATCGGACCTTGCCAACCCAGTTCTCAAACACGTCGCGAGGGATAGCTTCACCAGCGAGCATCAGCAACTCAAGGTTGGGTAGCTCTTTCGCACTGAGAAACCGGGTGAACGATGGGGTAAGGTATGCCCAGGTGACACTGTAGTCTCGAATGAAGTCCTTTATGTTATTCATACGAGTCTCCTCAGAAGGTACGGCGATCGAAGCACCATGGAACAGAGCCGTAAAAATTTCTCCAATCGACAAGTCGAAGACCAGCGACGCAAACTGCAAAATACGGACATTAGGTGTGACTCCAAGCCACTTCCCTGCCCTGGTTTGGCCGCTGGAGAGCGACCGGTGTTCAATCACGAAACCCTTCGGAGTACCCGTGCTTCCAGATGTGAAGAGAACATAAGCTGGATGACTGGGTGACACTTCCACCTGTGGCTTACCCAGCTTGTCATCATACGTGGATTTAAGCTCATCATGGAAGTCTCTCGATATAACAAGGGTTTGATCGATGACTTGGTTACAGATCGCCTTATTCGTCTCAGATGACAATGCAAGTGTGGCGCCAGTCTGAGAGATAATCTGAGCTAGACGGGCCTTGGGGTGAGCTGGGTCAAGGGGAACCCATGCAGCGCCAGCCTTATTGATGGCTAGGAACGAAATGAAATGCCACACGGAGTGTTCAAAGCAGGTATGGACAAAGTCGCCGGTCTTCACACCCATGACATCAATAAGGTGGTGAGCCAGTCTGTTAGCTGCTTTATCAAATTCCCCGTAGGTAAACTTCCCATCCCAGGCCACAATGGCAAGCGCGTCAGGAGCTGCCTGAGCTTGCTCCTCGATTATTTCATGAGCACACTTCTCAATTACAGTTGGCGCAACAGAGTTGGCTTCCAAAGCGCGTTGAAGATCCCATGGGCCGCTGACTGAGATGTCACCAAGCGTAAGCTCGTTCGCTTCCAAAGCCTTATTGTTTTCCGGTAATAGTTGATGGATGACGTGGTTCAACTGCTCCGTAAGGGCATCGACGTTGGTGGAGGAAATAACACTTGAGTCATAAGTCACATGGAGATGCGACTCGCGATCGGAGATATAACATTGCACAACAAGAGGGAAATTGAAGTAGCCTTCCATGGTGGCATACTCTGTATCTCCAATGCGCTCGATAGGTCGCAGAATGCCCTCAGATGATTCCGAAAGAGCGTCCAAGACTGAAAACGGTTGAATCACGAGCAGGTTCTGGAACTTGCTAGCCTCCTGCGTCTCAGAGTTGATTCTGGCAATCTTCTGGAGACCATACTGCTCGAATGGAACCATCTCGGAGCCTTCGGCCTGAAGATCACGAAGGTACTGAGAAACTGGTTTGGCCCTATCAAGGCGAGTACGGATGGGAAGAGTAGCAATAGCCACACCTGGGATGTCACCAATTCCAGGAACAGGTGCTTGCCGGCCAGACATTGTCATACCAAACACAATATCGTCTGTATCGCAGTGTCTTCCAACAATAATGGCCCAGGCAGCACGTATGATGGTAGCCATGGTAACTGTACTGCTAGTTGACCTTGGGAACCTAAGGGCCTTGACAGTCATGCGCGTCATGCACTCTGTCGATGTACTGGTCTGAGGGAAAGGGGTATGTGACACGCCCGAAAGATACTTCTCCCAGTAGGTACTCTGGGTCTCCTCGCCAACAGCCATGGTGTACTTAACAAACCTGGAATATGGCTGGACAGAAGTGGCATTTCCGAAGTAGTTCTGAACTAACGTTCGGAGCATCACGTTCATTGTCCAGCCATCGTACACGGCATGGTGGATGGCGAGGGCGAAGTAGTGCTTTCCTGATTCCTTCACAACAGCATAACGGCAGAGCCTAGTGCCATATCCCATGGGCTTTCTCTCAACACTCTTCTTAAACTCCCGCATTGAGGCTCCTGTAGCCAAGTCCCAGGTTTTATCATTCTGCACGATGACCTGCATAGTTTCGCCTTGATGGTGGAAGATTCTGGTTCGCAGGTTGCCGCACATCTGGACCGTTTGGTCCCAGGCGGTCTTAAACCTAGCAATGTCTGTATCGTCACCAATTTCGAAGAGAAGATGGTCCAGATACGAACCAGGCTGGCGGACGGTAAGTGCCATCAACGCCTCCTGGATTGGAGTGGCAGGGAAAGCATCCTCAACCACGGCCACATCACTTAGATCGTATTTCTGCGTTTTTGATAGTAGGTCTGCTCTTGGAAGAGAGAGCATGCTGAATGGCGGTGCATCAAATGTGACCATGGCTTGCTCAACAGTAGTCAATGCAAGCTCGTCCAGCTTCGAGTGCTGGAACACATCTGCCACCGACAGAGCAAGATTCTGCTTGTGGGCCAAAGACATGAGTTCAATCGCAAGCAGTGAGTTTCCACCAAGCTGGAAGAAGTCATCCGTCTTGGCGATCTGCTCTTCTTCAATCCCAAATACCTGCGCCCAGAGAGATCGAAGTCTGTATTCCATGGCAGTCGTTGGCTCGTATTTTTCCCTCTTGGCGAGCGAAAAGAGACCCAGCTGCTCTTGATCCAATTCCGTAAAGAGGCTCTTCAGTCTACCGCGATCAAGCTTGAGAGAGTTATTCAATGGCATCTTGTTGAGAGGGAAGAACACCGTAGGAACCATATACTGAGGTAGGACATCCTTCAGTTCACCAGTCAAAGCAGCGAACCGCTCCTTGAGACTCTCAGATGGGATATCAAAGTTCTCGGGAAGGGTGTAGCCATTGGTTTCGACGTTGTCAACCCTATCCGTGAAGCTCAGAAACGCAACAAGGGTGGGCCGTGAGCCAATGGTGACTACATCAGCAGCCACATACTCAACGTTTCCGAGGCAACGTTGAATATTATACTCTATCTCTCCTAACTCAATGCGATACCCTCTTAGTTTCGTCTGAGTATCGCGACGACCGAGATACTCAATGGTTCCATCAGGGTTATAACGTGCCAGGTCACCGGACTTGTGGAACTTAACTGCCACATCCGTCGATGCCACGTCCAAGAAGTCCACTTGACGAATAAAAGCAGCGTCTGTTCGTTCCTTGTTGTTCAGATATCCACGAGCCATGTCACGCTCGATCAAAATCTCGCCAATGCAACCAACAGGAGCGATCATATTGTGGTTGTCAGGCTCCACAATCCACATGTTGCCGCTGAAGCCTCGGCCGACGTTGGTCGGTTGGTCATCAGGGGATTGATACTCATATGAGCCGATAAAGATGGACACCTCAGACGGTCCGTATGCATTAATGAGCCGCGTGTGAGGGAACCACGTCTGGATGGTGTCTCTTGTGGGAGCCTCGCCGACGAGCATCAACATGCGGAGGGAGGGCACATCTGATGGCTTCAAAGCCTTGAGGTATGACGACGTGAGCATGGCCGTGTTCACTTTAGCATCTTGAATAAATTGGGGGAGAGACTCTATTCTCTGTCTATCCGATGGCACGCAAACAGTCCCTCCAAAAACCAGAGTCTCCAACACCTCGCTCAGGCTCACATCAAAAGCGAAACTTGAAAATTGAAGCACGCGCGACTCCCCATCCAGGCCATATACCCGGTTGAAGCCGAGAAGACTTCCAGAGAGAGCGGAGTGCTCCACAACAATGGCTTTCTGCTTGCCGGTAGAGCCAGATGTGAAAAGGATGTATGCTGCGTCACGTGGGGAAACCTGGGGAAGTTCATCTGAAACATGCCCATCCTGCAAACGGTCGAGGAAAGCCTGATCCAACTCGACAAGCACCGGGGCCATGCCTCGACAGGTGGCTGCAGAGGCGGGCGACGTGATAACCGTTTGGGCGCCGGTCTCTTCAATGATCGCCCTTCGTCGGCTAGGGGGGTGTGAGGGATCCAGGGGAACAAAGGCGCCTCCCGCCTTCAAGATGCCAAGCATTGCAACAACGGCCCAGATTGACTTCTCGAAGCAATAGGGTACAATGCTCTCTGATCCCACGCCCAGGGACTTCAGGTGGTGGCTGAGACAGGTAGACAAATCCTCCAGTTCCTTGTAAGTCAAGCTCCCTTCCGAGGAGTATACGGCTTCATGATGGGGTATTTTGGCTGCTCTGTCCGAGATGAAGTCATGTACGCAGCCCTGTACTGACGGAGCCGGGTGAGGACTCCATTCTTTGGCCTTGGCCAAATCCCAAGGGCCGGCAATTGAGATTTCACTCAGCTTGGCATCCGGACTAGACAAGATGCCATCAATGGTATGGCTGAATTGATGTGCAAGCGCCTCAAGCGTCACTTCGGAAAGGACCTCAGATGCCAACGTGATAGTGGCATGGACCTCACGTAGTATAATTCGAGCTTCCAGCGCGTATTTGACATTAAATTCCTCCTTGGCCTGGACATCACCGGTCCGGATGGCCATCAAACTGGTGAAGTCGCAAGCGCTCTGTGCATCCTTGCTTACTTGAGCGATACTCTCAAGTCCATACTGCTCATACTGGGCCACTTGATCCATCTCCAACTGGATGCCTCTCAGGAGATCAGTGACGGTATCATTTTTCCGCCATCTAAAGCGCATGGGGATGGCATCGCCGGAGGAGGGGGCCGAAACACCAACGGTAAAGTCCTCTGATTCAGAGTATCGTCCAATAACCACAGCCCAAGCGGCGCGGAGCACCGCAGTCCTAGAGTAGAATTCATTTTCTTTGAATGAAAACCCGATATCGTGGCTGTAGGATCGCCCAACAGTCTCAGATGGCAGGTCTTGGGGAGGGAATGCAGCCACTTTGGCGCCTGCCAGGTGGGTGCGCCAGTACTTCTGAGCCTCAACGAGCTCGGTGACACCCATCTTGATTGCTTTGGGCGTTCTTTTTTTTAGAGTTCTGGTGTGTTCCAGTGCGCTTCGGTTATGCTGATTGCCGTTGGCGGCAGAAGTGTAAGCCTCGTCGGGAGAAGCTTCACGTATGTAAGTTTTATCTAAGTCGATTGTGTTGTTTTCTTCCCTTGGTATGTTAGAGCGTTAAGAAAGGCTCAATAAGGCAAGAATGTCCGTGTCGGTGAGAATACTGCTTCCTCGTACCGCTACGGTGTTATCTTTGCATAGACGGGGTCGGGGAACAGGAGACAAAGAAGCATGAGACAGGCTCTCGGAATCTCTATGATGAACAATCAATCCCGGCCGTGTGATTCAAAGCTCGGGTAGGTGGCTCATCCTGGTATAGTCACAGCAGGTACATGAGAATTCAAAATCCCGGGAGGCAAGGTAAGATCGGGCCTTCAATGGACTGTAGCTGAAAGAAGGCTTGCACACAGGTACAGCAGACAGCTTAGACTACCACAACAGGCACACCCGTCAATGGCAATGTGGTATCATGGAGGCTCGACCCAACTTCCGATATTCCGAGTATTGGAGCCCTTCGGTCAGACATGCATGATGATCGGCCCTTCGACGCGGGAGAGCCAGCCACAAACGCCCCTTGGACCCTTGCATGGCGAACATCTTGTCTCCTTTCCCACCATTGCTCTACCTAGAACCCGGCACCAACTACCCAGTTTCAGACGAAGGGCGTCACACAACGCCAGCCACCGCAAGCGGTTGACTCCTGTCTTCCCTTTCAGCTCTCCCTATGCGGATAACCCGTGCCAGTTGCCCAATGGTCCTACCAGAAATGTGGACCTTGCCACAACGGCCCTATAAGCAATGTGTGTATATTCCTCCGGCCGAGCTTATTGTTTAAGCGAGCTTCAAATGACGGCATGGAGATCGGATGAGCCAGCTGCCGGAGGCTCCAGGGGATCACAATAAAGTAAGTAATCAAGTGAAAATTCCTCGTCTTATCCCGACCCTGACGCTGCAATGCTACGGTGAATGCCAAGATCTTACCGTAAATGCAACCTGCGATCTGACCTTCTGACCTCCCGCCTCTGTCTGAGGGAGTAAGAGAGGGCCAGGGTCCAATTCATGCTAGGCGAGCAGCCCAATGAACCTGAACCAAGGGCACACGCCTCCACCCTTCGACACGGGCGACGTCCGTTGGGAAACCAGCGACATCCTGATCCAGCCACGACGGGGCGTGCGTTGGAACAGGACAGATCCTCCAAAACGCTGTCTTAACTGCCCGCCTGAAGGCCGATCTGCCAGAGACCTCTTGAGCTAGGTCAGGCATTCTGAGCTCGTATTGGTACAGATGGAACGCGGGACACGAGTGAACATTCCAGTGGCATGCCAAGCGCCCAAAGCTGCCGCCAAAATAAGGATGAGGTCAGAAGCAGCGGGATGGGTGGGCGAGGTGTCCCTCCGCTTCCGACACAAGCTGGGATCATGGAATAAACACCCCGGAAGCTGCCAGTTCCTGAGTGGAGCAACGGGCGATCTTCTCGACGGGCTGTTTTTCATCCGCCGCGCCTAAGCGTTGAGATGGTGATCATGGATCAGGCCAGCAGATCCCTGCAAATTCTGTCGTGCTGTTTTCAGCTCAGGAGAGGGCCTACCCTACACAGGTCCTGTGCCTCTTCAATCGTCCCTAGGCATCATCATAAGCAGAGTGGTATTGTCCAAGGCTTACCTCTATTTTAGTAGTTGAGATGACTATTATAGTATATAAAATGATTATCATTACTAAACTGAGGTGAATGCGTGAGAAAGGCGGCAGTTTGCGTCTTGATAACTACGAATTGGGCATTCATAACGTCAACTTCGTGCCGTTTGGGCCGTCTGATTTTGATGTTTGACGTAATGGGGTAGACAAAATAAAGTAGTCATAGGTATCTATACTAGTGAGCAAAAAGCTCCACAAAAGAAGTACACTTGATTATGAGTTACAATACAGTACAGACATTTATCGCCACTCCTCACCACCAAGGCTCTGGGACATGAACTAGGTGATGGCAGGTAAAATTGCTTGTCACTTCTACAAAACGGCTGTGTGGATGCTCGAAAGGCTGGATAACAGCTCGAACGGCCACGCGTTGATCCCTGTCCTGGCGCGTGTAAGACGGGTGAAGTTGGTGCCGGGCGGTAACCAGGAGTAAACTCGCGGCTGAAACTGGTAGGAGGCCTCAGTTATTACGTACAAACTACCACGGGAGGCGATCTTTTGAGCGGCTGCATGCTGCAGTATCAGGGACTCAGCCGGTGAATCAGTTGTTGCCCTTCACTCACGCGATGATAGCAAACGGTAGTGGTTTCTGTTTGTCAACTACCGTATTGCTCGCCTCCCCGTGTATGCAGATCATGGCTATATCCGGCAAATGAGGGTCAAGTAGTGCGGCAAGTGGTCCCCAACTGACAGGGATGATACCTCGCAGGGAGGATGATGAAAGTCTATGTACTTTGAGTGTCACGAGAAATGGAAAACGTTATCTAACTACCACGGTGCTCCCTACTTCACGCGGAAGGCATGGAGATGCATTCGTTCCTGTAGCTGCTTATGCAGGTCGATAACGGAACACCGGCAGTTGGGGAACTGTCGGCTGATCTAAAAGTGATTCGTGTTATTTGATGTCTCTTCTCGGACCAGAGTCTCGGAGCAGGGGCCGCATTATGGGGAAGGACTTTTGAAGGACGCTTGACGCCTTGCCGCTTCATGTACATCCAACTGCTGCTGTCCACTGCGAGGTCTCCAAAGTAGGCCACATGGTGTGTGACAGGTCGGAAGCGTGCCGTAATGGCAGGTCTACAGAGCCTTGCCTGAACGAGGGTACCTTGGGTACGTAGTTTGCCCAAAGATTTCCGGGGAATGCTTACCAGTCAGCCCCTGGCCAGTCAGGACTCTGCCCCCTGTCTTACGGTCCGCTCAACTGGCGCCTTGCTCCAGTGTTATTCTCACCTGCACAACGAAGAACATGTCTTGACTGTCGTGCGTCGAATTATCTGCATAGGATGAGCTCCGCATCGAACTGAACAATTTTAGGTCTACGACATTCTATCCTCCGAGGGCAAATTGTGAAACCAGGTTCTGTCTTGACTCCCCATTACACTGAGACAGTTCTTTTCCAATTCCTGCCCAGCCAGCCTCAAAGGAAACCACTTGTCCGAGCCCAACCTTGGCCGGAGGAGTTTGCCGGCATTGGATTGAGGCAACATGGTGTCGGAGGCGGATAAACGAACTGCTGGCGACGAGGACAACGTTGACAATACTCTTGTCGGCCCGACGACTCAACACGACATTGGAAAGGCACCTTTGACTCACCCGATAGAGCATCATGATGAACCCACTGCCGAGTCTAGGCCAGTAGATTTGAGGTGTAACGCCAGCGCCGAGCCCACGCACTCCATATCGCCCAACAGACACGATGGCGGCGCCGATCTGAAGAGTGGCCAAGACGTAGGCGTTATTGACAGAGGTGACTTGGGTAAATCAGATCCTAACATCAAGGCAGAGAGCCCGGCGGCTCTTCCTGTGTCGACAGTAATTGGCCCTTCAGTTTCCCAAGAACAGTCAATCACATCGAGGACCAGTATGGCAGATGATGATAGCAAGAAAACCGCAAGACCTTCCTCACCAATAGACACTCAGCCTGGACCTGTTGTCGTGACTAGCGACACACAGAAAATGGGCGATCAACCTGAGAAAATGCCTTCCCCGACAGTAGACAGCGCCGTCCAAAACGTCCAAGGTTCTCCAGGTTCTTCAAACACGGACGAGGCCGAGCCCCCTGACCCATTTGATGGCCTCCCCGAAGATGAAATTGCCATTCTCAAACGCCAGATTGATATATCTGACCAAAGCTATGGCGTCTCGACGTTCTTCCGCTACGCCACCAGGATGGACATCCTCATCATGATCGTCTCGGCCGTGTGTGCTGCCGCTGTTGGGGCCGCCCTGCCGCTCATGACCATCATCTTTGGCGGTCTCCAGGGCGTCTTCGCCGAATATCTCTCCCTAAAGACATTGGATCTGGGCGGCTTCGAATCTGCTATCGGCGGATATGTGCTGTACTTTGTTTACATCGCCATCGGCACCTTTGTCGCGTCCTATATTTCCACCGTCGGCTTCATCTATACCGGCGAACGCATCACTGACAAGATTCGTTACGAGTACCTGGTGAGCTGTCTCCGTCAGAATATCGGCTACTTTGATAAATTCGGCACAGGAGAGTTCACCACGAAGATCACTGCCGATGCTACGACCGTGCAGGATGGCATCTCCGAGAAGTTCGGTCTCTTCATCAGCGCCATCTCGACATTCGTAACCGGGTTTACCATTGGCTTCGTCTTCTCGTGGAAGCTGACGCTGATTCTGTCCGCGACCCTCTTTGCGCTGTTGTTCAATGCGGGCATTGCGACTACATTCATGGTAAAACACAGCGTGCCCATGATGGCTGCCTTCTCCGAGAGCGGCACGTTCGTCGAGGAGGTCTTCTCATCCGTGCGGATCGCCATCGCCTTTGGGACACAGGGCCGTTTGACTGAGCAATACGACAAGAAGCTGGAACCTGTTCAGAAATGGGGTACCAAGGTCAAGTACACCATTTCTGTCATGACGGCCGTGTCGATGGCCATCACGTACTGGAACTACGGGCTCGGCTTCTGGCAAGGTTCTGCATTTCTTGCACGGGGCGACCTGACAATCTCCAAGATGATCACTGTCATGATGGCTGTCATGATGGGTGCCTTCAACATGAGTGCCATGGGCCCCTACTTCCAGTCTTTTATCGGTGCCGTCTCCGCCGCAAAGGACATGTTCAGGACGATTGATCGCCAATCTCCCCTCGACCCGTCGGCTGAGGAGGGTGACAAGATCCCAGACCTCCAGGGCCACATCCGGTTGGAGAACATCAAGCATATCTACCCTTCCCGCCCCAACGTCACCGTCATGGATGGCGTATCAATTGACGTCCCCGCCGGCAAAGTCACTGCCCTGGTCGGCAGCTCGGGCTGCGGCAAGAGTACAATCGTTGGTCTCGTTGAGAGATTCTACGAGCCCGTCGGAGGCGCCGTCTTCCTTGATGATCGCAACATCAACACGCTGAGCCTGCGGTGGCTCCGCCAGCAGATGTCCCTCGTTGGCCAAGAGCCCACGCTCTTCGCCGTCTCGATTCACGACAATATTCGGTTTGGGCTCATTGGAACCGACCATGAGACGGCTGACGAGGAGAAGCAGCGGCAGCTCGTCGAGGACGCCGCCCGTCAGGCGAATGCCCATGAGTTCATCACTCAGCTGCCAGAAGGATACGAGACAAATGTCGGACAGAGAGGGTTTCTGCTGTCCGGCGGTCAGAAACAACGTATCGCCATCGCTCGCGCCATTGTATCCAACCCAAAAGGCAAGTCCCCTACCGTCTCCTCTTTCTATAGCCTCTCCAACTTCCCGTCAATCACCATGAACTAATCGCTGTCGCAGTCTTACTCCTCGACGAAGCTACCTCTGCCCTCGACACTAAGTCCGAAGGTGTCGTCCAAGCAGCGCTCGACAAAGCCGCGGCCGGTCGCACCACAATCGTCATCGCCCATCGACTCTCGACGATCCGAAATGCACATAACATTATTGTGATGAACAAGGGGACTGTCGTGGAGCAGGGCAACCACGACACTCTGATCGAGAAGCAAGGCGCATACCACGCCCTTGTGGAAGCGCAACAGCTTGAAGACCAGAAGAAGTCGACTGCTGTGGATGTCGATGATCAAGTCAGTTCGATGGAGGACCTTGTGGTCCGCAAGATGTCTCTACAGAAAGAGACTACTGTCACTGCCGCCGAGGCCCCTGAAAAGGATGGTGTGGTGGCTGATTCATCCTCAGGCGATGTTGAAGAAACGGCCGGCGCCACCATCCAGAGCAAGACCAAGTATTCCTGGTGGGAGCTCATCAAGTTCGTTGCAAACTTCAACAGAAAAGAGCGCATTTATCTCGTCATCGCCTTCTTCTTCTGCCTTATCTGTGGTGCAGCCACTCCCGTCCAGGCTGGTAAGTGTCTCCGTTAACCGCACTCATCCCTTTCCCGGCCAATCTGTGCTAACTGATTATCCTTCTAGTTTTCTTCGGCAAGCAGGTAGTGGTTCTCTCTTACATGGGGATCCCAGGTATAGACAGATGGCTGTTCCACTCGAAATCCAACTTCTGGTCCCTCATGTACCTGATGCTCGGTGGCGCTCAGTTCATCGCCCACATGATCCAGCTCTGCATCTTGGGATATGCCGCCGAGGTGCTGCTCCGCCGTATCCGTAGACAGACATTTTCCACTCTCATGCGCCAAGATGTCTCCTTCTTTGACGACGACAAGCATAACGCCGGAGCCTTGACGGCCTTCCTTGCCGTTGAGACCACCCAAGTGTCTGGCTTCAGCGGTGTCGCCCTCGGCACAGTCGTCACCTCCATCACAAACCTGGTTGGGAGCTTAGCCCTTTCCCTCGCCATCGGGTGGAAGCTCGCCTTGGTCTGCTTTGCCGCCGTGCCGTTGGCGATCGGCTGCGGCTTCTTCAGATGGTGGGTGCTGGCTCGGCACCAAGCTCGCATTGCCACCGTATATGCCGACTCGGCTGGCTTCGCGGCCGAGAACATCTCCGCGATCAAGACTGTCGCGTCTCTGACACGCGAGAGCCAAGTTGCGGAGAAGTACCGTGTAGATCTTGAAGAGCAACAGAAGAAGAGCGTCGTCTCTGTCGCTAAGTCTAGCGTCATCTTCGCCGCGGCTCAATCTATCCAGTACCTCTGCTACGGCCTTGGCTTCTGGTATGGAAGCACGCTCATCGCCAAGCTTGAGTACGGCATGTTCGAATTCTTCGTGTGCTACATGTCCATGATTCTCGGAGCTACCGCGGCCGGCACCTTCTTTTCGCTGGCCCCGGACCTGAGCAAGGCAAAGAAGTCGGCTGCAGAGCTGAAAGCACTTATTGACACGAAGCCATTGATTGACACCCGGGGCGACCATGGAGAGCGCCTTTCTCAGACTAGAGGCCATATTCAATTCCGGGATGTGTACTTCCGCTATCCTACGCGTCCAGAGATTCCTGTCCTGCGCGGATTGAACTTCACTGCAGAACCAGGTCAGCATATTGCCCTGGTAGGCTCCTCGGGTTGCGGCAAGAGTACCACCATTTCTCTGCTTGAGCGCTTTTATGACCCTGTGCTCGGCCGAATTCTCATTGATGGAAAGGATATCTCTGACATGAATATTAATGATTATCGCTCGCATATTTCAGTCGTTAGTCAGGAGCCATCTTTATTCCAGGGCTCCATCAGGGAGAACATTTGCATGGGAAGTCTAACCGAAGATGTGTCCAAAGAGTTAATTGAGACCGCATGCAAGGAAGCCAATATTTATGACTTTGTTGTCTCCTTACCGGATGGCTTTGATACCATTGTCGGAAGTCGTGGCGGCTTATTGTCGACGGGACAAAAGCAGCGAATTGCCATCGCTCGAGCACTAGTTCGGTCACCCAAGATTCTGCTTCTCGACGAGGCTACATCAGCATTAGATTCGGAGTCGGAACAAGTCGTTCAGGTTGCTCTTGACAGGGCAGCAAAGGGAAGAACGACGATAACGGTTGCGCACCGTCTTAGTACCATCCAGCATGCTGACAATATTCTCTTTATCGATCAAGGTCGCGTATTAGAGTCTGGCACACACTCAGAGCTGATGAAGCTGGGCGGGCGTTATTACGAGCTTGTGAAGCTTCAGTCGTTAGAGCAAACGGATCAGAAGGATGCTCAACCCGGGAAGAGTGGCTCGAGCTCTACGGAAGGGATTTAAATGAATGTATAGCTTGCATCTCTCAATTGATGTTGCCTCATATTTGGGAGGAGATAAATCACTATGGCGTTACCGGCAACTTCACTCATCTGCTTTGATGATATAGATTCTACAATGAGAAACAATTTGAAGCCTCGGATATATCCATGGTCACCCTTATGTCTTCTTAGTCTTTCAGCGCTTTTGGTCTAAATGAGCGTGCTCTGGTAATTTATACTCAGCCAGATTGTTTACATACTCGAGCTCTCTTCCATGTATGTACTCTTGATCAGCTAGTCGCTGATTGGCTACATACCCTGCTTCAGACAGACACAACAGCAATTTTAACCTATGAACTATCCAAGATGGTACCCACTACAATGCATGGCCTAAGCACAGCAATTTGAACCTCCCTAAAGGACTTGTCTCTGAACTATCCAATGATATTATCCAGCACTATGCATTGCATGAGCACAGCAATTTTAACCTCCCCAAAAGAGTTAACTCTTATCCAATGCTTAGGTAACCATCCGGAGAGAGCTTGATAGAAAGTGAAACAAAAGAAGATATCAGACCTAATTACTCAATACAATGAATACGAAAGGTTAAAAAAAAAAGCCTTCGCTAGCCCAAGGATCCAGTCATGCGATAGAAAACTCTAGAAACATTATCGTGTTAGACTTAGGCTACAGCTGTAGCAACTCGTTTTTGGGGGAATAGAAATGTAGAGGAGCTCTGGAAGACAGACTGAAAGGCAATCATGAGTGGAGTGACCTACTTCTTTGTCACCTATTTAGCTTCGTTGCCATACTCTTGATATTTATTCGGATTTTAGGACTTAGTTAAGGCTCAGAAAGTTGTGTCGTATACAATTTGGAATTAATCTACACATTGTCTTCTCCAGAGCCAGCATCAAAAATCCTCTCTTCGATGAAAGATGCAAACAAATCCAACGACTTCTTAGGACTGACTATGTCCAAGAACGGTACGTCGACTTTGAACACAGACCAGAACCAAGTCCTGTACTCGGCAGCTATCATGCTATCCACCCCATAGTGCGGTAGTGCCTTGTGGTCATCTATCTGATCCTGCGACAGCAATATCAAATTCGAGAAGCGCTTTCGCGCTAACCTCAAGATAGCTTCATGTAGGGTTGGTGCATCTGATTCTGACGCCAGTGCTCTGGAAGTCTCAGAGACATTTGAAGGCAGGTCCTTGAACCATGGAGAAGTAATAGCCGTAGTTATAGTAGGGGCAGAAGATTTGTTATTTGTCTCTTGACTGGCAAGTAGTTCGGCAGCCAGAAAACCAGCTCTTGGATCTTGCGTTGTGCCATTCTCCACCTCAAAGCCTTTCTTGATGAGATCACGCAGGCCGAAGGGCTCAAGACCTGTAAGAACGTGAGAGACTCGTGTCTCCGATGCCAGCGCCATATCAATAACGTTTAAGAACTCATCCTCATTCAGGGGCTGGATGCCTTTGCGAAGCAATAAAGCCTCGATGTCGGGATTCTCATGTAGATAACCAACTTCTGAAATCATGCCTAGCCCAACAGAGACAGCTGACTTTCCTTGGCTCTGGCGATAGCGTGCAAAGGCATCTAAGAACCCATTGGCCGCGCAGTAGTTGCTCTCTGTGGCAGTACCAACACTGCCACTCACAGATGATGTCAGTAAGAAGAAATCAAGATCAGCATCGTGGCCGTTAAGTTCCAGAGCACGGTGGAGATTCCAGGAGCCGCGCCATTTGGGCTCGATAACCTTGTGCCAAGCCGCATGAGACATGCGTGTAAACAAAGCCTCGCTCAGGCCCATTGCAGCCTGAACCACACCACCAATAGGTCGGCCAGCACAAGCCTCAACTGCGGCATTGACATCTTCCTGGTTGGACACATCACCACGGACAACTTCAACGTGGGCACTGGCGCCTTGAAGACGAGATACCAGCTCCTGTGCTTCAGGCTTATCGCAGCCCGACCGCCCGAGGAAGACAAAGTTTCGGGCGCCGCGGCTCATCATCCATCGACTGAGACTGCGCCCAAGACCGCCTAGACAACCAATTAAAAGGTAAGTCTTCTCTGGACTTAGGATGGTGCTGTATTGAGAAGGCATGACCTGTGTAATAATCCTGTTAGTCAAGGCTGGTCGCCAATTAGACGTAATATCCTGAAGGAACTATGACTGACCGGGATGAGGCTCTGTGGGTTTTCTAAAGATATAACGACTTTTCCAGTTCGATCTCTCCCAGAAAAGAATCGGTAGGCCTGTGAAATTTTGGAAATATCAAAGGTGGCAATAGGGACAGGCTTTACTTGTCCACTTCGGTAAAGCTCCAGGGCTTCTTTCGTTTTACTAGATCATTGTTAGCTAGATGGTCCTAAGAGAGGTGATTGTGCAGCAATATTACTTGATCCAAATATCTCTGTAAAACTGAGACTCGTGGAAGAACAGTTCGGTCAAGTCAAAGGCTGTAAAGGTACAGTTGCGTAGGAAGACGCGCATGTCGAGCTTTCCAGCGTCAACGAGCTCCCTCTTCCCTACCTCTACGAATCGGCCAAAATCTGCTATGCAATTCCAGCTATCATGCATGAGGTCACCCACGAGAGAGTTTATAATGACATCAACACCTCGTCCCTTTGTGGCAGCTCGGACACCGTCGACAAAGGACGAGTCTCTAGAGTTGAAGATATTCTCTGCTGGCAGAGCCAGCTCACGCATGAGGTAGTCCTTCTTCGCAGCTGATCCTACCGTTGTATACACAATTGCGCCGATACGCTTGGCGAGCGCGATTGTAGCCATTCCAAATGCACCGGCACCACTGTGGATGAGTATTGACTCGCCAGCACGTAGATGAGCTCGATCGTGCAGCGCATACAGTGCTGTTCCATAGATCACAGGAAGTGTTGGCATGACGCAAAAGTCTTCAGATGGTAGCATCTTATGTGCTGCCCAGGCTGGCACGCGCTCAATGGTGGCAAACCGGTTCGGTGCCAGTACCACAGCGTGATCTCCTGGCTTCAGATGCGACACATGGTCACCGACAGCAACTACAACCCCGGAGAACTCGATCGCAGCGGTACCCGTGCGCGTCTCTACTCGGCCGCTGGCAGTGTACACGTCCTTCGCGTTCAGGCTTACCGCCTTGGTCCGGATATCGACAAATCCAGCTGGGGGCTTGGAAAGGGGCTGAGTCTCTTGGACGAGGTGAAGCGTATCCATCTGCCCAACGGAACCAATCCCCAAGCGCGAAGGACCTATATTGTCAAGAGCGAGCTTGGCTATGGGTTCCTTGCTGTCTAGACGACGACGGAACAGGCTGTTAAACTCCTTTTTTGCGGTGAAGCGGCTGATATATAGCATGCCATCTTTCTCAATGAATTCTTTGTCATCCATGTCTGATACGGAGGCAAGAGCTTGTATCAAATTTAATGAGAACGATTTCTCAAAACTACTGTTCTCAGATGCAAGACCTCCCATGTCAATCACGGTGAATCGCAGGGAAGGTTGTTCTAGCATCAGAGCTCTAGAAAGGCCTTGTGAGAGCGTAAGGTTCGGATCTGGTGATGAGCTCAGCATACCTGCGCCGGTCAACCAAACCAGATTGGTAGCGTTGTCGGTGATGCGACGTAGAAGGTCCATTTTCTCAGGGCTCATTGTTGCGAGGAATTCGTTCTCCAGCTCGAGTAAGGAAATGTAAAGCGATCTCGAAGATATATCCGAGTTCTCCAACTCTTCCAGTGTTGCTATCTTGATATCCCTATCAAACACAGGCATTTCATTGAGATGCTGGGCGAGCCTCTGGCTTACCCCTTGGGTCAACAAGCTAGGCACGAACGGAGTGACAAGGACAACATCTCGACCCGATAGGCTATGTACAGGAGGAGGTTGTACTGCCAAGATTACACCTTGACCAACATCTATCGCTGCGAAGCCCAATGACCGAAGGATGTCAAGACTGGTTTTTGTTTTGCGTGTAATCACGACACCTCCTTGACTGGCTTTGAAGATGGAACTGAGCCATGTTGCCTTATTGTTTGCCTTATTGTCTAAATAGGATACCGATGCAGAGAACTAGAGCGGAAAATTCATTAGACCGATAAATTCGTATTACATTCTCAGGACCAAGTGATAAATTGTGACTTACTTCGGGAATGATGAGAGTGTCAAAAGCGTCATCACTTTCTTCATCCGTGTGTCGAAGGTCTCCATTCGCATCTAACTGGCCCCCAACCCAAGATCGACAACGGGGAAATGACGTTTCTGCCTCAAGAGTTTCAAGCCATCGCTTAACTCGGCATTGGCTATCTTGAGCAAGTTCTATGACCCGCATCTTAGGATTCTTAAAGCTTGCGAGATCAACAAGCGCGACGATGGCTGCCATGCTGGGATGGTCTCTCAAGTCGTCAGGCATCACGTTGATTTTTTGCTCAACATATTGCCGAATTTCGTCGGTAGATTCGGGGAGTAGTCGTAGAATATCGGGTTTCCATTGTACGTCGAGGCAGGGCTGGCGCTTCATTGAGTCCTTTTCTGCGTATTCTGCGGTATCAGAAGACGTCTTTCCATTATAAAGAGTCAAGCGAACATTCCTCATATCAACAAGGCATTCTCCAGTAATGCTACCTCTCAAGGTACCATCTATCTGCTTGGTAGCAAATCCAGTCATGCGAGTTCGAGAGTGAATGGTAGCCTCAGTTTCGCCGAAGTTGGACGTGTAGATTCTGCAGGACTGGATGAACACAGGCAGATATGCGCGAAGAGATCGTACATCACCGGCTGTCCCACCGAAGATTCCGGCCTGGAGTAGAGCATCCGTTACAAGAGGGTGCAAAGTGTATTTGGTTCCAAGTTTTGAATCATTAATGATATTCTGGAACACTTTGGTGGTAGAGATGGCCTCTGGTCGTGCTCTGTTGCCATCTGTTCTCATACCCGTAATCGACTGAAACTTTTCTCCAAAACAAAGACCCTCTTCTGCTAGCTTGTTGTACCACTTCCCCATATGCCATGATTCATATCCTTGTGTATTATTGACCGTCACAGTGTCAGATAGTGCTTGCAGGTTGTCGCCGGTGAGCAGTCTGATCCTGCCTGAGCAATGCAGGGTCGGTTTGCCATCATCCCAGGAGGATACCGCAAAGTCATACCAAATGGTGGATTGATTGACCGTGGAAAGCTTTTGTGCTGATAAAGAAGTGTGAATTTCTATTTGACTGTTGGTTTCCTCCGGTATCACCATAGCAGCGCCGATGCTGACATTCAGAAACTCGAAGGCCGTTCCGGGAGTCGAAGGAGTTGTATCACACACCTGGCATACCGCTTCTATTATGAGACCCAGGTAGGCAGTAGCCGGGAAGACAATCTGGGAATCAAGTTTATGATCACGCACCCAAGGTACCTCAGATAGCCGAAGCAGATTCCTCCATGCCCAATCGATTCCGTTGCCGGCTGTTTGTAATACTCCAAGGAGTTCATGGCGAAGATGTTTACGGTTACGCTGTTCAATGCTGGCTCGAGGCTCGCTCCACAGAAGCGGTCCAGAATAATCCCATGGATAAGGAGGCAACGTCGAAACAGGAGGAGTGATACCACATATAGAACTGTTAATTCTGGCCCACTCAAGAGAATGCCCATGAATGAACAAATCGCCAGCGAGCTTCTTGCTGCATTTGTAAGAATCCTGGTCGCGTACCAGACTTGGTGAGTAATGCAAATCATGACCTGTCTTTTTTCGGATCATTTCAATTGGACCTTTCAAGGCAGCATGAGGGCCAATCTCAATCAGATGCATCTTCCTGTTTGCAGTCAGATTGCTGAGCGCTCCGTTGAATTGGACCGTTGACTCGAGGTTCTGACGCCAGTAACGAGGCTTGCAAGTCTTCCTGCCACCATCTGGACCAAAGACAGCTAAATCTTCTTCTTTCTGACCCACAGATGAATACATCTTGGCTCTGTACGGATTTGTGGAATAATGCTCTTGGACGCTAAACATGACCTCAAGCATCTCCTGGTACAGGGCGCCGGCCTCTGTCATCATGTGCGAGTGATAGGCTCTTCCACCGGTCTGCAAAGCTCTGCAAAACGTACCACGTTTTTCTAGTGTCTTCGTCACTAACTCCACGGCGGCGAGTTCACCGCTGAGCGTGACACTTTCGGGTGCGTTGACACATGCAACACAGACACGGCCTGCCAAGTCTAACTCTTGGATCAACTCATGAGCCGCATCGGGGGTCAAGCCAGCTGCGAGCATAGCGCCTTGGTTTTCAAGCTTTCCAACAGCAGCGCCGCGGAAGTATGCTACTTGAATAGCCTGGGCAGCACTAAGATGGCCGGCTGCATAGGCAGCCGCGATTTCCCCAGACGAGTGTCCAACGACTGACTCTGCTTGAATTCCCCATGAGTCGAGAAGGTCTACAAGGCCGATTTGAACCGCCGTACAGATAGGCTGGCTGCGTGTGACATCGTGGATCATGCTAGTCTCAGGAGAATCCATGATTGTCTGTTCCAGCGTCCAAGATGGTCTCTGATCATGCCAGGGCATAGCTTGTAGCACCGCATCGAGCTCTTTAATTGAATCTCGGAACACAGGCTCTCTATTTAGGAGCTCTTTGCCCATGCCGGGGTACTGAGCGCCCTGTCCTGTGAATACAAATGCCAGTGGTAGCGCCTCATTATCTTTGCCAGACGCCATAACAGCGTCCTCGGTGTGGCCACGATTAGCGATGATGAAGGCCCTACGGCTGAGATGAGCCCGGCGCTCACCCAATGTGAACGCTATTGATGGCAGCTCATTTTCTTGAGACTTAGTGATGACATACTCATTCACCTGGCTGACGCGCTTCTCCAACGACCATTTGGATCGGGCAGAAATTGGAAGCAGATAAACATCCTCAGGCTGCTGACTGTCTTCCTCTTCAGTCGCTGTGCCTAATTCTCCGAATGGTTCAAAACGATTGTTGCCTTTGAGAAAGCTCTTTGGGTCTTCAAGGATCACGTGGGCGTTGGCACCGCCATAACCAAAGGAGTTGATGCTGGCCCTCCGCAACTCCCGTGGCCATTCCGAGAGTTCATCGACGACCTGTAAGTTGTACTTATCAAGTTGTACTATAACATAGTAAGCCTTATTGCATTTTAGAAACCCTTTCCTAAAGGCCAATGCTTACACTTTGGGTTCAGTTTGGTGATTCCATATGTGGGTGGAATTAGCCCTTTCTCAAAGGCCAGCACCGCTTTAATCACGGCCGACAAGCCACTTGCAGCTTCACTGTGACCGACATTTGTTTTTACCTAGGGTTTGAACTATGTGTTAGCGGTAGTATATGCAATCTTCGGACATTCATCAGACATACCGCGCCGATCATCAACGGTGGACCATAACGCGGCGAGAAACATCGACCGATGCCCTCAACTTCGACGGGATCCCCAACGGCGGTGCCGGTTCCATGGCATTCCACGTAATCAGTATCTGCCATGTTTAATCTCGCATTGGCGTAAGCCTTTCTAATGACAGCTTCTTGGAAACGGGCACTGGGTTGCGTAATGCCGTTGGTCCGCCCGTTGGCATTGACTATTCAGTCGTCTGATTAGCACTACTGTGGTTCCCAGGTTTGGTGTCCAGTGGAGTTCAACTTACTGGCAGTACCCCGAATGATAGCGCGGATATTGTCCCCGTCACGTATTGCTCGTGAAAGGGGCTTGATCAAAACAGCATTGACTGCTTCACCTCGCCCATACCCATCAGCGGATGCGTCAAAAGTGTGACAAGTTGACGTGGGAGAGAGCACCCCGCCCTTCATAGTTCCTAGGTGCTGCTCGATAGATGTAATGAGGTTGGCTCCTGCCACGATAGCAGCACTGCAATCTCCATTCTTAAGTGCCATAACCGCGTTATGAAGACCATAGATAGACGACGAGCAGGCTGTGTCAAGGGTGAAACTCGGCCCAGTTAGATTGAAAACATGGCTTATGCGGTTAGCCATTATGGCGGTCCCTGAGCCCGTTGCGCTATACCGGTGAAGGTAGTCTGGGTCTCTTGTTTGCATTGTTTGATAGTCAACGGTGAAGTTTCCGATGTAAACAGCAGTATCAGTGCCTGAGACGTCCTCCATGGATAACCCAGCGCTCTCTAGACATTCGTACGTCACTTCTAGCAACTTCCGCTGCTGGGGATCCATGTAAGTTGCTTCGAGGTTGTTGATACCAAAGACGCTATTATCGAACTGCCGAACATCCTCGTCAAGGAAGTAGCCGCCATCAGCGTCCATGGCACCAGCTCTCTTACCATCTGGATGATAGTAACCGGCAATGTTGAATCTTTCGGCAGGCACTCGTCCTTGAGTCGTCTTTTTGGCTGCAAGGAGGTCCCAGAGATCCGAGGGGGAACGGATACCACCAGGTAGGCGGCAGCCTAGATGCTAGTCAGTAACTCGTTAAGTCAAAAAAGAATGAAGTTTGAATTTACCTATGCCGACAATGCAAGCCAAGTCATCACCCCCACTTGATCCTTGCTTCGAGTCCTCTGAAGTCGATTCAACGTAAGAAGCGACATCATCTGCAATAGAAACCGAGCATGCATCTGAATTTTCACCAGTGCTGGGTTCGACTTCAAGTGTTTTCACCTCAATGGGTGATGTTTTGGTAGATTGTATGGGTTCAATCACACCAAGAGGTGTGAAGATGGTGGTTGACATGCTGGCAACGCAAGAGCTTTAATGGGATAAATGGGCCTTCAGTCTCAGCAGGAAGATTTGGAACTATCTTTCTGCTGTTATTTGGAGAGAAAGAGGAATCTATGATCTATTCTAAATATAATTGACAATCTCTTAAGTAAATCCTTTTCAAGCAGATTCTCCAACAGGCTGTATCTGGCCCCCATCAGCCATCAGCCTAGTACTACATGAATATGCGTTTCTTCAGGTCTCGGGCATGCGTTGTCAATGGATCCCTGGCATTGCGCCTTTCCGTAGATAATTTCTCATGTAAAAAAGCATCTAGAACCACATCGACGTGGAGTTTTGTCCGAATATTGGGTCTAGACCATGCCGATGGCAAAATTATTTTCTTGTCATACAGGACGTTGGCTTATCTCATTACCTTTCCTCACGCACAGCCCGCTCGGTGATTACTCTCACATGATGCAATGCCGATCCAGCTCGCCGAGGCATTGTCAGGTTCGGGGATTCCGACCTCAACTATCAATGTCTAGATATCAGAATTTGAATCTTGAGGTCGGAGAAGCAGAGAAAATCGAGGTGAATAACTCCATACTTTTTTGTTATTCGAAAAGGCGAAGACAAATTCTCAATGCACCGAGGGCCCGCTTGCCCTCATTATAGTGTCCCTTTAGGCCGTGTTTCAATAACTTCTTCACCTCAGTAGGTCACCTAAAACGAAAATTGAGATGTCAACGCTCAAGAAATTTGTCCTTGTTACGGGGTAAGCCATTAATTGCTAATTGATTGGGTGCCCTTGCTGATGACTTAGATGCGGTCAAGGGGGTATCGGTGAGGCTCTTGTAAAGGTATACGCCGAGCAAGGGCTTCACCCTATCGCTACGCTTCTGCCGTTCGAACCCAGTGATCATCTTGCAGAAGCTGGAATTACTTTCTTCCCGTTAGATGTCACCAAGGAGGACTCTATCCAAGACCTGCAACACCATGTAGTGGGACTTACAGGAGGACGGCTTGATATACTTGTCAACAATGCGTAGGTTTTCAATCATGCTCATCGCTCAGAATCTTTACTTAGTTCGATGCTGACCAAACTTTGAAGAGGAATATGTATGAAAAAAGGTCTACTAAGTTAAACATAGCTAAACGTTTGTCTAGGCTATACAATGACGGCAATCGATACCGACGTGGGTGCAGCATCCAAGATGTTTGACGTAAATGTTCTAGGGCCGATGCGAATGGTTCATCATTTCCACGACCTACTCATAGCCGCATCTGGCACAATCGTGAACATCGGCTCAGTTGGTGGTATAGTGCCTTATGTTTATGGATGTGAGTTGAACAAGAAAGATCCAGAACCGCTCGGTTAACTAATCCCAAACGCTTCAGCATCGTATAATGCAACCAAGGCTGCACTTCACCACTGGAGTAATACTTTGCGTGTGGAAATGGCACCACTACGGCATGTTGAAATTCACACAGTTCCCTGCCGTTCTCTTGTCGACTGATAGTTCTTTTCTAGCGTTAAAGTAATGACAGTATGAAATCTCGCTTGAGTTATGGACATTGATGTATACTCGAAATCTAGCTGACTTCCTATTTCTGGCTCAGGTGATATCCGGAAACATTGGGACAAATATTCTCAAAAGTGATCAAAAGGAAAATAGAGAGATCCCTCCAAGTAAGTCTTCTCATCGGAGAAATATTGCATAGAATGCAATAAAACGCAAATGATATTTAGTGTTCTCACTAATATGGGTGGTTCAAGACTCATACTTTCGCCCATTGAAAGAGGAATTTAAAAAACACATAACGAGAGTTCCAGGTAATCCGAAATTTTCCGATACAATTTGATATGGCCCTGGGCGATAATTGTCATTGACAACTCTTTTTAGACACAACAGATCGCTTTGACTATGCCTCAAAAGTCGTGTCGCAGAGTCTCCAGTCGTCGCCCACAGCTTGGTTTTGGTATGGAAAAACGACTTGGCTCGTACGATTCGTAGATGCCTTTTTCTGGCGCACTATTTGGGTAGGCATATCTCAATCAAATGGAAATCCTAACGAGCTCGTTTGCCTAATATGCTTAGGACTCTCTGCTTTGGAGAATGTTCGATTTTGGGAAGTTGAAGAGAACGCACGACCTAGCTCAAGCCATGCCACGAAGTACTTAGCAAAGTTAACTTGTTCATGGCACTATTTAAATAAGCACATAATTTCCTTTTAAACTCATTTGATATTATTTCAAACTCATTTGCTATTGTCGCTCTTCTTGCGTAATTGAAGTAGTTGCTCTGCTAAGCATCTTGTCATGTTGTAGCAGACTAAGACCAGGCGGCTTGTTGATGAGAATATATTTACCCACAGACCCTAACATAAGACCTCAAAGGGACAGAAATCTAGTTGCTAACAAACGCTCTACACATAGAACCTAAGTAAAATGCAGTTATAATAGGTGGAAGGGAGGATATATGTGTTCAAGAATGAGTGGATGAACGGAGATCATAGATGTCTATGCCTCTCATAGATGGAGGTTACCTCAACATTGTACATGAGAAAAAATGAATCACATTCAGTACTTGTATCTTGCTATAGGCTACTCTCGAATACCGTTGGAATATCTGAACTAATCAACCCCTTTCATATTCCTTTGCCAGATGCCCCAAGAATCCCTCCACCTTCTTCCCACCAACGACTATGTCATTGCATGGAAGAAGTACCCAAAGCATTCTACCAGGCAACGTGCCGTTTCCTGTGATGTTCTTCCATTTATGCGAGGTAGCTCGCTGAATGCTGACATCCCCCGGACGCATGATGCGTGACTCTCCAGAGTCAAGGGTTAGCTCAAACACCCCTTCGATTACAACACCATAGTCGACCGAGATGGCTCGATGAAGTGGAGACTCGATCCCAGGCCCAAAATCAATCATACGGACGACAGAGCCATTGGGATAATGGAGTGGAGGCTGCTAATATTAGGCCATATGCAATGCATAGAAGTGTATGAGGTATAACTTGCCTCGGTCTCTTGAGCGAACTTGATGTCGGCATCGCCATTACACTCAATGGGTGTCTCTTTGGTTGAGTACAAGATGTTTGCCACAGCCTGGTTGTCACCCATATTGCGATGGTGAGAGCCACAGTCGGTCACCAAAAACACAGACTTGCCTTCGGTGTCGTGGCCTGTGATGTGGCGCTGGATTCGAGGCAGCCCGGCAGCTGGGAAGCCATCGGTGATGTAGCCCTCAGCGCCTTTCGGCGGGCCTCCGTCATTATTAGCGGCCATTGTATAGAATGTTCCAGTCGTCTAGCAGGTTGGAAGTATGTAGAGATGAGAGCGGCTAAAGTGGAACAAGAGACAGATAAATTCCTCTCAATTCAAATACCCAAACGATGATATTCAAGCTACCAAGGCCGTAATAATACGGCAGCAAAGATTTCTTCGGTGATTATCAATTCCTAGACAAGAAGTACAGGACAGGAGAGTATCAATGCTAAACCTTGATTGTCAACGTAGTTCCCCCATCCACAATAAGCCCGCAGCCTGTGATGTAGCTAGATCGCTGGCTGCATAGAAACATGACCGAGTCGGCAATTTCTTTGGTATGCGCCATCCGTCCCATGGGAACCGCCGACTGGATAAGTTTCTCGAGATCGGGGACTTGATCAATCGCCTTGCGAACCATCGGTGTGTCGACCCAAGACGCGCAGATGCAGTTAACTCTGATACCCAACGCCGCATTATCCAAAGCTAAGACGACAAGTATCAGTTGGTAGTCCAAATTATGAGCGGGAATAGTAATTTCATACCAGCATTCTTAGTCAAGCCAAGGATGGCGTGCTTGGACGTGGTGTACTGCACCATCTGCGGCGTAGAGACGAACGACGCCGCAGATCCCATATTGACGATCGCGCCACGGACCGGCGATGGCGAGTTCCTAATTGATTCCTGAGCTGCCATCATCGAAGACGCCGCGCGAGTCACCAAAAACGTTCCCGAGACATTCACGTCAAGAAAACGGTTGAACTCTGCCAAGCTCGCCTCGGCGATGGGAGCCGCCCTCTCAACGCCGATGCCCGCGCAGTTGACGCAGTAATCCAGCCGCCCCGAGATGGCTCTGACACAAGCCATAAGTCGGTTGACCGAGTCCTCACTGGTGACATCGACTTTAAGAGGGGTAGCTCTGAAGCCTGGGGTTCTCGCGGCGGCGAGGGCGTTGGCCTCGGCGGCCACTTTGGTCGCCGACGGCAAGTCGAGGTCGGCCACGATGAGGCCCGAGGCGCCCTCCTCGGCGAAGGCAAGGGCACATTCCCGACCGATACCACTTCCTACGCGAAAATTCCAAGTAAGCCAACGGTTGCAAGTTTAGGAGCTGGGCGCGGGGATGATGCTGCTTACCTCCGCCAACAACCAAGGCAAAGCCTGTGATGTCCATAGTCGAGGGCTAATTCTTGCTGATTTTATGAAACTACTATGATAGGGTGAGGGTATTAGTCCATAGTCACCACAGTCTGTCTAATTGTCAAGACATGTGGATATTTATGGCTACAGAGTGCACCGCAGTCGGGTGCAAACCGGTGATCCTGCACTCGAAGAGACGCCGGTCAACGCCGAGGACAAAATCTATGAGCATAGCTCATCGGGTGGAATAGTTGAATGAGATCCGGGCATTGGACATCACAATGAAGAAAGTAGCGTAGCTCCAGTCTTTAAAAGATATCAATGATTGATCGTTGTAATTGCTTGGTTCGATATCCAATTTCATCTGACGACAAAAAAATCAACAAAATGCAGTTCCTACAGCAATACCACTCGCAGCAGGCGCCAATCCGCATCATCCACGTGGGCGCCGGCGCTGCGGGCATACTCACTGCCTACAAGGCCAAGAAGCTCCTCCGGAACTTCTCTCTGGTCTGCTACGAGAAGAATGCTGGCGTGGGAGGCACATGGTACGAGAACCGCTACCCAGGCTGCGGGTGCGATGTCCCTGCTCACTCCTACTCCTTCACATTCGAGCCCAACCCGGACTGGAGCGGCTTCTATGTCGGGGCGGCAGAGATCCTAGCATACATGGAGAAGTTTGTTGGGAAACACGGGCTGCGTGACTTCATTCAGCTCGAGACAACTGTGATGAGCGCGGAATGGGATGAAGCCGCTGGGGAATGTACGTTCAAACAACCAAGTCTGTCAAGTGTGTATACACGGTTTACATGAGCCAACAGGGATAGTAGAGTTGCAGCGAAAGGATGGATCGCGCTTCACCGACCAATGCCACGTGCTTATCAACGGCTCCGGGCCATTGAACAAATGGAAATGTATGTGCGATGAAATGCTGCCTTCAGGCAAGATGAAGCGTCGAGCAATTGTGATAACAGCAGTCAGTGCCGGATATCCCTGGGAGAGAAAAATACAAAGGCAAGTTATGCCACTCGTCGAGCTGGGATCCAAGCATCGATTGGACAGGCAAACAAGTGGCAGTGATTGGATCTGGGGCAAGCGGCGTCCAGATTGTGCCTCAGCTTGTGAAAGGTCAGTCTGCGAAACCAAAAAAAAAAAAGTGAGATCCTAGAACGAAATGCTAACTCCCAGATCAATAACCCAAGGGTCCAAGTCATTGACACTCTTTGCGCGGTCAATCCAATGGCTCACACCTCCTCTGGGCCTCCAGGAGATCACCGTCCCAGGCGTCGAGGGCAACCAGGCTCGTCTACCCGGTCCGCTGGGAAAGCACCTCTACACCGATGCGGAGAAGCAGGTAATGAGAGACAACCCCGAGGCGCTGCTGCAATACCGTAAGCAGGTCGACATGGAGCTCCAGCGCTGGTTCGGCGTGTTTCTGCGAGACTCTACGCTGTCAGCTGGTGCGATGCAGGTCATGGCTGAAGGAGTGCGCGCCCGCTTCGGCCCCGAGAACCAGGAGCTGGCTGAGAGCTTTGTGCCGGACTTTGGTCCCGGATGTAGGCGCAATACAGTAGGTGAATGACCCAATATTCCGTGCGACCAGAATGCTCACTGTGCTGCATAGCCCGCGGAGGGTTTCATTGAAGCACTCATCCAGCCAAATGTAACCACCATCAGGGAAGGTATCGCCGCCTTTACCGAGACGGGGCTTGTCACAGATGGTGGGCATCAGCACGATTTCGACGTAATCGTGTGCTGTACAGGGTTTGATGTCGCGTACACGCCACACTTGTGAGTTTGGTGGTACATCCGAGATGAATGGACCAGAGTTTACTGATTTGTTGTAGCCCAGTGAAGGGTCGGGGAGGAGTCCTGATGAGAGAGCAGTGGGCTGAGAAACCACAAATCTACCTGACGGTCGCAACGCCAGGGTTTCCCAATTTCTTCCATATTGGCGGACCGACAGGGAACTGGGGATCGGGTTGTGTCTTGGCATCGGTAAGCACAAACCAAGAGGGATGAACGAGTCGTTAAGGGGCATATCGGAATGCAAGATGACCGAGCTGAACTAACGATTACTCCCATAGCACGAGGTCCAAGCTGAATATGCGATACAAGCCTGTCTCAAAATGTCTAGAGAGCAGCTACACTCTGTCGAGCCCAAGGACGGGCCTACAGACCAGTACATGGCACACAACGCAGCCTGGCATGCGTCTTACAGCCACTGGGCCGATGGCTGCCGCTCGTGGTACAAGAATGGAGGCCGTGCTGACGGTGAGGTAATGCTATGGTGCGGCAGTATGCTACACATGATGAAGACACTTCGTAGCCCTCGCTGGGAGGATTACAAGATACGATACCGAGACCAGGGTGACATGTGGGCGTTCTTGGGGGGTTGGGGGAGAAGCGAGATCGAAGATAAAGCCGGCAAGGGGCTACCCGTGGACTTGAGTCCGTTTGTGCGAAGCGGAGATGTGCCCTATGAGATTGAGTAATTAGTCTGTGTGTGTGTCATATCAACTCTACGGCAATAGGGCCTTTTACGCCCGAGAGGTTGCACTAAGATATAAGCAAACAGTCTAACGTGGCTGCAAGAAGGAAAGTGCTCAGCTCAGGTAGGATTTGAAGCCACCTGCACACACCAAGAAGAAAAACAAGGCCCAGACGCGTGACAGGGGGTAAATTAGTCAGTAGCCGAGGAGAGATCAAAACACGAGAGAGTGGTCCCAACGAGATTGTTTCCCGTTTTCAGACTAGCGTGTCCGGCTGCCATGGAAAGCTATGGGTCTTTCGCACATCTAGCCAATAGACGGGCAACGTGGATTGGAGCTACCCTATACTCCGTTGTTAAACAAGAGCAAAGAACATCGAAAATAGCCAGGAGTTCAGTATGGAAGCGTCTGATAATCGTTGTTGTTGGTTGAAAATGTTGCTGAAATTTGAATTCTTAGATTGACTCTTAATGTATCAGAACACAAGCTGAAGGGTTCCTACTTGCGGTGTTGAGCATGATTAAGTACACCTCGTTGAGAACAACCCATGGGTCTAGATCCAACTGCACAGGCCACTTCGTAGGGCTGTACTGGTCGAAGGGTCAAACGAGTCAATTAATTGACGTACCTGGTCCCTTGCCATGGGTCCGGTTATACACTGATTGCTGATTGCTCATCAAGTAGCGGCACTTCTAGGACGCCTCTACGTACCTAGCCACCGCAGGATCTAACAAACCCACCAATAAACACGCTAAGCCCTGGGACCCACCATCGTCACTTCCCGATCGAGAAAACAATCTATGTCCCAATTTGGGAAAGAATCTCCACTCCCGATCTGGCAACCAATCTCTCACAATATCGCCGCATGACGAAGCGGAATGGAGTTTAAGTTTGTGATGATGGGATACCACATGAACAGATTTGCCCATTGTTCCTACCTGTATTTAATGAACTGTTCCCTTGGCTTTCCCAATCTGAAAAATCCCATCTCATCCAACCTCACTTCCTACCATCGAGCTTCCTCGATATCAATCTTAACTGCATACCAACTCTCACACACACAAATTTACAGACATACACAATGTCGTACAAACGATCTATCTTGTTGACAGGTGGCACGCATGGCCTTGGCTATGAAGCGGCCTCCAAGCTGGCCAAAGATCACCCAGACTACCTCATCGTCGTGGCCTCGCGGTCCGACAAGGAAAAGGCAGCAGAGAGAATCAACCAGAAGCTCGGACAGAGCAATACCCAATGGATGAAGCTTGATCTCAGCGACCCAGACAGCGTTCGCCGTTTTGCCCAGCAATGGATCGCAGACGCCTCTAAGCCCCCGCTGCAAGTCCTCATGTTCAACGCCGGTCTCCAGTTCCCTACTACATTGACCCTCACCCCTGAAGGCATGGAAAAGACATTTGCCATCGCTCATGTCGGTCACGCCATGCTGTTTCACTTACTGTACCCTCAAATTGCCACAGGTGGTCGTGTGGTCCTCACCTCGAGCGGCACCCACGACCCAGCTCAGAAATCTGGCTTGCCTGACGCCGAGTACAACACGGCGCAAGATCTCGCCTACCCACCCAAGAACATGGTTGACATCCCTGGCCGCAAGAGGTACTCAACCGCCAAGCTTTGCAACGTGCTTTGGGGTTATGCGCTGGCCAAGCGTCTGGCCGAGCGCGCCCCTGAGCGTAGAATCACCGTCACATCTATGGATCCCGGCCTGATGCCTGGTACTGATTTGGCGCGCGAGGCAAGCAAGATTGAGAGGTTCCTCTGGTACCATGTTCTGCCCCGCACCATTGGCCTTCTGCGTCTCCTAGTGCACCCCAATGTTCACTCGCCTGCTGAGTCTGGCGCCTCCCTGGCCAGGCTGGCGACTGGCAGCGACGTTGAGGGTGTCACCGGGAAGTACTTTGAGAGTCTGCGCGAGATCAAGTCAAGCGAAGATAGCTATGACATAGCCAAGCAAGACGACCTGTGGGACTGGACTGTGAACTATGTTGCACAGGGAGACGCTGCGGAGAAGGCCCGGCTCGACTCATTGAAACTGTGAGCTACATTATTGTTGAATGGTTTGGAGTGTTTTGGTGTTGTAATCGCTTTTAGCGAGGTGTCATGTGTTCTATCAAATTCTTATTAGACTTAATGTTAGCATTACGCGTCGAAACAACTACTTAATAGATTCTTTTGTCTGCTTTGATACGAACCAGCTTGCCACTGTATGAACCTTTGACGCCTTGTTTTACTGTGAAGATCTACTTGGTAGAGGTATTAAAGCGTTGATGGCGAGTCCAAGCCTGCTTGGATTGCGAGGACGAACCCGTATCAAGTGGTTGAATGATAATGCCTCCCTTTTCAGTCAAGACCTTGCTTCTTTTTGAGTCTTAATAACTACGAATTTGAGATAATCATTTATATGAAATCGTTTGACTCGCAAATTGAACCGATGAAACCCAACCTACCTGATATGGCCTCTGGATCTCGATCTATTTCATGGCCTTTCGCATAAGTGTGTTTGCCCATTACTAGGATGTAGGTTGACGGCTTGGTCTTCCCTAACGGGTCTTCCCGGGTTATTCCGGGCACATACAAGCATGGAGGGTAGTCGGCATCTACAGCTCCGTACAATGACTCTTTCGTAGGGCGCCGGCCGAAAAAAATGGTGGCACATTAGACCTATGTCAACACATGCGTTTCTTTTTCCTCCCCTCTCGCGCATGCTACCGACCTTATCTGGGCGGAGTGCTAAAGATCCTCCTTATTGTAACGCCAAAACTGTGTGAGAATGACTGTCTCGCTTGTTTAACATGAGCCATGCTTTGGTGGCAAGTGATAATCTGTATCTGAAACGAAGCTGGGATCTACTTGGAGCTTGAGCTAGAGCCTGACGATAATCTCATTTGTAAAAGGGCTGGGCCGGGCGGATCTGGAGGGGTTGTCACACGCAATCTATCGGTCTGGTCTCTTCGGCGACCCCAAGATCGTCACACATGTGTTCATGAATATTCATACCAGGGGTTGAGGTCAGGGTATCCTAGTCTAAGTGGTCGCCTCATCAGTCAACTTCAGTGTTCACACGTCAGCTCGTTTCACATCCCTTCCTTGTGACCATGTCCCTCATCGCACGACCTCAATTCTACTACACTGCGTGACGCTTCGACAAGCACAGTCTCACAGTCTCGGCTTTCTCTTCCAACCAGATGCGCATGTAGTCACACGCCATGACTTGGGCGCCCGAGCTGCGTACACCCGCTACCTGGTCATCCTGCCCGTCTCGGAAGAACCGCACAGACTGGCTAAAGTGCTTGAGCAGCACCTCGAGGCGACGAAAGTACAAAACACACAGCCGGAGCCGTAGATCCGCCTCGTCATCGTCCTCAAGCTGTAGTACACCCCAAGTCAGGCGCGGCTCAGCCATGCTGCCGTCTTGATCGCCAGTCTTGGGCTTCCCACTGTTTCCAGTGGCTACCTGAATATGACCATCAGCTGACTGTGTGGCCACCGATGTACAGGAGGGACTTTGAGGGTTGTGGCCCTCTGCGGCAGGCGGGTCGTCGTTGGCGAGAAGCTTTTCAAAGCCATCGATGATGCCGCCTATCATGACACCCATCAACATGGCCATGCTGGGGTCGGCAGCGTGCGATTGACAGTTTGCCGAGGCTTCGCAGCCGATGATGGCCCTCTTGATCTGAGATAGCTCTATGTCAAAAGAGAGGCGCTGGCCCTTTCCACGGTTGAAAAGGGGGGATGTGCGTGCAAGCCCTGGAACGGCTTCTGGACTGCAACTGCAACTGCATTCAGGTTCATCGTACCCGATGGGTGGCTCCGCCATTTGCTGATCCTGGTCTTGCTGCTGCTGTTGCGGAACCTGTTCGCGTATGCCCGGGGATGTCTGTACCAGAGAGGCGTCGAGGTCGAGGCCTGCCCAGGGGTTGTCGGTGATACGACCGGTGAAGAACTGGTTGCCAACACCGTCTGCGGCCCACTCTGCTCCCTGTGCACCAAGTTCCGACCCGTTCGAAGTTATGGCTAAGCCTAGGAAACTGTCATTTCCACTGTCATGATGTGTGCCCAAAATCTCCGAGTGAATCAGCGGTTCTGATGTGCAGTTGAACATCGTTTGGTCTCCAAAAAAGTCCATGATGGGCGGCATTTCCAGCAGGTTTGGAGTCATTGGGCATTCCTTGGCCCTCTTTTGCTGCTGCTGATGTGTTGACGGACAACGGCTACCGGTACTTAGAGATCGCCGAGACGGGATCAAGATCCGCGGCGCGTCTTTGTGACTTCTTCGTGAAAGCCCGTAGACACAGACAACGCCGTTTCGCTCACAGCGGACACAGGTGGGCTTTGTCTGAGTACAGCGCACCTTCGATTCATGACAGGCGTTGCAGGACGCACGGAGTTTGAGATTGGCCGTCTCCGTGGCTTCCTCGCTGTTGGTGTTGTTCATGGTCATTGTAGGATCAGATTCTGCCTTGAAGGCTTGATTTCGATGTTTGCCAGGAGAAATGGGATTCGTCCCCCTGTTATACGGCTCTATGGAAAGATATGGAAGCTTCTTCTTCTTAGGAATGGGGTCGAGAACATCCCTAGCCTTCTATTCTCGAAGAATTGTAACCTTAGATCCCAGCATATGCAGCTATTACCCTATCACATACATATCACGTTGTTTGATGTGGCGTTCTGAAGCGTAGCCGTCAACATGCATTGACCCGCTAGCATGATAGTCAACGGCCAATCATTTTAAGGTGAGCGGCCGCCTGGGAGAATGAACAAGTTGCATATTGCTCTTCGGTTGTAACACAGGCTGGAAAGATCCTGCACTTGGCAACTCGAGTCTATTCAGGAGATCAACTCTGGCTACTTGATGAAGCGAAGCAAGGTCAGCCGCAACGACAAGAGGGTGTCAATACCCTTTCCAACGTATTCATTGTGTTGACATGTCAGGTTTATCTTCCAATGCTGGTTTTCTACTTTGTACTCAAACTCTCTCACCGTATCGCGCCCTTACCAGAAAGGGGCTCCCGAAACGATATCAAGTTGCACATGGTTATGGTTCATTCGATGCTGGGCCAATTGGGAATTCCGTCGGGTTCTGCAAGTCCTACCTCATCACCTGCCGTGTATGTCAGCAGGCAACCACTACCACGTTAGCTTCACGTGCATGGATCTTGCCGTATTATCGTGTATTACACCAGGCCTCTTTACCATGGTCAGCAAGATCGGCCTCATTATTATCCCGTCCTGTATCTATTGGGCGGAGATATTATTCCTTGGGCGATGTTGATGATACCTTTGGCGTTTGTCGGAGGAAAGGCCGGCATTCGTTCCGCCATTGCGCTTTTTAAAAGGCGGCGATAAAACTACATGTAATCTGACCTTCATTTAGCTGGTAAAGCATTCTTGTGATTCTCCAAGGCATTCAAATTTTGGAAGCCTGCAGTGACTCATATCAAAGTTAGAATGGATCTACGCGATTTTGCCCCTTTTCCGGCCATGGCCACTGGCTTCTTCGTTGCTGTCCTCACCAGCTACGCTTTATACCGCGTTGTCTATAATATCTTCTTCCACCCTTTACGTGATTGGCCAGGCCCTCGCTGGGCTGCAGCTACCGACTTTTTCAAGCTTTGGATCCTACACACCAAGCAGGCTCATACGCTGGGCATCAAGTATCATGCCCGTTACGGGCCAGTGGTGAGAGCGGCCCCCAACCTCCTTGCTGTGGATGACCCTCGGCTACTGCCGATAATATACCATCGCCGCGCAAATAAGACTGATGTCTACACTACTGGCGTGCTGGGTGACTTGGCTCCCCCTTTCCAGACAATTGACTGGAAAGACCATGCTCGCAAACGCAAACGCGTAGCCTCATCATTCCTGCTCAGTAATTTAGTGAAGCTTGAGGGACAGGTAGATGCCCGCATCATGGAGTGGACAGGAGCGCTGGCCTCTCGCTTTGCGGACACGGGCAAGAGCATGGACTTTGCCGCTTGGTCGCAGTGGTTTGCTTACGACACCATTTGCCAGCTCTCCTTTGGAGAACCGCTGGGCTTTGTACGCGAAGCGTGTGATGTGTTTAATCTCATTAAGAACTTCCACGACATGGCCCCCTTTGCTGCCGTCGTGGGGGCTCTGCCTTGGCTTTGTGCACCTGTTCTGCAGAGTCCCATCACTAAATGGCTGTTCATGCCGCGACCAGGCGATAGCTCGGGTACAGGCAAGATTATGGCTGTGAGTGTTCCTAATCGCCCGCTTCATGTTTATGGTTGCCTTGACATGCTAACGCGAATCATAGTTCCGGGACGCTCTATTGGAGGACAGGCTGCGTGATCCAGACCGTCATCATGACGGAAGCTTCTTGGATAATATTATAGCAGCCAAGAACGAGGATGGTACCCCTATCACCATTGAAGAAGTGAAGACCGAGTGCTTTGTTCTTATGGTGGCGGCCTCAGACACCACTGCAGCCTTCTTCTGTGGCTTCGTGCGCTATGTGCTTCAGTCACCTGGCGTATACGACAAGCTAATGGCAGAGATTGATGACTTTCAGGCACGAGGGCTCCTCTCGGACCCCGTGCCTACCTTCGAGGAGATCAAAGCTCTGCCATACTTTGAAGCATGCCATCGTGAGACGCTGCGCTACCAACCATCGACTCCAATGATCATCCCTCGCTATGTTAGCGACGGTGGCCTCGAGCTATATGGCCGCCATGTTCCAGCTGGCACTGAGATTGGAGCCAATCCATACGTGGTCCACAGAAATAAGGAAGTATTTGGCGAGGACGCTGACTGTTTCAACCCTGGGCGCTGGCTCAAAGACCCCGATGCTGCGCGAGAAATGGACAAATGTATCCTTACCTGGGGTTATGGCCCTCGCGTTTGTCTGGGTAAGAACATTGCTCTGCTCGAGACATATAAGCTCCTGATTCAGGTAAGTTCCAATTGTGATCCAATTAGTCTAAGATTATACTGATTGACTTGGTATATTGAAGTTTTTTCGTTTATTCCGTCCTTCAATCAAGTATCCAGATGAAAAGAGGATTTGGCGACAAGAAAATCTGGCACTGCTTGTTCATTGGGAATTCTGGATTGATATTGAACACAGAAAACAGCTTGTATCATGATTGGAGTTTCAGATCATATTTAAATCATTGCAAATGATTTTTAGGCGCTATCTAAGGAGCAGACTGAAGTGTAGATGGCGTCAAAAACACCCAGTTGTTGACGGCCCCTAGATAGTAGGAATTAAAGTATCGCCAGAATTGAGTCTCCAACACCCGGGCCTTTGAGTGAAGCTCCCACGTAAGAGCGAGCCATCACACCGGCTATCTAGCCGGCGGTTAGAATTACGTACCATTGGTTTGATGAAAACCGCCACTAACCATTCTGCTTCAAAGACTTGAAAAGGGGTGTAATATTGAATAATGTGCAACCAGACTGTAGACGCCTCGTAAGCACAGTCAAGACGCCACATTCCTATCTTATGGATTAAGAGGTCACGAGAACCGCTTTCTAGGCGACCGTGCACCGTATTTACCCTCGATTCCTGTCCCTGAAACGCGTGGCGCCTTTTATCTGTTGGCCGTTGAGAACGTTTATTCGCCCATTGTTGCCCCTGAATGATAAGGGCTGGGCCAAAAAGCGACCAAAGCGAGCGGTCTTATCTCAGATGCTCGTCCTATATTACTCCGCGAGATTGAGTTGCTGGAAGTGGGCCTAAGCTGAGGCAGAGACAAGACCTAAACCCAATGTTTGATGTTTGATTCGTGGTTTGGAGGCGTCTAGACAATTGGGATTACGAGCTTCGCGAAGAGTGCCACCTGACCATGACTGTGATGAAGTTGGATACTGATCCTTCGTGCCTTGAATCCTCCCTGAAAACTCGTATTGTAAAGAGCTGAGACCTGAAGTCTAGTATGGTCAATTTTCAGCTCCATCGTGATCATGCAGATTCTGACGAAGGCGTAGACCGACTACATATATAAAAAGGCCTTGAGAGTGCCCATGAAATAGATTCTATTAGCCAGACCCAATTACATGACACCTCAGACGGTTACAAGCAATACTCCAAGTCTAAAGCAATCATGAGATTCGCTCCTTTCTTGAGTGTTATACTCGGCGCCACAGTAGCATCAGCCTTGCCGCAACAGAAGGATTTATACGAGCTGTTTACCAGACCTGAGAACGCATGGCATCGGGACACTGTCCTCTCATTCCCTGGATCTCCTGCCTTCTATAATGCCACACTCCGCTGGACTCCCTCTGCCAATCCTCAGTACTTTGCCGCAGTCTCTCCAGCTAATGAGGCAGATGTAGCCAAAGCCGTAGGTTATGAAGAGGAATGCCGAGATTTTGGAATGCTAAATAGCTAACATGAACAATTAAATGATAGGTGAGACTCGCTAGCAATGCCGGAATCCCCTTCCTCGCACAAGGGGGCCGTCATGGAATCGCCGCACAGCTTAACACTCTGACAAACGGACTGGCAATCGACCTCTCAAAGTTGAATTTCGTCTCGGTAAATAGGCGTGCTGCTACTGCTCAAATTGGTGGCGGGGCCCGATTCAGAGATATCTTTGGACCTGTGGGTGATGCTGGCTTCCACCTTCGTGAGTCTTTCATTATAATATGAGTCCCATTAATCAGTTACATATCGAAACAACTAATAAACCATTATAGAAACTGGCTCAGGCTCTTGTCCCGGCGTCATGGGCGTTGCCCTGGGTGCTGGTGTGGGACGATATCAAGGCATGTTCGGCCTCGTGCTTGATAACTTGCTTTCTGCCCGTCTGGTGACGGCCGAAGGAAGGGTCGTCGACGTCTCCAAGTCACAGAACCCTGATCTTTTCTGGGCTATCCGCGGTGCTGGCGCGAACTTTGGTATTGTAACCTCGGCAGTATTCAAGCTTAACAAGGCACCGAACGGTGGGCAAGTGCTCAACGCCGATTTCATCATTCCTGCAGCCTCCAACAGCTCGTATATGGATCTACTTCAGACTCTTGAGAGAATGCCACCTGAGCTTGCTACGATCTCCTTTGTCTTATGGAATGAGACTATCAGTCAGGTTTGTTGCCGCCGACCCTCTAGAACGTACTTGAAAGTAGTGGTTAACCGAATCACTCATTTAGCCTCAGATTCTTGCCAATTGGGTTTATACTGGCCCACGAGAGCAGGGAATGAAACTAATCGATCCAATTTTCAGACTCAATCCTGTACGTAGTGAAATAAAGATGGTTGCTTGGAAGGATCTTGTGGGCACGGCTGGCTTCGGGATAGACGGCCTGTATTGCCAGCCAAGCAACACGCAGTTCACTCAAATCTCGACCAATGTGCGTCGGCTCAGTGCTAAGACGTTCAAAACAATGTTTGAGAAAATGAACAACTTTTATAGAAGGGTTCCTGCCGCTCGCGCAAGTGCCATCGAGCTTGAAATCTTCAACACTGATGCAGCCAAGCGCGTGCCGAGGGACGAGACGGCTTACCCCTGGCGGGACACCATCGGCTACACCATGTACGAGTGGAGTTGGACAACTCCAGAGGCTCGTGAGGAGTGTATTAAGATGGGCAACGAGCTTCTGCGCGACTTTGTGGCTACGTCGGGATATCCCGATGTTTCCGTCTACGTCAACTACGCCAGCGGCAACGAGACGGTTGAACAGAAGTTTGGGAAGGATAAGCTCCCCAGGCTGGCTTCACTGAAGAGAAGGTGGGATCCAAGAAATGCCTTCCGATACACTAATCCCCTACCCACGAAGTATCCTTGAACCCTCAGCCTACACGGTTGAACTGAACGGATCATCTGTCTCTTGGAGATTGCCAAACAATTTCTCCTGAGTGCTATTATTCATAGTTATTTTGAGAAGAGAAAAACAAATAAATTGCCCCGGAAGTCGCATTCCAGAACATTCCAATCTTTTAGTTTCATCTATCACTCTTGATTGAAGGGTGGATATCATTTTATGAGAGGTAAGAAGATAAATGTCTGAGCATATGTGTGGACGATAGAGAAGTTGCTTATCCACACTTCGGGGATAAGCTGTCACGAAGAAAGGGCAAAATCTGGAATGCAATTGACTTTATATCGCCGAGGAGGCGTCACCCATGACTGGCCTCGGCGATCCTTTGCCCGTGTGACAATGCATCCAACTTATCCCATCTCCTACGCTTACATGAGCCCAATGAACGAGTAAGAATATCAAGTGTCACAAATGGACTTGTTCGGTTTTATCCAGTGAAAATTAAACAAAACTCAAGTATTATTTCACCATTTCATCACAAGAAGGGAGGAAACATTGTGAACAGAATCGCGATGATTATTAAACCACTAGCCACAATAGATGTTTCAAAAGCCGACCTCACTAAATGGTCATTCAAGTCTAACACCCCGCAATCCTTAGCATGACTCATTTCCAGGCATACTCTCATTAGAGGCTCGAATTACGAGAAATCCATAAGCTCATATCCTTCTTCGTCTAAAGTATAGCTCATCTCTTATTAGTATTCCTCCTCCCTCCAGTACATGTTAAGTAAGGCACACCTAAGCAACTCCTGGGTATCCTCATCAAGCCATGCCGCCGTTTGTGACTCTTCCAAAAATTTCCTCCATCTTACCCAGCTGTCTACCTGAAAGCTATTTTCCCGATATGTCCTACCGAGTAAAGCATCATTCCACACCTTTTGGGGTGCGTAAATGAACCAGATACACGCCACTCGGACTTGCACTCTTGTCGGGCCACCGTTGTCTTCTTCGAAAATCTCACATAAAGACTTGTAACTCCACTGAGTTGCCAGATTGAGCCGATCGACTCCAATCTCAGATAACTGGGCAACAAAAGCCATAAAATTCTCATACTCCTCGTTACCTCGGGAGTCGTTGGTTGAATCCTCCGGCGCTAAAGAGAGGCAGATTTACGTTAGCCTTTGCCGTCAATATGGATGATCAGGCGATGCCTACCATAACTAGCGGTATAATCAGCCCAAGTCATGCCTACCAGAGGGAGGTCTGTCCAGAAGGCACCGCTCCATGGATGGGTCGCTACTCCCCCATCGGGATGAGGTATACTTGTCTTTTGGAGGATGGTGATGAAATTTACAAGCTTGGACTGTTGGCTATGATGGGTTTTCAGGGCATAATTAAATATGGAATCTGCAATGATATTCGCGTGGAACCCCAACTCTCGGGCGTCTTGAGATAGAACCGTCGCTCGAGTAGTGACCTGGTTGATAGCCTCATTCACGGAGAAGTCATCCTGAACCATCATCCTCCGGATAATTTCGAACTCGATATCCTCAGGCTATACAAACCATGAAACATCTTATTAGTATTTTTCTTCTTCTTCGTTCTTTCCTGGCTTGGATATGAATGATTCTTGCCTGTTGGTCCATGGTAGGGTAGGGGTCTTTGACGACTTCTCATGACGATTCTCCGAGTGAAAGGTGGCCAAAGATGGTACGATTTCACGCGTCAGATGTAAGGGCTTGACATCCCACTCGCTAGCAACAGCAAGCTAGTAGACCACAAATGAAAGCGGAGAATAGTCCGTGTATTTGGGCTGATGAGGCATGGAAAGGAGGGGTTGAAAATTACATAATGCGCTTATATACTTCCTACCCACAAGTGTCTTAGCATAAGTAATTAGTAGTTAGAACTTTAGAAGTATAACGTTAGACTAACGTACTTCCGAAAATAGCAGCCATAGTCCGCCAAGGTAACTTAGCCAATCGAAACACTATCTAGTCCTACTCCAAGGAATAACTTTCGAAATTGGAGTGTATAGGGCTGTTAGCTCTAAGGTATATTAGGCCCGTAAGGTCCCGGTATACTACTATAGGCGGACTAGACCAAGTTACAATATTACTAGGCGCAGATATCGTACCACTAAGGACCCGAATATTGAGGATCATATAGCCATCGCCTCCCAAAAATAGAGGGGCTGCTTTTTGTACGGCTGTAATTTGTATACATAATAACCATAGGCTATCTCCATCTAAAAATAATCAGTCGACCTAAAGCAAGAAGCGGAAGATATCAGAGAACTAAATAGAACCCGATCAAGTATAAGGAAACGCATGGATTTCCACAGAATAATGGCCATCATTTTAACCCCATCATATATCGGAAAATACTCTCGAATGAATTTCAGATCAATTAGCCACCATGCTATTGAGAATAACACTTTTGCTCTTCCTCTGTGTACCTGATTATGTCCACGAGGATGGTGTCGCGGGTATGAGCAAAGCGCATGTCGATAATGCCTACCAAGACGCAATAAGGAAGCATGATCCCGTCACAGGTGACTTGAAGCCGGGAGAACAGGTATACCGCAGTAACCGGAGAGGAAAGCCTTATCCCGAGAAAATGACCGACCCAGCTCTTCGTGGCCACGCAGGCATTGATCGGTCGAAGAAAGCATTTTTACATCCAGTTTCGGACAAGGATGGAGAAGTTTTCAAAAGTATTCCATACCCCCAATCCGCCTATCAATCATCTTAATCTAACCTATGCCCAAAATGATATATGGAGATGCCCCTCCCCAGCATCGCCTTGGTTATCAGACAACCCCCCCGAAAAATCTTGGTGTTTGGAAGCATAAAGATCAGGTTTCTGGGCAACCCTATGACTACTCGTGGGTACCAGTGAGGACAGGGGCACAGTAGGCTATGATTCAAAAAATTGAGTGGAAAAACAACAACAAGAAGCAGAAAAGAATGAATTCGGCAAGCGACCCCTTACTGACGCCGAAGAAATAGGGGATAAGGAGAACAAGCAAAAGGTTAATCCGAGCAACCAGAGAGTCAACAGTGCCCTAAAATTCCGACCTCGAGTAATCAAACCGCTCAAGAAAGGTGGCCTGTCCAAGCAACCAACCCCTGGTTCTACAAGTCAAGCTCAAAGCTCGGCTGGCCAAGGCGGAGAGGGCAAGCAACCGTTTATCGGCCCGGTACAGCCAGACCAAGGACCAAAGGACCGGGGCGGCAGTCCAGGCTGCATGTCCAAAAGAGATGGGGCGGCTTGCCAACTCAACCTTGGCCGCAAAACCCCGGCGGCGAGCAACAATAAAAATATCCAAGGAGTCAAGAATACCAATGGCAAGAATAACCTTAACGGGAAGAATAAAGCCAACATGAGGAAGCCCCATGGCACCACCAAGGCCAATAGCAACAACAAAGTCGGCGGCAATAAGAATAGTCAGAAGAAAACCAGTGGTAGAAATAAGGGCGGAGTGAAAAAGGCCAACAACAGAAAGGACCTGCAGCCAAGATCAGCAAGGGCAACCCTCACAAGACTGGAGCAAAGAAAACATCCGGAAAAAAGCTTTCTACTCAAAAGGGTGCCAAACACCCCAGCGGTGCAAAGAAGAGTTCTGGTCATAATAAGGCGAAGGCCAGAACGAAGACTGGCGCTAAGAAACCCGGTCAAAAAAAAAAGACTTCTGGCACTGTTGGATTGAAGAAGTCTGTTGCTAAGGCTGGCAACAGGAAACCCATTGGAACCAAGAAGGCCGCCAGTAGCAAGAAAGGTTCTAGCAGAAGGAAGTCTCCCGCCAAAGCTAAAGCTAAGACTGGGCCCAAGAAGACTAATGGTAACAAGAAGCCTGCTACCAAGACTCGGACCAAGAAGACTGCCATTAACAGAAAGTCTACTCAAAACAAGAAGGTTGCTAGCAACAAGAAAGTTTCTGGCAGCAAAATACCCACCAGAAACAAGAAGCCTCTCAAAGCTGGAACCAAGAAGGCCGTTGGCAACAAGAAAGCTGTTAGCAACAAAAAAGCCGTCAAGAATAAGAAAGCCACCAGCAACAAGAAAGCTACCGGCAACAAGAAAGCTACCAGCAACAAGAAAGCTACCGGCAACAAGAAGCCAGCTAGCAATAAGAAACCTACCAGCAACAGGAAGCCTGCTGCTAAGGCTAGCAGTAGAAAGGCTACGAGCAAAAAGACTCCCCCTAAATCCAACAATTCCCCAAAGAGAACAACGTCCAAAAAAGCTACTGCGCCAAAGAAATCTGCCCCGAAGAAAGCTGCACCGAAGAAGGCATCTCCCAAGAAGGCATCTCCCAATAAAGCCGTGCCAAAGAAAGCTACTCCCAAGAAGGCCACTACACAAAAAAGGCCGCTGCACCAAAGAAGGCCGCCGCACCAAAGAAGGCCGCTGCACCAAAGAAGGCCGGTAAAAAGGGAAAGAGGGCATCAGTCTACAGTGATCGATTCATAAATTAAGAGACGCATTCGGAGGGCTTTTTCCATATACTAGATATTGATATGTCTTTTTTTTTATCACTATTTTTATTTTATTGTTTGGTTTGCCGTAGTAAAGGAAATCCCGAGATCAGTGAACATGACTGGTATCACAACTAATCTCAACGCCAGTGGGGGTCCATGAGAGAAATGTCTTATAGAGTATTCATGTTACGACTACAAGTGTTCGTAAGAAGACAACTTGTCGATACTACCAGCTATTAAAGCTAATTCGTCTAGTGACTCTGGGATAGCTCCTCTATTTCCGCGAAAAGTAAAGCCAAAAAGTTTATTCACAAGCCGAAATGGCAAAAGTAGATGGTCACTACCAGGATCGAACTGGCGACGTCCGCATTACTACACATATCGGATGATATATTAGTACGGCACTCTAACCAACTGAGTTAAGCGACCATGCTATCTGAACTGTTGAACCAGACCATAGCCCGTCTGCAGCATGAACCGGCCGGGCAACAAAGCGATGAGGAGCCATAGTCAAGTAAAGGACCGAGAAGTCGGATGCACTGGAGGGCTACTGCTATACAGCAGGTGATTCTTATCCATCCTACACAAAGAGTAATTCATTCGGCATTCAAAATATGTCTCTAGGGCTATCCCGTTCTCACACCACGTTCTTTCCAGTCACCGCTAGCAAAGCTTGATCACCCTCTTAGTACCTATGCTACATAGTCAAATCCGACATTCCGAAAGAGATGACTCACCGCGTAAACCACTGCCACTGAGTTCTTACTGAAACCGATTTGGGTGGTAGAATTCGGGCCCAAGATAGGACGTGATCTCAAAATCACCGTTCTTCTTGAAGATGAACCCAACATATGTTTGGAGGCCCTTTCCTTGATCCAGACGTCGGTGTTCCGCCAAACTCTGAAGCACACGGAGAAACCCGGCCGAGTAGGCACCGCGACCTCGTGATTCTAACCATTGTACGAGGGATTGCGCAACGGCACCATCATCGGGACCGTACTGCCGCACTGGAAGATAGAATTTGACATCCGAGATGGTGCTCACGGCACCTGGAGCCACGTCAAAGTAGAATATATAGCCTCCTTTGAGCTCTGGTTGCTGAGAGAATATTTCCTGCGTAGGAGGTGTCCATGGCTTACTGGGAATGTCCTCTGCGTCTGGGTAATCTTCTGGAAGTCCGAGCAGAGTCAAGACTAAAGATCGGAGCTCCATGAACTTTTCCTCGGGGACTTTAATAACTCCGCCAAGAGTCATGATGTTGCGCACACAGAGGAAGCTTGTGGAGGGTGAGTTGAAATAGAACTTGAGTCGAGCCTTGCTGGGATCCACGTCGTCCGCTGACAGAAGACTATCCTCGCGCTTGTTAGAAAAATTGGTCATGTGCCCATGGAAGTGACTTACAAGGGCACAAGATGCCGGCCGTAGGAGTTTTCCCGAGTAAATTTCATCAAAATGTCGAGATTTGCATTATCTGGGTTCAGCTTCCTGATGGCGTCGTTCCAGAAATCAAGACTCGCGCGGCCACCTCCACTACCAAGCGTACGTGAGGAAATGTACGACTTGATGCCCAAACCTTTGGGACTGTACTCAACTGCGTGAGCTAAGGTGCCCACAGCAGGAACGCCAGCACTGTTTTCAGCGGCGAACTTGGCGATATCATGGTCGAACAAGTGGGCTAGAAAGTGGTGAGTCCAACCAAAGTCAGCGGTAGGAACGATCTTCTGGACTTGATGCATAAAATCACGACCTGACTGCTGATTAAGTGGATCGGTCGCTGTACCTGAGCGCTCATTGATAGTCTCTACGACATAGCGGATCTCAGGTTTGTCTTCGATACTGGTGTTCCACTTCCAAGAATACTCCATGGATGATCCATCAATACCCATGAGAGACTTCCATGTGGAATTACCATTAAGTCCTGGAGCTGGGCCCAAGTAAGGGGTCTGTGGCCCAGTCAGTTGGCTAGCGTCTTCAGAAGAACGTAGAGCTACTTACAATCATATGGTAATGAAACAAAAGTGCCTGGTATTGCTTTTCTGTTGGGTAGTTGGCGTTATCAACCATACTAGCAAGGTGAAAGCCTGTAAGTCTCCACCAATAATCCAGGTCGTGGTTCCGATCGGGTAGGCATTGTTGGACGAGAGACTTCCACACCTTGCTCGCGTTTTTGCGTTCAAGCTCGGGGTTTGTCTCGGTCATTTTATCGATTGACTAACTTTATCTCCTCTAGATAAATATTGGTTGTTTGCCTAGTGCTGGCCATTGGTAGTCAACATGGTTTATATGACAATGATGACGGTCCGTGCTATTTGTAAAAGACTTTCCTTGGTCTTATTCATTACTCTCTCGAGAGATGAAGGGCCTCATTTCCTGGAACATTGTCAATGGCAAGAAAGATGACAACATCGGCTATTAGGAAATCACCGGCTCGGGGCTGTGGCGTCCTCGGAGAAGCATCACCGACTGGTAGCACGAGGCGCGCTGATTGATATCGCCGAAGTCCCGAGGGTGACATCTGTCTTCGTTGCCATCGGATGCTTTACGAGTAGTATCCGAACCCAACATCCTGTGCGAGTGACATCGACTAGTTTTCGAGTGGAGTTGTCTTGTGTTCCTCGTGAATGTGGGGGTTTTCCTCCTCGGATGGACTTTTGTAGACGAAGCGTACTTTAAGGAAGTATATCACTTTTAATTTACAAGAGATCCATGACTTCGTCGAAAAGATTATGGTCGTTTCAAGGAATATTTAAAAATAATAATGCTCTTCTCATCTAGGGCTTAACGCCAGCATACGGTGAGTGAATAACAGAGTCGAATCGGGGGTCTATTGGGCCTGTTTGTGAGGCCAATGCCGCTTAATGGATGATACCCAGATTTGTGCCATACTCGTTTCTCGAGGGAACCAGGTTTGAAATATATTAAGGCCACGTCCATTATTACATTAACTGCAGCTGGGAGCGGCACGAATAGCCGACCAGTCTTGGCTGCAGCCTAGCTGGGCTGAAGGTTTACGCGTTCCCTTGTCGAAACTTGTTCATGTATTCAAGTGAGGCGAGGCGAGTGGAGACAGCCATGTGTGCACTAAGGCTTGATCTGGAGCAGGTCGAGCATTGAACCTAGATCGAGGACCATGCTGACGTGGAGGACAGATGCAGGAATGCGAGGACAGGGGCTGAGTTGGGCTTATAACTGAAGGGACATGCGTTCGTCCCCCATGAAATAAGATGTATCTCACCTTGCATCGAATGAAATCAACACACATGCAGTGAGGCAAGCATGTTCAGCCGTCTGACTAATCGCGGCACGGGGTAATATTTGGTCCGAGAACCGCTGCAGAGTCCGTAGACCGAAGAGCGAAACCCACCACTCAATATTATCCCCGTCCGTCCAGCCCGCCGGTAACGTGAGACAACCGCCAGAGAGGCAGTTCTGACCTTCACCAAGTATCACTAACACCCACCAACCAATCACCATGGAGTCCCTCCCGCGCAACGGGCCCAGTGTCAAGATGAACAAGACCTGCGATCAGTGCAGGCACCGGAAGATCCGCTGCATCGGTGAGTCCAGATGTGTCCCGCCCAGTCCCGGGCTTCGAGTATGCGGGGGCCTGGCCCAGTGTCATGCCACCAGTCGTTCGTTCTAATCTGATCTGATTCGTTTGATTAGTACCCGAGGCGCCACCAGGGGCACCCCCTACTTGCATATATTGTGCAGTAAGTTCATTTGAGACTTGTGCCTGGTTCTAGAAGGGTTCCATGCTGAATAGCCCCGGTTGATTTTTATAGAAACGCGGACAGCCCTGCAACTTCAGTATCTTTAGACGCAAAGTCCGAGTCAAGGGTAGGCCCAAGTCTTGCTCATTAAAAACTACAGTCCCTGGGCTACGTCCCTTGTATATTGACGTGAATGCCGGAATCAAATAGTTCCCGAGGCTCTTCCCGCCACCACTCAGTCCCACTGCAAGGTGGCTCTCAATGATATATTCATAGACAGAGTCCTCCAACATGGCCCGCAAAGTGTTACCCTCGCTGACGAGAACCGTGTCTTTTTTGTATGAGATACTTTGACCCCCCTGAACCTCCTGTACTTACTATTTCGTCTAACTCCCAACGACCAAAAGATCTCCGATGAACAAGGTATAATTTCACCCAAATTTCAACCACGTCGCTGTAATCTAACCTTTTGCGGCTGATGTTTAGTTCCGAGCTCCGGTCTAGCCTTCTTTTCTGAGCAGAAAGTTGCTTCACTAGAAGACAAAGTTGGCCATACCCGACTTCGAGCTCTCATTGAGAAGCTTGATGATCTTGTGATGAACCGTCTACGCCAATCAAATTCTCCAACAAGCTCATGGCCCTCTATTCAGTTCAAGAAGCCACAGAAACACGAATGGCTTTCTGCTGACATCGCACAATCGTACATCCAGGGTAAATGAGCCCGGAAATGTAAACGACTCAACGTCTCTAACGTTAACATAGCTTACTTCAAGAACCTCCATCCGTTATACCCCTTTTTAGACCGCGAGGAATTTGAAATTAAGACTTCTGTCCCTAATCTCACCGAAGTTCTTGCCATCAACCCCCAGTTTTCTGCTCTGTATCATGCTATCCTAGCTCTGGGTAGCCAATTTCTTCAGGGTGGGACATTTGAGCCTGGTAAAGGAAAGTCTTGGGAGCTGTTCCAAGTATCCTTGGGCCACATGGGAGATGTCCTTCTTCCTCGGGAATCCATCGAAAATGTCCAGGTTTGTCTTGTTCAGCCCAGTCTTGGTTGCCATCCGTTGACAATTTGACTTTTCCAGGCGCTGACTGCAATGGTAAGACTTTTGCTCCTGTGATAGTCCCGGCTGTCGCCAATTGCCTCGCATATGCTTAACTTTCACAGTCTATCTATGCCATGAACACCTGCGGGCTTCCAGTCGATGACGTATTGATATCACATGCTGCTCGCATGGTCCTCACCTTGCGATATCACAAGCACATAAATTCTGAAGATCGGCAACTGAGGGTGTTTTGGGTTATTTACGCATTGGAGAAGCAAGGAGCCTGCCACAGTCGGATAGCTTCGGTAAGTTCGCCTCATATCAGCCCTTAAGCTCAGTGTATTGCCCCGTGTCGCGATTATTCGGACAGCTTAAGCGTGCTGCCTCAATCAGTTGATCTCATTCGACGCAAGGCGTCCACACAATAACAGTAAAATAATGAATTATTCTATAGTTGATTGCCGATGAAGACATTGGATGCATGATCCCGCCCTTTCTAGAAGCGCAATTCGACGGCTACGACTGGTTCATCGACTTTATCCGGATCCAGCGCATCACATCCATTGCTTATACATCGCTTTTCTCTGTGAGCGCCTCGTTAAGGCCGGACTCCTCATACCAATCTACCATGGACCAGGTCCGTCGGATGCTGGAAGAGTGGCGCCAGTCTATCCCCATCGAATTCAGACCAGGGGACTCATCCCACTTCCCCAAGTCGGCACCCGTCAGCACACGTTTGGCTGCTTTGCAACTGCATTTCAGCTATTACAACATCGTCATCGGACTCGAGCGGCTCACACTTCACCTCGATCAGAATGGAGGCTACAAGTCTCAGTTGAGCAAGCAGAGGCTTATGAATACGGCGCGGACCATTATAGAGTTGACAAAGTACATCGAAGTTCAGCCCTATGTACCGGTTTTGTAAGACCCCATTTGTCTCTTGAGCTATCCTAGCCTAACCATTTATACTCTAGCATTTTGGCCGTCCTCCCCGTATCGGCTCTTTTCATTCTCTTTGACTTTGTGCTTCACAACCCGCACCATCGCGAGTCGAGAACAAACTTGGTATTAATGGACCAAGTAGCTGGATACTTTAGCCTCATCGGTTTCGCCTCAAATCAAGCTCTGCCAGGAAGTTTAATGCCTGAGTTTAGCCAAATTGCAAGAGAGTACTACGCCAAAGCGCAGCAAGAGTTGGCGGATCAGAAAGCCCCTGCAACTGACAAAGCGGAGGAGCAACCACCTCAGCAACCTGTGGTGAATCAACATTCCGATCAGTCGCAACAGAAACGAGAGTTATCTATTGACCCTAGTCTAGAGTTGGTGAGATAATTTTCCATGCCTACCCATTCTAGTTTCCGCTAACTGGTCTCCTCAAGCCCACCTCGGCGCCGGTGGATCAACTGCAGGACTACAACATGCATGTGGGCGCATCGCCCGTCGACTACTTGAACTATCCGACGCCGATGAACTTTGATGGGCCCTCGGACTTCACAATGGCTGATTCTGGTGACTTGAGGACCATCTTTGGGTGGGTGTTCCCAGACTGGAACATGAACGGGGTAGAACTTGAGTCTCTGAGTCTGGACGGCTTGCACGAAGGCAGCGGTCCGGTTTGAGCTTAATGAAAAATTAGCACGAGGTACTACATTGACCAATCTACGATTTTACGTAAATGCGCTATTGTGATTTTTCTTGGGCAATTCTCATGACACCCTCTTCATATCCTTGGGGTCACCGTATCTAACCCAACTACACAAGTCATGGCAGCACATCTCATATCTACAACACCTACCTTATTACACTGGAACGCGTAGCAAAAATATGCATCAAGGCCTATGCAGATGCTTAAAGGAGGAGATATTTTTCTTTAGAATATGAACCCTTAGCCCTCTTTTTGCAGCTTTACGGTGTTGTTGTGATTTTCGACTGGCCCTTGACTCCGAGGTTGAAAGCTACAAGTTGCACTACATAGATTGTGTGTGATTGAATGTCACTTTTTCTAGCGTAACGCTAGTCCATATCAGGTTAGTCGCCACTACAAGGCCTGCCGCCGTTGTCATGAGAATTGTCCGATTTTGTTCGTCACGAAAATGCTCCACGACGGGGGAAAATACTCCTTTGGACATCGATCAATCTCAATCATAAAAAAAAAGTTTCGCAAGAGCAAAAATGCGTAATCTGGGAATCGAACCCAGCCCTAGTGCTTGGAAGGCACCAATCCTAACCACTAGACTAATTACGCGTCTTGGATGCAAGAGATTGACAATTTGATCAATATATACCAAGCTTCTTTACCCCCACAGCTTCCGAGGCATGCCCAATCGACGAGGATGGAATCCATCATGCCAGCTTGCGTGACCAGAAATTGAAAGTAGCAGTATGATCAATCGGGGAAACCTGAATTCCATCTAAGTCCGGTGTTCGACATTTGCGGGTCCTAGATGAGGCGTTCCCGGAAGCTGGCATATCAGGAGTATTGATTTGGGGTGTCGAGATCGATGGGAAAATACAGAGGGTGCTTACTAGTTTAGTGATATGACTCTAGTACCTGTTTCTTTAGACGCGGCAATACAAATTCAAGTTCAGAATGTTATTCACGAGTCTTTCTTTCATCGCAAGGATCTCATCAAACCTTCTAATTGAGAAAGAAGTGTCAATCCCACGCAATTGCTTTTTTGCGACGTTTCTTTTAATTCAAATTGAGATTTCGTTGATCTCCGTAACTGCAGTAGTCGCGGCAAGTACAAAGGGTCATCAAGTCTTTCGAGATACCTGATACAAAAAGCATGTGAGTAAAGTCGTGAGCAACACACATGTCTCGGCCAGTAAGATTACTTCGTCAATCGATAAGTTAGTTGGAGGACATTTACTCTGCTCGTGACTGACCTGAAATATCAAGGCGGGAGTCAGTAAAAAGCTTGGTCAAACATTATCAACGGAAAGCCTCAATGTATTCCAAGTCAAATCTACGGTATAGGGTAGCACAATTATGAGGGGAGACGAAGCGCAGATGTCATTGCCGGTATCTGCGGCGGACAGAGTGTTCTCCAGCACTTACTTTTTTGCATCCAATGTCGTTTTAATAAAATGCTGGAACCTTTTTCTTTTGATGCATTCGTAGATTCTATGAGAAAACATCAATGAGAAAACATCAGGATTGATTGATTGGAGTAGAGGTATGGTATGGTGCTGTGGGCGGGAAGGCACGTGATTAGGTAAGCACGCCTACATTTGGACATGTAGTTACACTTGCCTTTCCAACCAAAACCACAACCGCAAAACTTCAAGAAAACAGTCAGCAAGACCGGCAGAGCTGAGATTGATGAAATCTCAATCTAAAAAAAAGAAAAAAGTGCAAAAAGCAAAATTGCGTGATCTGGGAATCGAACCCAGCCCTATCGCTTGGAAGGCGACAATCCTAACCACTAGACTAATCACGCTTGTTTGTGGTATTTGTTGGTAAAAAAAAACACAGATTAAATATATAAAAATAACCAAAATTCCGCATGCCTTCCTCCTTTCAGCACCAATCAGTCCTGCAATATCGGCGCCGTCGAACCCGAACGTATTGCTTGACATGAGAAACAGAATTATTACAAGAATTCCGTCACTTGAACACACACGAGCCACTATACTTAAATATCTGCTTCCAAGAATGATGAGGACGATTATGACTGTGCGACAGGCTTTGCTGTGTGGCAGAAGAGCTCCAATGACTTCGCTCCCAAGGCCCCTCATCCCTCCACCACTAACATTTTCCAATGAGACGAGTAGGAACATCAAGTATTTGCGGGCCATTCTTTTCTTGGCTTGATTGTCCATGGAATGGGAGTCTTGTTTTCTTGTGCGGCTGTGATCTCGTCCATCTTTTCATCCATGACGTGGAGTCAAGCGGTGTGGGCTGATGACGGATGGTGACTACGAAACATGGAGAGAAACCGCCGCTACCAAGTTGACAAGACTATCCGCAATTGCGACGGGCGATTGTTATGGTTATTATTTGGTTGAATAAAATCACATTAATATATTTGCCCCCATTCCACACCATTTTCGCTTGCCCTGAGGTTTCCCATGGCCATTGACCTGCTGTCGTTGTCCAACACTAGTCTTTGCTTCATTGGAACGTTTTTGATATTGATGCAAATGACGTTCAACTACTGACGGCGGTCTCTGGTGGTCCGAACACGCATACTCTTGCGTATGGTTTCGTTGGGCCTATACTAGATTAGACAATGTTATACTAGACTATGCTACTGGGCATGGGCATGAGTGAAGGAAATGGTTCAGCTTACAGGCTAGTTTTGGGATTTCTCCCCTTCCTCCTCAGAGGGCAGGCTGCTGGTGGTGGTGTCGGCAGAGGAGGGGGCGACAGACTCGGAGGAGGAGGAGGAGGAGGAGGAGGAGGAGGAGGAGGAGGAGGAGGAGGAGAAGGAGAGGGAGTTGGTAGACGGGGAGGCGGGTTCGTTAATGGCGCCCCATCCCTCCAGGCTATTGCCAAGGATTGGCTCACCCTTCTCAGGGAAACTCCTGTAGATAATGTGCGTTAGACCAGGACTATTGTCCTGGTCTAACCACTGGTGCATAAGCGCCAGCACAACATCGAGGTTTGGCCATTTGGCTGGCATTGTGGTGGTGATGATGGTGATGTAACCACTGGCGCATAAGCGCCATGACAACATTGGGATTTGGCCGTTTTGCTGGCATTGTAGTGGTGGGTGATGATGATGATGATGATGATGATGACGATGATGATGGTTGCAACATTTTGGATTTAGAAAATGCAAATGTGGAAAAAGGCAAAGCCCTACCCTCTGCCCATGGTTAACAGAGGAAGGAGTCAGTCGCGGGTTCTTTCCTTGACTAAGGTACCTGCGCTGAGCCCAACTGTTGAAACTGAGGAAGGAACGAAAAGCCCTTCGAGGCCCGCCCTAGACATCGCTGTAGCGTCCACCCATTTAATAAAACGCTAAATAGGTCTCAAATGTGAGTCGCAACATACTACTATCGTAGGTTGAGTATCCCTAAACTACCTATCTGCAGGTAGGTAGACGAGACTACAAAAGGAGGACCAATCATGCTCAGTGACCCATGTGACAGCCTCTGATGTGCGACAGAGGAGGCCAGACGAGTTGCTGACTGGGAGCTATGGGCGTGTAGAGTACCTCGTCGTCATCTTCGTTGGCACTTATGGATAGCATATTCATGATTTTTTCTGCAAGTGGTGATTTGTCTACTCTTCCTCTACTGCTGTGGCGTCATTTACTCCAGCTTGCTTCATATCTCATTAAACTTAGCCGCCGTTTCAAAGCTTGTATAATAATAATAAGGGCATATGTTATCTATAATGTGTTGGTAGTTTTGGTTTTTGCCTGAATACGGGGCTATTGATAAGAAGATCCTGCTTCGGTCATGCTTCGTCTTCAGTTTATTACTATACAAAGGGCTCGTAAGAAATCAAAATCGGCGGCCTAAGCTCCCGTATCACACTGAGATAATGTTTAGGCACAAATTGAAGTCCTTCTTAAGTTACAACTGGCAAAGAATTAGAAAGGGGAACGGTGTAGTGAAACTTCGGCTAGGATCCTGTGTAAAGTGTCCCTCCTCAGTCATTTTGGGTCAAGACCCCTGGGTAACTTGTCGATAACTACATGAATTTAGAGATCAAAATCCTCAAGGGATAAAATAGGTACAAAAATATAGATTGGAGCGACGTGGGAGTATTGGCCCTCGACCATGGGAAAAACGCTACCGGTAGTAGCCAGGTTTATGCCCGAAATCACCCAGCCTCTGAACGGATTACTATCTTGAGAGAAAGCAGGGAAATATGAATCTCAATATTCGTTTTAGTTAGTGGTTCTATCAACTCTGTGACTCTTCGGAATTAAAACTAAGATGCACTTTGAAATAAGAAAAGTAAACAAAAACCAGAATAATAACAGAAACAATAAGAAGAACAATAAGGACAACCAGACATGAAATGCGCTAAAATGCCAAAACCAAAAACAGCGCAGTGATGGAGCCCAACCGTGATTACACTATGCCCAATCTATAAGAAGTTTTGAAAGGAAATCTATGCCAATAACAAGAAAATCCACATCTTCTCTCACACAGCTCCCCCACGAGCATATTCCCCTAGGACCTCCTCAATCCCTTCTTCCCCTTGGGAACACGGAAGAGCCAGTAAAGTCCCAAGGCGGCACCAACATTGAAAGCAATATAAACCCACAGCAGCCCAAAGTCTCTCCACCTCGTATCATAGTCAATCTCGAACCGAGCGAGGAACTGATCAGTTGTAGTAATAGTGCAGTAGCTGCACAGGTCCGTCGCCTCGGGGTTCAGAACAGCACCGCCAGTAAAGTTTGCAAACGGGCCCAGGAACTCTCCACAGCTCAGCCCGCCGGGCGGCGAGAGCTGGAGCAGCTCGTTATCCGCGCACGTCACGTCGGAGCCGGCGATGGCGGCGGACATGACGCCGCCGACGAGGTACGTCCCCGGGGACACGCGGTACATCCACTTCCAGAACTCGGGGAAGTCGGCACGGGCGACGGCGACGCCGCAGAAGACGAGGCAGAACATCCACAGCAGGCTGGCGAGGATGCCGGCCACCTCGGCGCTGGGCATCCAGGTGATGGCGAAGTGGGAGAAGGTGCTGGTGAAGAGCATGAACATCCAGAGGAACAAAAATACAAGAAATCCGCGTATGGCCTGGTCGTCTGCGGTGGTGTTGATGACGAAACCGACGGGGTAGTACCAGCACACGTAGATAAGCGCGGCCATGAGCGTGTTCCAGATGGCCTCGACGAGGATGTTGGAGAGGACGAATGTGTTCCACTTGTATATCTTGGACGGCCGTTCGCGCACCTCGTAGAGTGACCGCTGGGGGACGAACATGGGCATGATCTGCTCGTTGAGGTTGTTGAACATGACCAGGAACATGAAGATGGCATACAGCTGATTCTGGAGCCCCTGGATTGTGTTTTCTGCTTTGAAGCTGAACCCGATGTAGATGGAGGAGATGACGATGAGGATGATCTTGGACCAGATGTAGGTGGGGGAACGCCAAAAGTGCCTCCAGGTGCGGAAGAAGACGAGGTACATTTGAGTCCACAATGAAGCGACGAATTCGCGATGCTGAGATGCCTCGCTGTTGTCAGGTGCGATCAGGGTCTGCCCGGTTGCGAGTGCGCGCAGGTTCCCCAGCTCAGCTTTGACTTCCTTGAATTCATGCGATTGCCTCCAAGTTTCATGCCAATCAATGCCAGCAGTCCCGTCCTTCTTTGGCTTGATGATTTCGAGCATCCACTCTGCCTGGTTCGCTCCGGGAGGACATGTGTGTGCTCCGTTTCGCTCAAAGTAATTAATAAGAGTCCTAGAATTAGCCCCCAACTCTCCAAAGTACACAGTCTTACCCCCAGGGGCAAGGAGCAAAAGCCTGTCGAATTGATCAAAGAGAATAGCGGACGGTTGGTGGATGGTGCAGAGCACAGCCTGGCCATTTCTCGTCAGTTTCTTGATAAGCTGGCAGATAGCCCAGGACGTCTGCGAGTCAAGACCGGAGGTGGGTTCATCGAGGAAAAGGAGGAGCTTTGGGCGAGCAGCGAGTTCGACTCCGATAGTCAGGCGCTTGCGCTGCTCGACATTCAAACCCTCACCGGGCACGCCGATGACAGCATCCACGAAACTCTCCATATCGAGCATATCAACAACCTTGTCCACGTATTCGAGCTTTTCTTGCCTTGAGATCTCGGCAGACTGTCGGAGAAGAGCGCTGAATTCAAGAGCCTCGCGGACAGTCATAGTGTTGAGATGCAGGTCCTGCTGCTGAACGTAGCCGACGCGGTGCTGGAATGAGGCGTCTGTTGGCGAACCATTAATGAGCGTATCTCCAGACACCACTCCCATGGTAACACGCGTAGCGAGAACATCGAGAAGTGTCGTCTTGCCGGCACCCGATACCCCCATAAGCGCAGTCGAGGTACCTGGCTTGACCCAGCCGTCCACCTGATCCAGAATCCGGCGCTCGGTGCCTTTAATGTTGATATCATAGCACAGATCCTCCCAATGGAACACGGCCGTTCCAGCTGTCAGCCCAGCAGCAGACTCGGAGCCACTTGTCGATTTCTCATCCGATACAACCTCTCGGCCGTGTGGCTGCGCCTCGAGATCCTTCGAGTCGGCAGCTTTAGAATGAGGGACCTTGCCAGAGGGGAACACAAGAATTTCGCCCTTGCTCTTGGGCGGCTTGGAGAATTCGGCCGCCAGGATATAGACACCAAAGAAGAACACCAAGAACCCGAACAAGATGCCGACGTTCCTCCACTTGTGGGCGTTGTAGTACGAGAAAGCCAAGTTGATGTACCTATCACCGTCCACCGTCGTCGAGCCGGGCAGAGCGCCAACAGAAGAACAGACCTGAGAGTCGGCAGGCAGGTTCTCGTAACCAGCCCCCTGTGGGACGACAACGGCACAGGGGAACTGTCGGTCGTGAAACTCGTTCGCCATGAGTGACTCAAAGGCATAGGCGAGCGGGTTGATGTAGTTCATCCAGCGCGACCAGCCCGGTAGGTAGTCAGTCGGGATGGTAAAGCCCGTGTAGATCATCAGCCCCAGACTCAGAATCGAGCTCGGAACCATGGCCTGGTGGGACGTCCGCGTGACTGAGGCGAGGAGGCGATATAAGCTCGACATGACCAGCGTCGTGATGTAGGAGGTTAGGCAGAAGAAGAAGAAGTTGCCTGCCTCCCGACGAAGATGGGCCATGAAGTAGATGAGGATGTTGAAGATGAACATGTTAGCTGTCTTGTACGGCAGGTCTGTTAGATAACTGGCGATGGCTTGCGTTGACTGGTGGTAAAAGGCATATTTATTATGCTTCTCAACAACAGGCCGTTCCGCATATACTGTCAAGACCTCGAGCTGGCTGGAAAACGCATTGAATAGCAGCGAGAAGAAGATGAGTCCACCCCGGTAGTAAAAGGTCGAAGTGTCGGGCTTGAGATCATAGAACATGCTGCCTAGGAGGAGGGCGATGATGACGTTGAAGAGCAAGGAAGCGACGGTGAATCCGGGATCAGCACGCAGTCGTCTGTAGCCGCGCCACAGCGCCAGTCGCACTTGCTGGTAGTAAGAGATCGTATAAGGCGATGCGGAGCGTTGGCTTCTTGCTTGCTCGGCATTACGAGACTCGTTATATTCCTTGAGTCGCTGATCAGAGGGGTGGTTCTCCTCGTACGCCTTCAACTCTTGAACCAGGCTGTCGCGTGCCTGGCTGGCCTTCCATCTCGCAGCAAACTCGTCAGCGGTACGTGGGACCTGGTTCTCATACCCGGCTCTGGGACGTCGCTCGCTGGGACTCGTCATTGAAGTGAGGAAGTCGGGAACCGTCTGTCTATCAGGGCCTGCGAAACAGTGTTAGTTAGGTTCAATTGAGAGACAAGAAAATTCTCACATTCGAATCCGAGCTCTTCAAAGTAGGCCTTGGCTTCGGTAGTCTTGCCAAAGAAAATCTGCCGGCCTTCATATAACACAATTACACGATCGAATTTCTGTTAACATATTAGCCGGAACAGGCACACCGACGCTATTCGTGAGTACGCACATCGTAGGCAGACTGGGGAGCCTGGTACAAGGCCACGGCGGCGGCAACACCCATCAAGTCGGCCTGGAGCCGAATGTTCTCGCAAAAGTTGATTGCGTTCGCGCTGTCCAAGCCACGGGTAGAGTTATCCCAGCATTGGAATTTGGCGCTGGTGAGGCAGGCTTCCGCGATACTAACACGTTTTCTCTCACCACCGCTTACACCACGGACAAAGTCGTCTCCCACTCGAGTGTTGAACGTATGGCTGATACCAAACGTAGCCATCATGACATCGCGGATCATATTATCGGCCTGTTCTCGAGTATATCCACCGGGAACATGACGGACAGATCGGCAGCGTGCCGCAAACGTCAGAGTCTCGCCCACGGTTAGGTGGGCGAGGTGGGAGTCAACTTCGGCGTTGTAGAGGACATCTCCTCGAAGCGACTTTCGAACATGAGAAGGATCAATGCCTATCAAATTCAATTAGTTTGCCATGATCATGTATGATTAAAGTGTAAAATTTATGTTACCTCGATAATTCAAGTATGAATTCTCGGATATCTTGAAGCCCGATGTCTCGCCCGTCAGCGTCTTCAGAAAGGTTGAGCACCCAGATCCAGGAGGCCCGAGAACCAGAAGAAGCTCCCCCTCTTTGATGACGCCCTCAAAGTCGCGCAAGATGTCGATGCGCTTGCCTTGACGGCGGCCCCCGACAAGCCCAGCCAAGGAGGTTACAGCTCGCAGAGCAATGTTGGTGACGGTCGGTTGACTCTCAGCGCCAGTGCTCCACCCATAAGCGCCCAGATTTTTGAAAGCAACGCCTAAGAAACGCGAGGATGCCGCGCTGGGGTCCGTTTCAGAAAGCTTGACAAACGCTTTGACCCATGCACGTGCGTTGAAAGACGGTGATTGGGGATCGAGGTGGCTCCCAGGCTCGGGGTTGTATGGCTGCAGCTCATCGGTGATATTTTGAGACTTGTGCGTCAATTGACGTGCCAGTTCTTCCAAATTCTTCTCGATGGGTTCTGTTGCCGATGTGGCATCTGCTGAGTCCTCCATCTTCCCGGACAGTGTCGAGTCGTCTGACAAAGGGGCTGGCGGCTCAGGGGCGTAGCTCGGCACCCGATCTGACATGCTGCCAGGCAGAAAAAAACTCCTTTCCAAGCACTTTGTTCAGTTCAGATGCGATAATTGCTGCGTCGTGTCTATCGGATTGTGCGATGACAATGGACTCGAGATTAGCGATTCTTGTTAGTGAGGCGAGACATGGTGCTGGCCATCAGTTGCAGGACTGTATTAATATCCAAGATTTACGAGATCAGAGTTCTCTGCCTTCATTCAATTGAGATTACTTCTTCACCACGGCCCCGGCATCTGGCCCTGCACCTTGACCTGGCCGGACGCCGTTGTCAGACGAGGCTCGAGACTGTGACTGGCTCAGAGCTGCCAAAGCCGAAAGCCGTGATCCACCTGTCCGGAAGGAATTTGGGCCGATTCACCAGATCACACACACAAACCGCCACGTAACATGCGGCGAGCTGCCGCACCTTGCCCCTTTTGTTGCTCTGGGACCCGCGGACGGTGAAAACTGGGTACGGTAACCCGCGGCCTACAAGCGCTTCACTGGTTGCCATCTCGGTTTATTGAGGAGCAGAATAAGCTCGTCCGTAGGGCTGCGTTAGCGGAGTCCAAGGCATTCTCCATGTCGGCGCATTCGGTGATTTCCACGTGGCTGCAAGCACCTGCGGCCTGCGCACTGGCACGGACTCCGTAGTCATCGAGGTTGCAGCTGATATCCTGCGGGATGCGTCCCCAAGCTGTAGTTAGTCGATTCACGGCGGTTCAAGATTGGAAGAATGACCTAGCAGATGGTGGGATTTCCGCAGACAAACTCCGCTGATCCAGCTCCCGCGACGGCCTCACTGGGACAAACAAGGAGGCTGCTTTCAAAGATGTGTACTTTTGCGGCTTGATGCGTGACGGCTCGATCTGATATTTGGGCTTGAAACAATTTCTAGTAAAATCGGTAACTATTGGCCTTGGTTTCTAACGCATCTATTCTCTCCTTCATCGTTGTAACCGGTTCTTCAGTTCTTATCTCTAGGGTAGCGAGTAAAGAACAGACCACTGCCCGCACCACGATCATTTAGGTTCAAGTTGTAAAGTCCGCTGGCCCACCGAAGATGCGAGAATCACTTGATTAGATGAGGTAATTTGCTTTGATTGGTAGTGCCTTGACTCTCGATTTCTGCCCCGCTTCCTCAGGACCGCACGATGCTATCGCCGCTAAGCAAGCGAGTCGTCGGTATGAAGGTTTACAGAGTTTCCATCTGCATGGCTGCAGCCTTGGGCTACAGGGCTTAGTATTGTCTTGGCAGTCATCGTGTTGAGATATCGGGTCTGGCATCTTTGCTTTTCAACTTTACACTCGAACTCTCATCAGCCATCGCCTTCAAATTGGTGGCAATGGCGGCTTGCCTCTTTGCATGGTATTCTGGATCATCTTTTGATTTCAGAAATGCCCTCGGGTTATCTTTGTCCTCCAAGAGAGTCTAGCAGGGTGCCGATTTATTTAGGAAAATTCATGAATGGATGACGCCGCGGTCAAGGAAATTGCCATCGTCAGCTACTGGCGCGGACAGAATATATGGAGAGCACGACCAATCACTTGAGGCTCTTTGATGTCTAACAAAACTTTGGAAATTCGGCCAGACCAAGGCTACATACAAAATTTCCAAAGCCTCCATTAAAATTTTTATCGTATGGTAAATGATCACTCCACGCTCATCATATGTTGGGCGTGTGACAACATCGAACCCGTCTGCACCTTTCATAGTACATGTAAGTAAAAATGCCAAGGCCACATAAAGAGTGGGAGGCAACAGAACTTGCACCAAGGGTTCAACATATTCCTAGGTTTTTAGTTTGAGGTGGGGTGTGCGGGCCTAGTGATGTATTTCACGTAATACACGGGCGATGAAAATGCTTACTAGCAAGCCCTCGAGGATACTAATCCAGGATACTCTCCAGGAGAGCTGGACTAGAAAACTTAGAGGTTTGACAATCAGGCTCCTTTCTGGCGGGGACGGTATAAAGCAGATGCCGCCCCTCATACTCAGGCTTCCACAATCATTGGGAAATGAGGAGTCCTGACACAACCCCATACATCTAAAGTATTTCTGCGAGCAAAGATGTCTGATCAAAAGTACCCGCTAGATCTGGGGGAGAGTGACCCCTGTCTCTCACGACCATTTGATCTCTGCTTAGATCCAGAATTAGACTTCGAGATGTTCGACCACTTTACCAAACATATCAAGCAAAAATTCGAAACTCTCTCATACCCCGAGCCATGTCAAAAGCAGGATGTGCCAGTCTTGTGTCGAGGCGACAGGACCTCAGACACAACACAAGACATGCATTTGGATCAACCCCCCCCCTATCGCCTGGTTGAAAGTCCTGTTTCGAAGAAAGACGGTGAACGAGGCCTGATTGAACATTCTGCGTTCAGGGAAGGCGATGAACGGGGCCCGGTTGAAGGCTCTGCTTCGAGGAGAGATGATAAACGAAGTCTGGTTGAAGATTCTGCTTCGAGGAAAGATGATGAACGACGCCCGGTTGAAGATTCTGCTTTCAGGAAAGACGATGCACGAACCGTTAGCCCTCACATACAGGTTACCCCCCCGCCTAAGAAATTACGACATTGGTGGCGCTCGTTGTTTGGGTCACGGCTAAAGAAACCTCATGGCCCTCCCCAGCCTACGGCACCCTTCCTAGAGCCTCATAACCATCCTCAACCTACATCACCCTTCCTGGAGCCTCATGACACTCCTCAGCCGACAAAATCCTTGCTAGAACTTCATGACACAGTCCAGCCTACGGCATCCTTCCTAGAGCCCCAAGACCCTCCTCAGCCTGCCGCATCCCTTCTGGAACTTCATGGCCCTCACCAGCCTAGGGCATCCTCTCCAGATCCGCCGCAGTATTCTCCCATGCCCCCAGAAGCTCAAGGCCCTCGTCGCATATATGAGCGAACCGACCGACTGCGGCAGGAAAGCCCGATCTTCAAGTTGCCAAAGCCTGTAATGATCCAGATAATGAAGAGTCTGGCGCCAGTATCTCTCTGGTCTCTCCGACAGGCGTCGGCACTTTTCCGAACCCTTTTTGACGACCGACAGTTTTCCCCGTTTCACGACACGGCGGGCCTGTATGATGCTCACATGAATTTCTCTACCGACTTCATGTCACAGGAGGAAAGGAGAGAGGCCCGCGCAATGCTTCAACCGAAGCGCCGGTGCACGGCATGCACTCGGGTTTATCTCCGCGGCGAATTCGAACCTGCCATGATTAAGCTTCGCGAGCTGCGATTTTGCCATGCGTGCGGCGAGAAGCATGCCACCATATTTTTCCCCCACGAAAGCATAGAAAGGGGTGATGAAAATCTGGTTTGTATCGGACGACTGGGCAAATGGGAACTTTGCTCTCACACAGAGCCTATCATGTGGGATTCCCTCAAGGATGTTCTCCCTGTTCCAAACATCGAAAAGTATGGTGGATGCCCCCACCCTGTGCATCAGCCAAGATCTGAGGAAACTTCGACAAAATATAGCTCGTTCCCGCGGCTACATATCATACGATGGTCCTCCCCGACGGATTCCCATACTACAATTAAGATTGGTTGGGATCTTCCGTTGCTGGATATTGATAGCAGAGATCCTCCCAGCACGGCGGGTATTCGAAGTACCCTTCAACAGTTGATTGTGGGAGGTGCTCTTCGGAATCACAAGACTTGTCCTCACATGGCGGACGGAAAGGTTCTTAGTGACTTCATCTCGGCTGCGGTTTGCGACTGTTTCAGGAAGCCATGTACGTCAATAATTCCCCAGATAGACGTGTTCTCTAGGACGCCTTGCGAATGCTCACGTCCCTGGAATGAATACTCACGTTCCCGGAACGAAGGCTCACGTTCCCGGAAACAATATTTGACATGTAAAGATTGCGGGGCCTTGTATACCTGGGCTCTCACATCTGGACGCATGACGCTGATATATCGATACTCATGGAGCGTGTTTAAACCAACTAGTCCAGCGTGGCTGAACCTGCTAGATGATTTACCCACGCTGGCCGGGATTTTCCACGAGAAGAACAAGCATATTTTCTGGTGCGATAGCCCTGCGTGCGCAACAGGCAGGGACCTGAGGCCCTGGCAAGACATGGTAAAGGAAGAGATGGGACTCCACTATGAGAGGCATAAAGGAAATCAGGAGCATGGCATGCAATTGAGTGACTGGCACTCTCATGTCCAGCGGTTTTGGAAGGTGACGACGTCGAACATGAGATTGCCCCAAAGAGTGATAAGCTACGAGCCTCCCGATTTGTTGCACGCCGTGAGAGTGGCTGCCAAAGGCGATTTCATGAATTATGGAGTTCCATAAAGACCAAGACAAGATTGATGTAGTTCATTATATATCCGAAATGTTAGTTGATCCTTGGCTTTGTGTTCAGTCGCGCATCAGTATTGCTGATGCGCGTAATTCCTAAATTGACAACGTTATTAATTGTGTTGAGATGTTGGGCTTTGGTATCTTCCATTGCTGTTTTTAACTTTTTATTCAAATCTTCTCACGTATGTGTTAACAGCCTAGAAGCATATTGCTGAATACCTTGGCTTGCAAGTCGCTATTTGGTACCATATATTCCTCGATGGTGGGATTAACTGATAGTGAAACGGGTGTAAGAGTTCGAGAATGAAATTAAAAACAGCAATGAAATATGCGAGACCCGACATCTCAACACAATAAATAGATTGTAAACCGTATTAATAATACATTAAAAGTATTGTGCGATGGCACCTGACTGCTTATTATAAGTTCTTGATTTTGTTCGTTATTGCGGAATGAAATGTCCGTTGGTTTTGGCCGTGGTATGCCGATTGTTCCACGGAGCTCCACGGGACCACGGGACATCCCGCTTATGAAGCAAGCACTCTCACTAAATGTATCATCTAGATGTTAGCTAGACAATGGAACATGTAAAACCGTAGAATAATAAATAGGGCTTGGAAGTCCGTCGATTCTTTCTTCAGAAATGGATCAATCTCACCATCGTGACATATCTATTCTTTCTTAGACAAATTTTCATTCTACACTTTATCAACCATGCCTCGAGTTCTAGCAGTTTTTGGTGCGACTGGCCACCAGGGAAGCTCTGTCATCAACAACGTCTTAAACGATAGAGAATTGTCTCAGCAGTATTCTCTACGTGCCATCACGCGTGATGTCAACTCAACCAAGGCCAAACAGCTTCAAGACAAGGGTGTCCAAGTCGTCGCTGGAGATGTGACTGACCGATCTTCAATCGAGTCAGCCCTCGCCGGCGCCCACACCATCTTCGCTATGACCGCCCCAGACTTCAGTCCCAATGCCGTCGAGGTTGAATTCAATAACGCAAAAGCTATTGCTGATGTTGCTGTCAGCGCGGGCGTCCAGTATCTCATCTGGAGCACGCTTCCTTACGTTAGCAAGATTTCCAATGGCAAATATACAAAGGTGACGGCCTTTGACGCCAAGGCCAAGGCTGAAGAGTACATCCGTGGTCTCAAGATTAAGAGCGCCTTTTTCTCTGGTGGTTTCTTCATGGAAAATTTCCAGGAGCAGCCATTTCTGAGCCCGGTGCCGGGGCCAGACGGAGTCTGGACCTTTACGCGGCCCAACTCTCCCGGCGTCAAGGTCCCTTTCTATGATGCCGTCAGCGACACTGGCAAGTTTGTGGGTGCCATCCTCGCCAACCCTGACAAGTTCGAGGGCAAAGTGCTTCACGCGGCCCAGGGTCTATACACGATGGAAGAACTTGCGGTCATTTTGGGCAAGGCTCTTGGCAAGAAGGTAGTGTACAAGCAGGCACCTCTGGACGAATTCGTCCAGGGGCTGCCGTTCCTTGGAGAATTGTACGGGGATGCATTTGGATATCTGGAGGAGTACGGGTACTTTGGGCCGGAGACCGAGACCCTGGTTGCATGGGCGGCCGAGAATGTCCGAGGGAAGCTGACGACTTTTGAGGAGTTTTTCGCAGCTCACCCTTTGGTCTTGCAGTAAGATGGCAAGGACAGGTAGAAATGGGATATCTTGTTTCTTGAACAGTATGGACATTTGTTCAAGCGCCTTCTCGGAAATAGATGAGTAGGCTGGCTTTATGAGAATCTCTCCTCATTCACTTAAACTTCGAATTGTCTCTTAGAATCTAGTCTATGATTTCCATAACTTATGAGGCTAACTTGGCGTCACATGTTTTCCTGATATTACTTGTTCCAGCTAAGAAACCAAAACCTCGTTGCTTGACTTCTGAATTGGCTAGAAGTAGTCATCGTCCTGTATGTTCGTATCTGCACCACTCAGAATCAAGACAGGGGTAGCTTCATATATCATCCTCCATATGTCCCGCAACCAATAATGTCCTGCCCCAATTCATTTAGGCAGCCATGGGAATGCCTCCCAGTCTGCCTAAAATCTCTTACCTAATTGCTTCAGTGCCAAGCCCCGCGTGAGTTTATTTATTCTAAGCGACCCATGAGCCTGAGTCGATGACACAACCTTTTCATATCCTCTTTTGACCCCGCAGATACATTGTTTCCCCTTAGACAAACCACCACAATGGCCGAAATCAACGTGACCCCAGAGATTCAAAACGCCAGAATGCCACCAAACCTCTCGCGTGAGGAAAGGATGGCTTTCATGGCTAACCATGTTGAAGCAATCCAAAAGTTGAATCCCGAGACCGACATGAAGCTGGAAACAAATTGGTGGAAGGCGTCCATCAACCTTGGCTCCGACATTGATGTAAGATCTCTTACTGATTCGGGTTTTCGCGGTTCAGTCGTCTGTTCTGACACGTGGGCCTCAGGAATTTCTTAATGCCGAGACGAAGAAGAGGGTGAACGAAACAACCATGAAGATGTTCCAGCCAGGGGCGGGACTAGACACGGCCAAAGCAGTTCGCGAAGAACTAAAAGAGCTCCTGGTGGGCCATGAAAATATCTATGAATCCCTCGAGGCTTCGCTATTTGCGAATGAGAAATCCCTGCTGCAAGCACAAGAGCTCATTAAGGAGAAGATCGCCACAGGTGAATTGCCATTCCCTGGTGTCGCGGAACAGAAGAGCTTGGGTTCTCAGGAGCCTTCTCAGTAGTCCACTCTGCCCATGTACTATAGTTGGATTCCATCTGAAGCGCTTTTGAATTGGCTGCTCAACCGCTAGCTGAGATGAATTTGTAAAGCACCACTCTTGTCCGCTCTGACCCTTGACTGCGACCGGTTCCGTTGGGGGCTGTGATGACGAAAACGCCGAACCTCGGATCCAAGCATCCCGTACCTCCTGAGCAGACCTCTGGCTCACTGTCTTTGCAACCACGAGCTTAGCCACAGCGTCAGTAAGGTGCAGATTCTCATGAAGCTCTGCCACAGTTACGCCCCTCCCTCTGATCTTACATGGCGAGATATTCAATCTTGCCAGTCGGCGCTGAAGGACCTGAATGGGTTAGAAACTCAAATGAAGGAGAACGGACAGCAGATTAAGAAGATGGCTCACCCAGGATCTACATCTACAGGCATCTTATTCCGGATGTATGATTCAAGCACCAAAAGCGTTTCCCTGAGGCCTCGTTATGCATTCGTCGGAGGGCTGTTCAGCTGAAGGACGGCAACTTGACATTTAAGCGTAGCTCCCACTCGAAAAAGGCCGGTAGCGAACAATGCAAAGGGGATCACTCGTGTGATATTATCCGGAGGTCGAGAATGGCTTGGTGTATGTCACATGAGTTGATCCGCCGACTTCATCATAAGATTGATGGATTTGCGCAAGGTAGGCCTCCTGCCGCCAACTCCTCAAAGAAGCAACACCGCCAAGAATGCATCCTTGTGCTACTAGTGCTGGTCGCGACGTATCCGCGCACGTCTATAACACCAGCTCCCACAGCTAGCTATCCGAAGCCTTTCACGATACAACCATCGTGATAGCAGCATTTCGTGGTGTTGATATCGACGCGTCGGCTAGTAAGACGAGAAATCGTCTCAGACCTGATCCAGCTGTGATTTCACAAGGCAGTCAATTCGTAGGGACCTAAACTGGCTATTTTCCGTCATAATGAGCGATAGCTCTGATCCTGGGCTTAGCAGTGGTCCATCAAGACTGCCAATCCATAAAGAGTGTTTGGTGGATCTTGGTAAACACTTGGCAGTGTATGCTCATTTTGCTGGTTTCGGCGACCGGAAGTTGTCAAGCCTAGATGTAGGAGGCCAGAGTGAAAGAGGAGGGGGCCGAACACTATGTTTTAGCTCAACCAGGGAGTGGACGTCTTCCTAAAGCTGGCCTGCTACTAGGAAATGAAACTGAAATGGTCGAAAATAGCCCCAGCGTCCTCGATTGGTCTAGTTCGACAGCATACGTCGTTGATCTTCTCAGTTCGTTTGGTTGGCAGACAATCGTTATTCGCGTGATCAAGAACCTTGCCAGCTAACTGATAATAAAAGCAGAGTAGCCCCCAGGATATACGAAGTAACTTTTCTTTATGTGGTCGGGGCGTTATGGAGAGTGACAGAGCTTGGGCTGTTGTCTTCTCACGTATGCCATGTTTGGCGCCTTCCTTCGCTCGGTGTTCCCATCTTTTGAAACTGCAAGGTGGGCGAAAATAACAAGACTTCTGGTACAGGCTGATGGATCGGGCGGTCGGCTGCATACGTCCACGACAGGACTCAAGCAGAGCTCTGGTTACTGGTATTCTTCGGAGCAGGCTAAAGTTGAGTGGAAGCCGGTTAACTATTATCCCGGCCGTCACTATAGCGACGCTCAGAAGAGGTAACCTGGAGGTCGATATTGTCGCGATGTGCATCGTGCAAGGCAGATTGGACTCAGTCGAGGGGTTTTGTACCGAACCCAAATCCTGATTATTCTGTCACCCCGGTGGATGAAAGGTCCAAGTCGCTTAGACAGACAGAACTCACCACCCAGGTGAGGTGGCAGACATCCCGGTGCTCCTTCAGAAGAAATGCAGATATCTGTCCGATTGCCATTTTCATCCGAGATCTATTACAGGTGAGTGACCTGTCGTGGCATTCTGAATAGTGTATACTCGACTTTGCTTGGCCATGCGTCTCCAAAGTGACTGAAGGCTACCAGAACTTGAGCCTCGTCCCAGGAAATACGTTGGGTCAATGGAAGACATAAGGTACGCGAGGCTGGTCGGTACGTAGAAATAGTCTGTATCATGATACTGAAGGTGATGAGAAATGTGTTAAAGAAGATTCAAAGGTTTGTTCCGTAGAGTGTTGGTTATTGCATGAACCATTGGCGCAGGGAGGGCCGCCGAAGACTCAATCCTAAGGACAAGACGAGCTTAAAGCTCTCGTACGAATCGTAAGAAAGATTCAGATTCGTTGATGCCCCGTCCGATTATGCTGGAGGCCTTGAGGTCATCCATGATGCAGAATTGAAAGCACACATGGTATACAAAGGCATCGTCGAAAGGCGTGATATTGAGCAGTTGATGTTCAGATCAAGAACTAGAATGGCTGAAGCGTGTGAATGGGGAAGTGGACATGTCTCTCCAAAGTCGCGTTGATTGGCTGATAGCTGTATAAACTTTGGTGCTTTTGGACAAAGTTTCCGGCGGAGAAAGGTGGCGGAACGATAGATAAGCAGCTGATTTAAGGCGAAGTTCGTAAGATGGTATTCATATAGAATGTTGAGAAGACTCAATAATGTGTAGACTGCTTGGTAGAGAACGAGTCCTTGAACGTTGTTTGTCCAATTGTCGCAGGAAAATGAAGAAAATGGAAACAAGGGATGGCGAGGGAAAAGGTATTTCTGGAGTGTTCATGGCTAGAGACCCATCCGGTTTAAAGGAAGCTTTATTGAGTTGATGAAATGGTTGGGGCTGCGATGTTGCTTGAAATGCAGATGCATGTCTTTGGTTGGCGATAGGGTATGCTTTTTCATCGTTGCTCTCCAACAAGAAGCAGATAAAATCCTGAGAGAGCGGCACTGGCGTTTGTGTGCCATGATAGAGATTCTCGGAAGGATTGGTCGACATCGTTTTTATACTGGCTGTAAGGAGAAGCACAGTAAGGGGGCTGCTTTGGCTTCACCACATATATATGTTGTATGTGGTTACTAGACCCAGACAAGGTGCGCTCGAATTTCAAATTCGGCGCCTGACCTACAGACCCAAGGTCCAGGCCAGTCTCTGGACTTACAACCACCGAAGTGGAATGCCAGAGACCGGTCGATGTCGCTGCTTCGGTCCGTTTATTCGGACCTTCTCTGCTGCCTCCGCCGCTGAACCTGCGGCATCGCTGCCTCGAACGCCTCGAACTCTTGCTCCAACCGGGTCAACTGACCCGAGGCCTCTGCCGCACGAATGGCGGCTTGCCTTGCCCTAGCTCTGGCTTGTTCCAGCTCGTCACGAGCGGCGTCCCGCTCTTTGACAGCGGCGTCCTGCTCTCTGACAGCGGCGTCCCGCTCTTCAACAGCGGCGTCCCGCTTCTCGACAGCAGCATCCCTCTCCTTGATAGCGGCGTCCCGCTTCTTGACAGCCGCGTCCCTCCCCTGACGAGCCACGTCCATCTCCTGACGAGCGAGTCGAACCTCTTGGGCCCGGTCGTCCCAACCCTTCTTGACGCCTTCCCGCCACGCCTCGAGGCGGATCTGCTCTTTTCCGGCATCTCGATTCCAAATTAGAGTAGGTCTAAAGACCGAAGGGGCATGATCACTTACTTGTTGCCTCTTCCTCCCGCTTGTCTCTCTTCTTTGCGAACTTCCAATTATTCCAGGAATCGAAATAATTGGGAATGGCGTTGATCACCCCCACAATGATCACTCCCCAGCCAAAATTGGCCAACCAAGCCGGAACCGTACTCTCAGCCATTGTGATTCTTTGAATTGTGATTCGAAAATTGGAAAAATAAGTATAGAAATTGGTATGAATAAACTAAAAACGAGCTGCCGCTTGCTACAGTCGAACAAAGAGACAAGAAACGGACAGAGGAAACGATCTGAGGAAAAGGTGAGACGGGGGATTCTGCCATAACCACCAACCACCGCCTTGGGGCAGAACAGAACGGTTGTCCATAGGCATGTACGGACAGCAGATTTATTACTCAGGTAGCCAGCGTTATTACCCTGTTTATTCATTGTTACCTATCCTGAGTCTTTGTTGTGATTCTGTAATTCGTTATTGCCATTTCTGTATATTCGCTATCATTTTATATATTGTTGGGACAATATGCTCCCAAACACGCCGTCTTTTGTTGCAATTTCTAAGTGCCTTTTCAGCTACCTCACATTGCCTACCTAGTAGTACCTATGGAGGTTCCGTCCAATTTGCAATCGGGTCCCGACACGTTTTCTGTGCGGTCGTTGAACAGCATCTACTTATAAAGGATTCTCTGGACATTCAACAGGATGATCTGGACATTTGACAGTCGGTAGCACCGGCATTCAAAACAATGGAAGGAAGATTATCCGGAGGTATCCAATGGAACTCATTAGGTTATCATTATACTTGGCCTAGACAAAGCCATCTATGGAACCAGTAAATCGAAGATGTATTTACGCGTACGCTCATCAGAATCTTCCCACGCCACCCAAAGGGACTTGACCGACCACCAAACTCCCAACTAATCGTCAACTCTAAAAGATATCATGCTCCGTCATCGTATTAGAAAGCCATTCCGAATCGCTGTTCCCAATCGAGTTGGCCATGGCTGTGATCTGCCCCGGCGATAGCCACTCCTCCATGTAACATTCCTCCAGATTAGGTATCCCCGCCGTCAAATCCTCAGTATCATCCATGTGCGCTGCCAGCGGTGGCATCCCGGGCGCAAGTATCGGGGGTGGCCCAACCAGAAGCTGGCGGATCACGGGGACAGCTGCTGCTGCCTCCAGGTCGCTGCCCACGTAAGTCTGTGGAGAGCTCTCCTGGGGGAGGTGGCTGAGCATGTCTGCCAGCTGCTCGAGTTCAGCGAGTCGGTATTTCGCTATCCGGTTCCCCCTCCCAATCATCTCGTTCAGGATGGCATACGCCCGCTCTCGCCAAATGGTGGTCTCGGACATCCAGCTGTAGTCGATCGCTGGGGCGATGAGGAGGTTGAGGCTGGAGGCGAAGAGAGGGTCAAGGTCGATGGTGAGAAATGAGGCTTCTAAAGTGTTAGTAAGTAATTTCCGGGCATGGAGCAAACCAATGAAAGATAGATGAGGTTATCCATACCGAGTAGACCTTGACTGAGCAGACAATCGAGGAGCTTGATGCATTGTTGGGAAGAGTCGATGCACATCTTAATCAGACTTCGGACCGTTTGAGATGAGTTCAGGCTCTCTAGATATGTGTCTGGGGATTCGAATTGGATCTTCATGAAACAGAATAGCAGTGGGCGCGTGGCAAGGATAATGCACTTTCGAGATAAAGTTAGGGCAACGGTTGTGGGGAACAAGAGAAAGATGGCTTACCTGATGATAAAGGAGATGGAGATAGCCGGAGGTCCTTGAGATTGTACTGAACGGCCCGTTGGCCTGCATGGGGAACTTTTGTTGTAACTCGTCCGTCAGATCAGCAATATTAGACAAGACCTCTTTTGTCTTGATCAAAAAGCGTTTGTTCAATCTGCCGTCAGTCCCGTAAACACCTTAGAAACCCGTCAGCAAGAACCACTCAAGGATGAGGATCGTGGCGTATTTGGTCTCCCTTACCTTTGTTGATGGCGCACATTGTTCGAGACAGGCGGATCTGCATGGCCAGCGCCGTCCTCCGTTGCGGAGAATCAGCGTAGTCCGGTAGCTGTGAATGGACGTCGTCGTCATGGATTGACTGTGGGACACCCATCAAGGAGGTCATTTGCCTGTCCAGCAGGTACGCAGTCCACCACGCCTTTCGACTCCGCTCGACAACATCTGCTCCTAACTCCTCCTGTGGCATATCTGTGTGCATTCCTTGACCCAGCGCCATCCGAATTGCTTCCCCAATCTAAACACACCATATAAGCAATGGAATTACCGGGGGTAACCGGGGGTTCAAGTCACTTACGAAAGCATGAGACGCGTGCCTGTGGTCCAGACACTGAAAATATAAGGCAATACAGCACAAGACCTCTGTCAGCAAGATGGGCTGTCCAAAAAGAGCGTGGAAGCTGGGCATGCGTTGAATGGCCATGACAAAATATTCGGACCCTGGTGGTATGTCGGATTGAAAGGTGCTGCCTCCGAGGGCTTTACCCATGGCCAGAATGACAAGAAGGTGAATGAACTGCAAATCTGGCGTGCCAGTTTTGGGGGTTGGGTGAGAATAGTAGTCGTAGAGATACTTCATGAAGGACTCCTCGTCAAATAGGTGGAAGAGCTGACTGCAGTGGAACTTGACATTGTTGATGAGGAAGATGGCGTGATCGAGACTGGGAAGAGGCGCGTGGTCGAATGGATGATTGACTCTGGCGCCGTCCCAGCCTAGGTCGTATGCTGAACCGTCAAACAGGAGGGTGGACGGTGCTATGGGAGTTCCATGAACATATTCATGGGTCAGACTCATGATCCGGCGACTGAATGACCATGTAGAAGATGTGCCAAGATAGACTGGAGCAGGAAAATGTTAGTGGCCTGGATGTGGCGGAACAGAAGCAGGGGCGTTGTATCTCACATATTCGTCCTTCGGCTGACTTCATGAATTTTGATTTGCCGGTAGACATAGGGTTTGTGAGTGTTGAGGCGATGGGATCTAGATTTTCTCGGCTCTCGGAGCTGCGAGTCTCAGATACTGGCCTGCGGGTGGCCAACTCTGAGGCTATAGCGTGTGAGTTTGCTGACCATTATTGGATGATATGAGGATTTTCATAACAGAGAGTCTAATCAAAGGTATATACATACTGTCTTCATTAACATTGATGCTATCCTGCCCAGGATGCAGGTCCGCAGATGCCGGGGTAGCATAGTCAGGAAAGCCATCCTGCTTCTCTTTCTTGGTTTGTCTCTGCAGCTGCAGCAGATATCTGGCCGGGAGCAGTGAGAATCATCAGTTTAAGGATATGAGATGAGACCAAGTTAAAGACTTGAAGGCTTGGGCAACATACCCTCTAGTGACGAGAACCTTTTGGTCAAGGCTGTCGAACTCGCACGAAACCTTGCGCTTCTGGCAGGCGTCGCAAGGGTGCGAGCCTGAGCATTTGATCTTTTGCTTGCGACATCTCGAGCAACTGTTGTTGTTCCATAGAAGATCAGTGAGTCAGCCGGTGGGTACTCTCCAATTTCAGCAAGCTTTGGGACTGGACTGGGGTGACGAACGCGTTGTCGGATCGTTTGGAGACCCGGCCTCGTCCAGAGGTTCTCTCGGTCATGAAGGGCTGGACACGATCGGGCAGCGAGAATCACGGGAGGACAAGCGAGACCAGGCCAGATCAGCTCTGTCGAGGAAGGGTCTTGCGGTGCTGGGAGAAGCGGCGGGTGGCTGGCTGCTGATACGGCGAGGTTTGTGGCCAGATGAGTGGTTTGGTTTGGCTGTGGAGTGACGTTGATAGTGGAGTGAGCACGCTCTGTGGGGATAACTGGGGGCCAGGCGTTGATATGCTGTAACGCGAGACCTAATGCCCACTAATCCATTGGCTGGCCGCTGGCTTCTAGCGCTCGCTTCCCCTCACTATCGCTTCAGCCTTCCTCACATGCAGCGCTGCGCTAGTCCTCATCGGGCCTTATCTCAAATCGCCAGCGCTAGCTCAACTTGCTATCTCTCGTTTCTGGACACTCGCATCTACCACATCCCTCCTTGACTTCCTCGACCTGACTCGTCATCTGGTACCTGCTGCTCATCAGTCAGGGAGAGACATGCAGACCGTTCGAGCCCCAAATCCTGGCCAAAGGGGCTAATAAACCTAAATCCATCACCGTTGCCATCTACGACCACTGATCTTCGACAGGCGCGAAACTAGCATTCCCACCTTGTCCATGGTGCCATCGCTAACAGGCGAAGGCTGGGGTAGTGCAGAGCCCAATACCTGGACACGAGACCCTTCTTCCCTATCTTCTTAGTCGCCGGATGCCTTCCGATGTATCTTTTCGCGATATGCTTCTACGCCAGCCTCAGAATGAATCATGAGACCGAATCCACAAGCACCCGGAAGCACCGCCCGTAGCTCGAGTCTTCCCCGCAGAATCTGTCCCCCCACGATAACAGGGCAAAGGCGATAGCGATCTGTCCCGTTCAGGAAAAAACACACCAAGAGCTGCATGACGGGCTAGATTCCCTTGTCTGCATCGCATATCACGCCCAGGGGCGGGAGGAGGCACAGCAAGTGGACCCTGAATCCCAGATCTGTGTCTCCGGCTACGGACGCTGTCAAATATCGGGAAGTATCCCGACAATGACCGGCAATCCGCACCACACGCCTTGATGTGTAAACGTCAATATGGACGATATAATTAACATTTCGGCGGCAATGGCTACATCATGTGGCAATGCTGTGCATTTGAAAGTCCTTTCCCCTGTTGGAACTGTCAATCGCGGGACAATTGCGTTGACCGGAGGAAAATGGATTAAGTTTTGATTAAACTACATACACCATTCAGGCCAAGGAAATCACAGACTTAGCATGTCTACGGCAGAAGGCCACCAACATGATGCCACAAGGAGCAGTCGGCTTTTCAGGGCTTTGGCCGGCGATGCCGTTGCTGGCTTCGTGTCTGCCACCTTGATATCCCCCATTGTGGCTGTCATTGACAGGTGTGTGTGTTCTCTTCAGCCATATTGTAGTGCATGGTCACTGAAATTCTGGAATTAATTCAAGTGCTAACAAAGCTTACAGATCTATGGTTGAAAAAGTATCCATCAATCAACCTCTACTGACTGGGATGCGCCGTAATGGTATCGCCGCACTCACCCATCCTGGATGTTTCCTATTCGGCCGCCCTTTCGGATTAGTATGGGCTTTGTATGCAGGAACATACGTCGTTGCCAATGGCACCGAGACGCTGGGCGATGAGTTCAAGATGGCCGCAGTCGGAACCGTCACATTCTTCACCACGATGCTGGTAAACGTCCCTCTGGGAGTGTGGAAAGACGTGAGCTACGCCCGGCTCTTTGCTGCCATAGATCCCAACAAGAAAATCACGTCCATCATCCCCAAAACACCAAAGTCAGTCACTGCGACGTTTCTATTCCGGGATGCATTGACCATCTTCGGCTCTTTCACTCTGGCGCCAGGAGTGTCCTCTCTGATACCGGATCACCTGGCTGCCAACCCCCACACCAAGGCTGTTGTCAGTCAGCTCACAGTGCCCATTTTCTCACAATTGGCGGCGTCGCCAGTACATCTACTGGGATTGGATTTATACAACCGCCAGCAGCATATTCCACTTCGCACCAGGGCATCGCAAATACGGAAAGACCTGCCGTCGGTCACCGTGTTGCGGTGCCTGAGGATCATCCCGGCATTCGGCATCGGCTGTGTAGCAAATATGGAGGCAAGACCGTTCTTCCAGAAATTATTTTCGGATCTGTAAGCCTTCCGAGACTATGAAGGGAAACGGGACAGGGAAGTGCATAAGACGGGCCGAGATGGCTCCATCGCGGTAGACATCGGATGTGATCAGCGCGGCCGGGAAATATCGCACTTTAAAGCACGGCATTTGATTTGGGTTATAAAAATAGATTTACATCACCGGGAAGGATTAGACAGCGAGAATATAACGCAATCACGGAGAATAAATTAATGAGAATTAAGCCAGACCCTAAGCAGACATCAGAGCGTGATACATGCACACCTAGACCCTAGTTGAAGACTGCAATAGTTTGCGGCACATTACACTTTAATATGCTTAAATCAATGTTCTACTCGTTGATTCTGCTGAGTTTGGTTTCGTGATCATTGTTTTCTCAACATTGAGTACAGATCTCCTTCGTTGTGTTCTTTAATCTTGAAATATGCTCTAGAGTCATAAAAACAACCCTCCAACTCAATAATGTTCCTCACACATCACGGACATTCATGCTATAAAGTATAAAATGTTCATTTCTAATTTATTGATCCCATTTTCTTGTAATCGTTATTGACCCGTCCCAAAAACCAAGTAGCCGAACCAAAATTTCTTTGAGCTATCTAACTAATCCAGAGCAATACCCCCTTACTTATGATACACTATATACTTCGACTCATGACTCGTTGCTGGGGTAGGTGAATCCCGTCTGGCGGAAGAACTCCTCCTTGATCAGCCTGGGGCTGGCGAACCGCCTCAGGGGGTCGGCGCTGCCGGCCTTGTCGTTTGTGCCGCTGGAGCGGGCGCCGCCGAAGGACTGTTGGCCGATGACGGCGGCTGTGGTCTTGCAGTCTAAGAAGTTCGGTTAGTAAACTGTTCAGAATAAGGAAGGTAAAGGGGACATACTGATGTAGAAGTTGCCGGCAGAGTAGCGGAGAGTATCCTCGGCCTGGCGAATGACGGCACGGTCGCGGGCGAAGACGGCACCGGTCAGGGCGAGGCCGCCGCCAGCCTCGTCAACGTGCTTGAGGATGTTGGTCCACTCGCCGTCAGGATAGACGTGGACGGCGAGGACGGGGCCGAAGATCTCCTCGTTGAAGAGCTTGTGCTGGGGCGAGTCGACCTGGTAGACAGTGGGCTTGACGTAGTAGCCCACGGAGCCGTCGTAGGTTCCGCCGATGATGAGCTTGGCGCTGGGGTCCTTGTTGGTCTCGTCGATGATGCGCTTGATCTTGTTGAAGGAGTGCTTGTGGATGACGGGGCCCATGAAGGCCTCCATGTCCTTGTCCGGGCTGCCGATGGTGATCTTCTCGACGCCGGCCTTGAGCTGGGTGAGGAACTCGTCGGCGCGGGACTCGGGGATGTAGACGCGCGAGGTGGCGGAGCACTTCTGGCCCTGGTACTCGAAGGAGCCGCGGATGGTGTGGTTGACGGCGGACTCGATGTCGGCCGTCTTGTGGATGAGGTGGAAGTTCTTGCCGGAGGTCTCGCCGACGATGCGGGGGAAGTCCTTGTAGGTCTTGTTACCGATGCCGTCACCGATGCGCTTGTAGATGTTGCGGAAGACCTCGGAGGAGCCGACGAAGTTGAGACCACCAAAGTCCTTGTGCTTGAGGACGACGTCGGTGACTTCCTGGGCGTCACCGGGAACGAACTGGATGACGTTGGGAGGGAGACCGGCCTCAAGGAGGATCTTGTAGACGATCTGAGAGGCGTAGATGTTGTACTGCGAAGGCTTCCAGAGGACGACGTTGCCCATCAGAGCCGGGCCGGAGATCAGGTTACCACCAATGGCAGTGAAGTTGAAGGGAGAGACGGCATAGACGAAACCCTCAATTGGGCGCCAGTCAAGGCGAGACCAGATACCATCGGAGCCACGGTCGTGCTGTCTCTCGAGGATCTGGGCAGCATAGTTGCAGTTCAGGCGGAAGAAGTCGGCCAGCTCAGCAGCGGCGTCAATCTCACCCTGCCAGACATTCTTTCCCTGTCCAAGCATGGTGGCGGCGATGAGCTCATAACGGTATTCAGTAGTAGCAAGCTCGGCAGCGCGCTGGAAGATGGCGACCTTGTCGACGAAGGGCATCTCCTCCCAGCCCTTCTTGGCCTGGAGGGCCAGCTCAATAGCCTCGGAGACCTGCTCCTTGGATGCCAGGGGGTAGTTGGTGAAGGTGGTGCCATGCTCAGAGGGCATGACCTGGTCCTCAGACTTGGGAGCCTGCTGGAATGCACCGTTGAAGTACAGCTCAGACTTGACGGGCAGCTCAGAGCGGAGCTTCTTGAGGGCCTTCTCGACCTCGAGGCGCTCAGGCGATCCCTTCTTGTAGAGAGGCTGAATCAAAGTGTCAGTTACATGATCAATTGATCCCAGAAGCCGAATTAATTCTTCGTGGAAAAACTCACATTGGGCTCGTTCCTCTCGTCAGGGACTCTGAATGGCATCGTGGTGGTGGTCTTGCTTCGGGTCTGGAGGGCAGAGACAGCTCCTACACGAGCAAACCCACGAGGGGCAGTTCGTGCAGCGAGGCTGAACTTGGATCCGAGAACTCGTGTGATGGCCATTCTGAATTACTGTGGTTGTGTGAAAGGTCGAGTGCCTGATGCAGAACAGAATTGTCCACAAGCTCTTGATTCGTCTCTCTTTTATCCATTTGAGTTCATCTCCAACTCCGCGATCGATCTCGGCGGGCAACAGCATCTCAAGGCCGGGACGCTGACCGACACCGGTCTCGGATCCAAATCCATGGGAAATGCTCCCGATGCTGCATTAGTGCTCTATCCTCTTCTCCTCATGCAGCCACCAGGCTGCTCATCGGCCCCGGATCCGATCCGTAGTGCTATCACGGGCCCCATCCGTGGCAAGTCAGTGGCA